GAGACTGCTCCCGCTGGCACTGAGACTGCTCCCGCTGGCACTGAGACCGCTCCCGCCGGCACTGAGACCGCTCCCGCCGGCACCGAGACTGCTCCTGCTGGTACTGAGACCGCTCCCGCTGGTACTGAAACTGCCCCTGCTGGTACCGAGACTGCTCCCGCTGGCACCGAGACTGGCGTTGTTCCCACTGGCCCTGCCACTGAGACCATCCCCGTCTACCCCACTCCTCCTGCCCAGACCTCCGGTAACCAGCTCCCTGGTACCACCGGCCCTGCCGGCACCGAGACTGGCGCTGTCCCTACTGGCACCGAGACTGCTCCTGCTGGCACCGAGACCGCTCCCGCCGGCACTGAGACTGCTCCTGCTGGTACTGAGACCGCTCCCGCTGGTACTGAAACTGCCCCTGCTGGCACCGAGACTGGCGTTGTTCCCACTGGCCCTGTCACTGAGACTATCCCCGTCTACCCTACTCCTCCTGCCCAGACCTCTGGCAACCAGCTCCCTGGTACCACCGGCCCTGCTGGCACCGAGACTGGCGCTGTTCCCACTGGCACCGAGACTGCCCCTGTTGGCACTGAGACTGGTGTTGCTCCCACTGGCACCGAGACTGCCCCTGTTGGCACTGAGACTGGTGTTGCTCCTACCTACCCTGCTGGCACTGAGACTGCTCCTGCTGGCACCGAGACTGGCGTTGCTCCCACCGGCCCCGTTGAGACCGAGACCATCCCCGTCTACCCCACTCCTCCTGCCGAGACCTCCGGTAACCAGCTCCCCGTCACCACCGGCCCTGCTGCTCCTGTTACCACCGGCGCTCCTCAGTACAGCACCTCGACCATCTTCACCACCACGGTCCGCACCATCACTCAGTGCCCTCCTGAGGTCACCAACTGCCCCACTCGTCCTCAGACCGTGACCGAGACTATCGCCATCTCTACCACCATCTGCCCTATCACTGCTGGCGAGGGATCTCACCCTACCAAGACTGAGACCGGGGTTGTCTACCCCACTCCTCCTGCCAACTCTGGTTCCGGCTCTTCTCCTTCCAGCCCTGCTGGTGGTGCTCCCCCTGCTGGCTCTGGTTACCCCACTGGCCCTGCTGGTGGTGCTCCTCCTGCTCAGACTTCCGGTGGTTCTTCTCCTGTTACCACCGGCGCTCCTCAGTACAGCACCTCAACCATCTACACCACCACAGTCCGCACTATTACTCAGTGCCCTCCTGAGGTCACCAACTGCCCCACTCGTCCTCAGACCGTGACCGAGACCATTGCCATCTCTACCACCATCTGCCCTGTTACCGCCACCGAGACTCCTGTCGGTCCCGGCAGCCCCGGCAGCCCGGTCTACACTGCTCCTGGTGCCGAGCCTACCACCACCACCACCGCCACCTCCTACATCACCCAGACCTTCACCATCACCCGATGCCCTCCTGGAACTCCCAACTGCCCCGTTGGCAGCGTCACCACCACGGTCTACCCCAACGGTCCTTCTGAGATCCCCACTCTGGTTTCCCAGACCGTGCCTGCCGGTACTCCTGTTGTCACCCCGGTTGCTCCCAGCTCCCCTGCCAGCGTTCCTCCGGTTGTCATCGCTCCTCCTCCTGCCCAGTCTTCTGCCGCCGCTGTCACCCCTGTGGTTCCTCCCTATGCTCCTCCTCCCGTTGGAACTGCTCCCGCTGTTCCTCCTCCTGTTGGCACTGCCCCGGCTGGATCCCCGGTGTACACTCCCCCGGCTAACCCCCCGGTTGTGTCTCCTGCTCCTCCTGCCGGCACTAACCCTGCCGGTCCCCCAGCTGGTGGCAACCCCGGCTCTGGCATTCCTCCCGTCAGCGGTGCTGGCCGTGTTGGTGGTAGCTTCTTCGCTGTCATTGCCGCTGCTGCAGTCTTCCTTTTGTAAATTGGATAAGCTAAAGTGTTTTTTGGGTTTGGAACATGTACACTTGGGAGTCATCCATCTCATGATGTTCAGAAACGTGTAAATAGTATGATTTAGAGGAAGGATTTTTATTGCTTTATTCTTACATAGCCGCACCAGATCCGGTAGATTTGGATACATGGACAAGGCTTCATATGGTAACGAAAACCATTTTTATTTCTTTATTCTTATTAGTTTTGAATGGGATGGCAGTCTAAAATTATCTGATCTCTCTCCCTCGTGATGTGATGTGATGTTTACTCTCAAGTTGTGAAATGAATCTTCCTGCAAATTCTAGGCTAAATTACAATTTGACTCTGAACTTGCGGATGCATCGGATGGAAGATGCTTTCTTACTGCTCATACCCAGTAGTAGTACGATTTAGCGCTGCAATCGAACTTTGTCGTCGATGCTAGTCAGGCACCGAAAGAAATGGCTCAGATCCAAAGTTACCTTGGAACGTCCTAATCTACTTAGTTAGATCTACAGTGTATCTTCATGCGTAAAGTGGTGTCTAAGACAGGATGAAGATGCCAGTAAAAGTGGAACAAGCCCCCCCACCTATTTTAAGACAAAGCGGAAAAAAGAAGGAATAAAGAAGGAAGAAAAACGCCGCACTGCGCCGGCTTCTTCGGCCTTGCTTGTTTGGGTAAGGTTGTGGCGAGGAAGAGGGGGCGGGTGGACGGCATTGGCCGAGAGGGGGATAGAGGGGATGGAGATGGGCGTATTTTTACGTGGACAAGCTTGGGAGAGTACAGTATGAGTTCAGGTACCTGCTGCTAAGAGATGAGCTGAGAAGAGATATGTGCTCGTACTGATTATACGAACATGTAGCACAGAGAGCCAATCAGTGCTCGAGGCGTGGATGCTTCTTTGCTGATTGAGAAGTAGGTTTGCGCTCGAATTAGTGGAGATGTGTCTTTGCGCAGCAGTGTTTGTCTCGTCCATGATGTGATGCATACACGAGTGATGTATCATTGGTGTCAGCACCATACATACAGTACAGTGCTTGTCGGTTGTAAGCCGATCCTGGTCTTTGTATCTTGGTTCCTGACAAGATGCACTGTACGATGTGTAGAGTACTTTGCACTGAATCCAGGGTGTGTTTGAGATGGCATGCCACATATGCACGAGACAGCCATTAACATGGCACTTCTGCAGGTACAAAAACCATGACACCCCTCGGAGGGGACTCTCCGCCGCGATCTCTCTGCCCACTTTAGTGCTAGCTAAATTACCCAGGGGCATGCCTGGGACCCGGCACCTGTTTCAAGCAGATGCTTTTCCCCGTAGAGGCTTTTTTTTCTGTCGTCCTTGTGCCTGGCAGCGGACGGGATGCCGGATGTGGCGTTCATTGGTGCGCTGGTTTTGCTGAGGCGTTTTGTAGTGGCATTTGCCTTTCGGGCTTGTCATTTTTTAATGTGACGACGCAGCCGTCGTAGTGCCTGGATGAATGTCACTCACTTTGTGTGTTGCGATCGTCGATGGCTAGTGCGAGACGGATAAAATGGGTGAGACGGCAGAGTTGCATGGGAGGTGTGCGATGATCGATCTGGGACTGGCCACGCACGAGTTTTGCGCAGCGCCGACACACAGGGTGAAGGAATGAGACACCATGTGGGAGGGCATGCCGAACTCCGCACACGGTACGAGCACAGTGTCTGTACCTGTAGCTGAACCCATGCCTGCAGCCGAGCTGAACGTCTCATTGATTGAATGACATGTAGCCGCATTTCTTTGGCGACGCGAGCCATCCTCACCGCTCGCTTCTCGTCGACGGCGCTCAGAGTAATCAACCTGCCCTGGCAGCTGGCACGAGTCATCAAGTGTTTGTAAGGGAAATCTCCTTTTCCCACCGCTCTCCTATTTGGTTATGTGGAGCGGCAACCGGGGCACAGGCACAGCCGAGCTGCTGCGTTTGCCTTCCGGATTAGAGCCTTCGCGTGGTTGTGATCCTTGCGGAGCCGGTGCAAATACAGGTATTTGTGGTCGCTCTTGGCAGATTAACTCGTATAGCACGGTATCCCCCCCCTTTTTTCGCACCATGTCAGTCGGCGTATATTCGCTCTTTTGCTGGAGGCATGTTAAAGTGGGCATTGGGAAGTCTTGAAACCCGAATGTTATGCAGGGGCCGAGAGAAGAGCGCAGATGCCAGCATTAGTACAGGTACCTGCAGAGCGGCCTCCGGAGGCTTTCCAGCTGACCGGGGTTTTGCTGCAGCAGCCGGGCGCTGGTTGCCTGCTTGTGTGTGGACTAGATGCATGCGGAGTACATACAAGGATGGACAAGCTTATGCTGCTGTTTGTGCTGCGCATGCAAAAGGCATCGCTTCCATGTGCATTCGAAGGATCGTGTTAGGTAATCTAGAGGTTGCTGCCTTGAAGCCTGGTTGACCGCAAAGCGACCGAGAGAAGCTGAGCCACACGTCTTTTGGCATGTCGAGTCCTGGCTGATGACTGACGATGAAGAGCCTCACTCTTTCAAGCGAGACAAATGGCTCTGGTGCTTGTGCTGTTGGCCGGATTCTGACCTCGCAATGGGGGCGGAAGAAGTGAGGGGAGGAAGAGGCATCTTGTAATCCCACGACATTTTGTCCTGTCTGACTCCGCCACAACAGCCACACCCTCCTGGAGGCCAGCGTTGGGTGATGGTTGCGTGGCGCAGCAAGGCTGGCCAATCAGGCTGCGTCAGGCAGCTGGCTTGCATTGGGCATCACAGGAATGACCGCATCAACCCGCGAGAAAAAGGCATCGTGTCGCTCCAACAACGGTTCGCGGCCGGCCGTGAGACCAACGGATGCATGGAAACTGCTGCAGAGCTTCTGCAGAGCTGCCTCCCTCTGGTCACTTGATTGCCTGCTCCGCCATGGTTTAATGTTTGTTCAAATAGCGCCAAAGCCCGACCAACATGATGCATCTAACACTTCTCTCTGACTTGTTGATGCGGGCTCGGCTGCCCCGTTGCCTAGTCTGTGCTTCTGCTGCTGCTTCTGTCTTTGACTTCTGAGGAAACCGAAACGAAACACGGACTATCTCTCCCCTAGCTGGATCGCAGAATAGCGCTACGAGGGACCATGAGCGGACGGCCAATGCCCACGCTGGCTATACCAACCCAGCCGGCTTCACCCAGCAATCAGCCAACTAGTCCAAATGGTCGTCCCGCAACATGGTCCGTGTCTGCCCAGCGCAAGATGGCAAGGCTCTATCTGTATACGACGCTGCCTGTTGAAAAGATTCGCGCCATTATCAATGGACAGCAGCCTCCCGACAAGACTATCCAGTAAGCTCCTCCATGTCCAAGGCAACTATATCTGCCGACTATACTTTGTGCAATTAGATCACTAACATGTATGCAAAAAAGACAAAGTTCCGCGAACAAGAGACTCCAGACGCTCTTCGATAAGGAGCCGCGATGGCTACATCCTCGCGATGAAGATGATATGGGGCGGCGAGTCACCGAGCTAGCTAATTCGCCAATCCAAGTTCGTGCTGCATCTGAAGTGGAATTCACTTCTGCCCACGAGGGCCGAGACCAGTCGCCCCTGTGTGGTGGGAGCGAATATCTTGATGTAGGATCAAGGCCATCGAGTGCATCCCCAAGCGACGCTTATTCGGGATCAATCCATGGTAGTGATGCGTTCCCGGAATCACAAGCGTCCCGGCCCTACTTCCTCTCCGATATACCAGAGGAATCTCCAAGCCAGAATTGGGGATGTCGAAGTAACTCTGGGGGTGTTCATCCACGCGAGAGTCCGTTTGCCAAGTTCCTCCGCGCAACAACCTTCATGACCGAGTCAAGCGCGAACACCACGGGCACATTCAGGAAGCACCTTTCGGAATATGCAGAGCCTTATGTCAAGGTAGTCAAGCGTCTCGTCAAGAGATTCACCTCGCCAGCAGCCGGCCAGCTGAGCACGGCTCCAGAGCACAACTTGCACGTGGCTTGGAATGAAGATTGGATCAGCGATACCGAGGCAAGGACTGTGTTTAATATCGACATCCCTTTACCAGGACACCTCCTCAGCGCGGACTTTTCTACCCGATTCGGCCATATCCCTAGCATAGAACCGATGTGGGGGGACAGGATATCCAACTCTCCAGGCACTTTCCACTGGATGACACCAGAAGGACCATCGCCTGGTGCTTACATGTATCTTTCCATGGAAACCAACAGACACGATCCCATGGTGTTGGACCCCCATCAACACACTGTGCTTCATTTTCTAGCAGCCCACGCCCCATTTCAAGTATTATACCAGGTTTTATGCCAAGCTCTCATGAGCGGTACTCTCAAGGACATTATCAATGTGCAAAACACCGCGGGGCAAACATTTATGCATGTCATTAAGGATGATGAACTTTTTGGACCTGAACAAGTCGAAAACTTGATTAGAGTTGTACGGGCTTTGGAATTCAACATGCTTGCACGGGACTGCTACGGTCGCTCCTCCTTGCACGTTCTCACCATGCTAGGCAAGACAATACGCTTCCATTCATTGCACGACCTTGACCCTCGCGAGTATCTTCAACGCGATGCGTTCGGCATCGTACCGCTCATCGAAAATTTTAACCCAGTGCCGCCACGATTTGGTGGTGGGATGAGTTCAGACGTGTTGGGGTTCAGTCGTTACGCAATACCCCATCCGGCACTTGACCCTGCATTGAGTAACAATCCTGCGGTATCGCAGGAGAGCCAACTTGTACAAAACATTAGAGTATCGATGGAGAATCGGTTTCATGAAGATGAATTCGGCCATAATGGCCTCCATTGCCTTGCCATGGCGACGTTGAGTGTGGGCAGTATTGCAGAGAAACACGGATTGGAGAGGGGAACAGAGAGTTTCGGTCCGCACGAGAATCGGAAGGTGGTAGATTCGTCAGAGCAGATACTGGAGCTTCGACGCGACACACTGAGCGCCTTACTCGATGCTGGACAGGACCCAAACCACAGGGACATCTTCGGAAATACACCTCTCATGGCCTTTGCTGCAGCGCTGCCGGAGGAGAACGAATACAAACTTGGGCCCTCCATTTTGCAACTTCTCATTTCGAGAGGAGCCGACGTAAATGCACGCAACCAAAGAGGTGAGACGGCGTTGCACATTGCTGTGCGCTTTCACCGAAAGCTCGCTGCCAGAGCTTTGGTCAAGATGGGAGCCAATGTTGATGTTCGGAATTCCGAGTTCCAAAGCTTGCTCGATGTCTGCGACGAAAAGATACAGTCCGAGCCCCAGGCGTATGCCAAATACTCGGCATGCAGAGCTTGGTTGAGTGGCCCAGCCCATGCGGTGCAATCTCCCTCGTTCTGGCAGGAATGGGAGGTCAAGAACCGCGTTGTGGTTGATTGAGGGTTAGATGCTTGAGCCTCCCTCTTTTTTGGACTTGGAGTCCTTATTTAATTTCCCACCTCTTTCTCTCTTTCTCTCTGTTTAAGTGCTTATTTGTTGCCCTTGCTATCATTTTCGTCTCCTCTCTTTAATTGCTGCTTTGATGACGGCTAGAATTTGTTGGGCGCTTTACATGCGGCGCTGGGCTCGCGCCTTTTATTGGAGGTTTTCTCGTTTTGTTTCCAACGGATTATAGGATAGATAACGATAGACTGGAGGATACTTTGCCACAGACCGATTGGATAGGCTTTGCATGCAGGTAGCTTGAGGATTGATGGTGAAGATGGCTAGGAGCCTGGTAGAGGTATGTTCGAATGAACCCAGAGGAATTTTCCCCACCCTCCTCTCTCCTCATCATTAATTAATACTTTGCTAACAACTCATCTCCATCTACAGGATTTCTCAAACAATGGAATATTCCGGCATAGCTAAGGCCCCGTTCGCCACCTCTTGATATCAATCTCTACTTAGCAAAGTCGATTTTAGCTTCTTTATTCACTGCATCTTTCGCATGGAAAAATTGGAGAAGTTGCTGGACATTTACTGAAATCGTATCAAGCGATGGCTATGCCATATTTTTAACCCGCAGCTCAGAAGCGGCAGTGTTAAAAATATCGTAGCTAGTGTTTGGTAATGCTTACAGCGTGGGCACAGAACTCAGCGAATAATTTTCAGCAACTTCTCCAGTTCTTCTATGCGAATGGTGCAGTGGATAAAGGAGTTTGAATTATAGCTAAGATGACTTTGGTTCTCGGGTGGCTGCCTTTTGTGATGCACGTGAAGTGAGGGTTGGGCCATGACGATTCTTTGGGTTTCTGTTAGTCAGTCTAGGGAATATAAATTGAATTGAAGAGTACTGCTTTAATTGTTTTTTGGGTTTATAGCTGCATGGAGAAAGAAATACAGACGCGGCCTTTGTCGTAGAGTTATTTAATATGGCTTGTATTATGATGGCTGCTATGTGCGTGCGTGCTGCCTTCTACGGTACTTTGTAACAATCTTGTCTAACTAAAATACTACTACGTAGGCATGTCTCCGTAATACGAGCTCTTAGGGAAGATATACTACCCATCGATTGTCATATCAGGGTATACTTTTGTACTGTTACTTTGTTTGACAAATTTGGACTTCGTGGTCCTATTCGCCTGCCGTTTGATGGGGTGATCTAGGTATTGGTGAGGCTGGCTCGAGTAGCCTTGTCCGAATATATGATGAATTCGTGTGTATTGCTTGTTTTAAGGCATTGTATGCTTTTTTGTCGCCGCCATTTAAACCATGTGTTGGAATAGCCTCTGATGCCACTTGTGCTTCCTGAGTACATGCCACCCCCAACTAGATCCACAGCAGTGATGACTTCAATGAAGATGCCGTACGCTCAGCATGCTTTCTAGAACTGGCTTTGACGAAGCTAGTATGTGTTTTAGAACATCCCAGTACAATGGTTGCCCAGAGCCGTCAATCAGGGATCATGACTCGCCCAATTCTCATGGCGTTTCTGCCGAGCACAGATCAGTTACGCAGGGAATTTCCTTCCCAGTTGGGCATCAGTGAGCACGGTGATTGGCTGACTGATCCGGACCTCAAGGCGGTTTACTCCGTAGCGAGGTGGAGTATGTTTCGTTAGTCTGTCGTACCAGGGAGTAGTTTATTTTTACTTGCCGCTTTGTGCGTCTGTGCGAGGTTGAGCCGTGTCCTGAATGGCCTCTCGGGGTTTCTATCGGGGTAGTATTGAGTACAGAAAAGTAGCCGTTATTATGCCAGTTAACCTGAGACGTCGTCTGTGTGACTTGGTGTGAAAGGGGGCGAATGAGCTTTGACTGTCCTCATTTGTAAGCTTGAACTGATTAGCTTGATGACTTATTAGATCGTGTACTACTTCGTTCCTGACCTAGACCAGTTTTTGACACAGGAATCCGGCCATTTTTCGGTACGGCATCTTTTCAATGCCGCGGCTTTACACCGCCTGAATGACAATACCGGAGATGATACTGCATCTGGCCATCTTTAGGCCCAAACCCCTGAAAACAAGAGGCGTTAGGGGTATGGACTCTAGATGCGCGGTAGGAATGTTTCTATGAAGCTCCGAGTAGTTGACTGGAATGCAACCTCGGCTCTCGCTCCAGCCCTATGAAAAGAGCCCACTTCTATCGGCCTCCTGTAGCATGAAGCAAGCCTCGGGCTGGTGGTACTTGGAGCGTTTGAGTTTAGGGTCCCCGGCAACTTGTTTCATAGATGAGCCCACAAACAGCAGATTCCTCTGAGATTGTGGGGATGTGCTGCTCCCATGGAAGGGATGGTCTCTGACGTTGCCAATGTCAGGCCAGCCACTTAAATCCTTCCATCAGCCACTCGCCTTTCTCGATCTGGCATGTGCTTATATTCAGCTCTGAAGGATGGCGATAAGCCAAAAAATAGTTGCAGGACTTTTCGCTCCGGAAATGGATAGCTTACACGTCTATGCCCAATCAAACGCCTGGTTTTGCGTGGAAGGCAAGGCGAAGACGGAGATGCTTGAACCATCCGAAACAGGTAAAACTTACGTCTTCCTCCCCGTTGTTACATCTCTGTTGTTACATCTGTAACTTAGTACAGCTCGACGTGTCGTGGCTGTGAATGATGGCTGCGTGTGCCGAGGGTATTGGCCGAAATACACCGAGAAGAAGGCTGCCAGCCGCATGAGCATTAGCTTAGCTTCAACTACGTGTCCCTTGTATGACAAATATCGAAACGCGATAACAATCCGAGACGACTGTTGCAACAGGAGCCTCAAAAAAAAAAGAGAAACAAACGGAAATATGGAAGGAAACTGCAAAAATAGAAATCTCAGTGCGTAATCTGGGAATCGAACCCAGGGCTCCCCGAACGTTGCGGATGGCAACGGAGAATTTTACCACTAAACCAATTACGCGTACCTGTTGAAAATGGGGAGTACTATTTTCTTTCATAGAGCTTCTATTGTGGCGAGCCAAATTAAGGCTCGTATTCGGAGAATGGAATCATTGATGCTGCCTCGATTCTGTTCAGCTTCGCTTTGGAGGGGGCAGAGTGCGTCTGCACCCCCAGTTACTACGTCTTATTGAGCTAGCCAAATATTTGGAGATTTTTCTGATTGGCTAGTATCGTGTAGACTCACAATGGCCCTGGCGGAGAATTCTCTATTCCCCCATTTCCTATTCCCCCATTTCCTATTCCCCCATTTCCCCTATCTGGTCATGTATGTATGTACTCCGATTCATCATTTTGGCCCTGCGTATGCGCTCGGGCGATCAATCACATGCTGCTCCGAAAGACGCTTTAGTCATGGGGAATTTCAGGGAAGAGCAAACACGGGGAAACCTGACTCGTTGATTTTCGGCTGTATTTCTGCCTGCTAGCCTCATAGCCTCATTGACCCTCCGTATACAGCGTTTCAGCCGCCAGTTACGAACACCACACCACCCTCATGTAAGTAAGATCTCATTCTCCTCTCAATCCAACATCCGCGTATCCGCTTATCCGCCCATCCGCCATTGGCTCCCTTTCAGCCTCATCTCACGCACAAGGCAAAAAATTTGTTCAACTCATCCCCAGAATCCGCTGCTGACCTTGCTATCTTAGCGGATGTGCGCTTCTGCTTCGCCGTTGTATCGTTGACATGAACTGCTTGGGCGCTCCAAAGGCTTGTCTAGGCTCTAGAACAAAGTAGCACCGAATCTTCTAAGCTCGAGGATGCACATTGAGTTCGGCCCGCCGCTATGGAAAGGCTACGACTTATCGCCGCAGCACTCCCTTTTCTGGTTCCCTCTTAATAGCTGCAACCCGAACGTTGGTTCCTAGGTGTTACTGCTTACATGTATAGTAGCACAATGCTGTGGTGATAGTGTGCTATTGATGCGGTGGTTTGTAACCTGGGTTGAACTGCGTATCGAAGGTATGTATCACGGCAGATGCACGCGCTTGCGATTGTGCTATGGCTGTTGTTTCTGCCTTTTTCTGACTAAACCCCAAAGGGGCGCGTGAGGATTGACCGTTGCCGCCTACAAAACGATCTATATTGTAAGTCGGGTTGTTCGGGATAGCGCGGAAGGTGGCAGTTTGAGCGCCCCGGGTGGAATCGTCCCTACATGAGCTCGTGAGTATATGGCATGTATTGACTTAAGCATAAGCGACGTGGTAGAAATTTGAGATGGGGAGAATGAAATGTAGCAGCATGGATGGGGATACTGGGCAAAGTAAAAAAAAAAAATTCTTCCTTTGGACTTGGCATACCTAGAGCCATTGTAAACGGCGCTGCGTGAAGACATTATAGCAAGGACTTATGCAATTGCCTCGAAAAGTAGAGTTGAAAGGAGAATATGAGACAAGTATACTGCAGTCAAGATTTCACCAACTACTGAGAGGCGATGTAGAATAAGTCATGGATAACACAGGTTTGGAGCATTTAGTGGTAGAGAAATAGGAGACTATATATACTCCTACACAGATCTCTGTAGCACCACTTACAACACCATCAGGTACATGCGTAGGCATATCGCATGGAGGTCTTCAGGATTGGTACCATAGCAAGTCATTCTTCCGGGCTGTCTCTCACTGCCGGCGTCCTTACTAGATGCGGAAGCAGCTTGTCGCATGACAGGTCCCAGACATTTAGACAATTGCTTGTGAAACACGTAGTGAACCTGCGCTTGATACCAGTACTTCGCACGGGCTGCTGTGGGAGCACGGCGCCCAACTCGTAAATACTTTCACCACCTTGCCGAAAAGATGCCGAGACCGACATCTCAATCACACGGATCTGGACTCTTGGCTCAGCCGTTTGTCATACATGTCGGTAGCCACGACATGCCTCGTGGCTATGCGCCCAGGTGTGTATGGCGCTTGTCAAGTTGGGCAGCGTATCTTTGACTATGGAGAGCCGGTGGCTATGAATGCTCCAAGCTGTTCGTGGCTGTGAACACCCAAAGTAACAATGTTTCATTGGGATTTTACTATAATGACTATTCAAGTAAGGTCTGATGTTTTGGAATGGCGTTTCTATTTCTCAATTCAGTCACCAATACATGGCTATTGAACTACATCCCGGCCTTTAAATTTTGAACCTTGCTGTTATGACGTCTGCTGTTACCCAGCGGTTTCTGTTCTCCCGCATAATCGGTGATAGGACTGGCCTATGGGCTTGATATAGGCATTTAAGCGCCGGAATGTTCAACCATGCGCGTTATTCTATAGATTGAGTGATCGAAAAGACTGTATTATTGGAGATCCAATATTAGAATTGCAGTTGGCGTGGAAGCTAATGCACAGGGTAATCCAAATTGATCAATCAATGAGGCCCTTTTGAGCTGTGTCTCACAAAGAGAAAAGATGATGAGATGTGTTACGCCAACTAGCAAAAAATCGCCCAAACGAGCGACCGAAAAACATGCAAATAGGATGGCTATCTGAATAGGCACCAAGCTGATCCTTTACACTGTTGCATTATAATAAGGAATCAGCCCGTTGGGCAGCAGCTAAGACACGATCTAGGCCTCGGGACGGATAGCATACATATACGTTTAATACGAAAAAGATTTATAAAATTCTCCGACAGAACACGCGGCCAGGTACTTATCCCCCAGCATACATATTACCGAAACATCGGATGAAAACTCCCATCGTCTTTTCGGTATTGCATTCGCTGGATAGCTAGGCCGGAAAATCACATGCCACAGCCAAAGTCCCCGGACGCCTGCTCGGCTCTCGCTAGGTAGGTATGGTGATGCATGCTGACGACTCAAAAAGACCAACCTCCAGAGGGCAAAAATACGCGCAGCTTCACAGGAGCAAGGCGATCGAGGATCTTATTGGGCGATGCCCATATTGCGACCGGAACGAGAGCACAGAAAAGCGTTCGGTTCGGACAAGCCGAGTTTGTAAATCGCTGGCGAACCGCCGCCCGTTTGCAGCTTTTTCGTCCGACGCCTCTTATCACCGTGCATATGCAAGGGGGAGTTGATGCGCAATACGAAGCGTTCGGCGGGAAAACGAGTATTGACAGTGATCAACAGATGGTTCAACATCACAACACATTTCTACCAAGAGGCTGAGTCTTAGACTGGTCGATAATACTGGGAGTGAGAGTGGTGGTGGGGGTGCCACAGGCTGGCTGTTGTAAGCCAACCACTCTATATAAAAAGTTACTAGTACTTTCATGCCCTGGAGACAGGCCCAACCATGAAAAAGAATTGAATTTATTCTCAGAAGAAGATGAAGCAAACAAAATGGCAGAACAACGGTTGATTGATGCCGTGAATGCTTGCCTTAGGTTCAATGCCCCTTGGATAACGGACATAATAACCACTGAGGGAGATTTCATCGGAACAAATACTAATTAGTGTCGGGTCCAATGAGAACGGTCAATTGATCGTAGTACTTGGGTTTAAACGAATGCCTTCTTTTGCGTAAGTCGTGTGCCATTCGAAATTAGACCACGAGCCAGGGTTTCGGGGAACGTAAAGAAGTTGGGGGTCCTGCAGGGATACTGGTCTCCCATACCCCCCAAAAAACCTAGGTATCGAATTTTTTTCTCGGTTTGTGTGTACTGTACTTTTAGGCAGTGGTATGGCTTGGGTGGAGTGGAGCAGAGCTGGACACCAATTGCTCAATAGTTCCATCGTGTATACCTCCTTTTACGTGCAGCTCGGAGTACACAGACTCAAAAATGAGGCCTCGCAATAGCTCAAGGCGGCTGGAGAGTCGTAGGCCGGGCGGTAGTCCGGTTGCCAGTGCTGGTTTGAGGCATGAGGCAACCGGATATACTTGCAGTTATAGCTCTGGACTGTGATGTGCCGCGCTCAATGTTTAGGCTCGTTGGGCAGGTACGAGGCATTTTATGGCGTTTATTTGTAAGTATACGTGGCAGACAGAGACAGGTTAATTGTTATATGAATGGATGGAATATCATCTCTTTGGCTGCGTGTTTTCACAGAACAAACTAATGACGCTTGAAGGGCTCAGCACACCGTGGGATAACAGCAGTGTATTTGTCGAACATAGGCAGCTGGAATGTTCTATCGCTATCAATAAAATTTCCATCTCGTAGAGGTGGTCTGCTAGGGGTGGACTCGTGACCTTGTGCAGATTTTTCCCCTCTTCAAAATGACGAGGCTGCGGGTTTTAGATGATAAGAGTGAGGCGAGGACATTGAGTCATCATAATATACACCATAATGTATGAGAAATAAATAATGGTTAAATAGACTTGAACTGCAAGATTCCAGCGGCTGAAGTGAAAACATGGAAAACTTGATTATATTAGCGGGTTTATTGAACATTCCCAGTCTGCTAGGGTCATACTTCCATGTAGTTTTTTTTGAGCGGGGTTTGATATGCAATTTCGGATTACATCATGGACAAGAGACAGTGAATATTTCACGCAAATATATCTAATTATCCCCTGTAAGTAAATTTCTTCCTCCAACGCCCCCGTCCTCATTGACGCCGTCACACTCAACAAAGTCACACTCAACGAAGTCACACCTCGCCGCCATTGAGTCGCTACTGAATCTACCTTAAAGGCAGCAACTTTCTGCTATCAAATTATGCGAAGATGGAACAACGCAACGACTTATAAGAGCTAGGCAGAAAGATGGCGCGCAAGTTGGGGCGTGAGGAATACTTGGAGGTCGTTCAATGGTTGACACGGGCCGCCTTGATAGAAATCCCGATACGAATGTACGACTGTACATGCACCATTATTGTGCCTTGCGAGTGACCTAGCTCACAATGCCGGACCAATTTCGATATCTGGATCGTGCGCGGATCGCCGCGAAGTACAGCCTTTCCCTCCTGACCTCCCGAGAAGATGCAATACGATCCTTCATCGCCAGAAGCGGAATGGCAATTCAAAAGAATAGCTGCGTCCTACTCAGTCTATGTACGCCACAGGCGGGTGGGCAAGACAAAATGGCCTGATTCCCGCGGTAGTGAGTTGCCTTGGTTGCCTTTTTCTTTAGCGAGTTTGAATCGAGGGACTAGACAATTGTCCCTCAAGCTTTGAACAAGGTATGAGCTAAAGAAGACAACAAACAATATTAGGATTGATAGGCAGTCCCGAAGATTTGTCAAATAGAGTGCAAGCCGAGTTGGGCATTTGAAAGGCAACCAGCAGGACAGAAGAGGCTTCTCTTCCCCGCCCCCCTTTGCGGCCGATCGACCATATACCTGGCACATTATATTAGTCTGGACCAAGGCAGACAAGTGATTAGGTTGACAGCTAGGCATTGCATCGGTGGATCCGTGGCCAGCTCATACCTTAGCCCATGACTTGAGGCCTCTGAGCAGGCGAACTTGGCTAGACATACGCCTCTAGTTGAACTCCACAAGGGTGGAAGTCCTGAAAGTCACAGGAAGTCGCTGAAAGTCTTTTGAAAGTTATCCGGGTGTGGACGCGAACCGATTAGCGTTTATGGAAGTGCTTCAGTGGGCGCCTTCTCGCGATGCTATCTCTCAGTCCTGGGCTCCTTCACCCAACAACAAGCGGATGGGATTGAAGCCCCCTCCCCCCTATTTGAATTGACTGTGATATTATTGGTATTCTGCTTCTAAAGTTCTCGCTTCTTTTTTAAGAATGAAGAATTGTATGGAATCTATCTAACGAAATAAATTACATTGATGACCATTGACTGGCTTCAGATTCGATCTAATAAAGGTGGAATCAGCGTTGCACCTTTCAAGTTTAGTACTTACAGCGAGAGTAGCAAGTGGCCCTGTACTCTGGCCTAGATTTACCACATGTTTGTTGATCTTGACCACCTGAAACCTACCTTAACCTTACTTTCACTTACGTGTGCCTGAAAGGGACGTGTCACTACTTGGTTGTCCGATCTGCCCCGTACCTATTCAAGAAGAATTCAGCTAGTCAGTCGCCGGCATCGACGGGCTAGATGGTTCACTCATTGGAAGAAATAAACGACCTTGGATACGGATTACCATTGGAGAAGAGCCATCAATCTCCGTTTCTCTCATGGAGAAGCTTCCGAGATTTCTTACATCCAGACAAACTAATGATGATGAGTGGGGCTCTCTCATCAGTAGAAGACTCTCGGATAGTCACCGTTGTACCCGATTTTGTCCCGTTAGTTTCACTTGGTTGACTTTCTGTCCTCAGTTGCTCACATCAATGGATTGAAGGTTCTTTGTGCGATTTAGAACGAACCTGCGATACTCGATCCAAGATTGACGAAAAGGCTGAAGATTATCTAGTTAGGGTTTGATCCCAATGACCTTCTGTCTTCTACAACGGGAACTTGTGTGCGATGAGTATTAATGTCAATCCAAACAACTGACCACCTGAAAGATGTCATTGAGTGGTAGAGCTCGTGGAGCCTCTTGTTCGGGATGTCACAGTGGAGACTGGAAAACACGCTTGGCTGGGCGGATTTAGAGAGCTGGCACTAATACCCTCATCGACACGTACTTGGCTACGTGTTCTAGGACATTTTTTGATGAGGAGCCGGCTATCACAAGCGAAAATTTTCACGACCCGGAACTGAACTCTTGAGGAGAATTGGACAGCGACAAAGATTTGCCAACAACTTCAAGGAGAGTAAGACCAAGTCACTGAGAGAAGCGAGAGAAAAGGGGGCGGTGGAGGAGGGGAGGAGAGCATGAGCATGCAGACGTGGACAAAGAAACCACCATGATGGCATAGTCGCTGGCGATCTGTTGTCGCTATGGGTATGCTTGGAACAAGGAGATTGGGAGATTATCAACGCCGCCGATTGTACTCTGTTGAAATATCCGGATACTTTGTCCAGCACAGCAGTTTAGCGTCTCGGGAAATCAGTTCAGGCGGAGGCTGACGCTGCCCGACGGCAAATGGCAAGCTCTAATGCAAGTACCTAATCTGACATCTGTCAACGGGAGACAGCACATAGCAGGACGTGGTCGGTTCTGCATTTGATTGAAGTCATAGGACTGATGAAAGTCTTTCTCGATTTCTTCAGTTGGCGCTGTCGATTTCCAACTAATGTCCAAACAAATGAATAGAAGGTAAAATCGGGGCCGATCTGATCCCCCCTCTTTTGTGCTGACCGCTTCTCCCTCACATATACAAGTACGTGTCTTGTAGATGAATGATGCTGATTGGAGATGGCGTGGGAATTGCACAGAGTCACAGTGAGCTATTCGGGCAATGCAAGCGCAATTGGTCTGGTCTAAATGTCGACTCAAGATCGGGTAGCCCGGCAGTGAGAAATGTAGTAGTAATAAGATGTTGATGGGCGGAGGAGCTATCCTTCAATTGTTTAGCTTGAGGCTCTGCGGGATGGACAATCCATGCCCATAGACGTGACCACTAGTGGCGCCGCTAAAGAACTCTCAAACGTCTCATTCCTCGAGAGTATCAATATGTGTACGGTCCGTGATAATTAATAGCGGAATCGAAAAGAGTAGTCGCCGGCCGTATGTATTCGCACACTTGGTGTTATGTGCCGGCGCGTAAAATGACATCCACGAAGGTGTAGGGGAGATCATTCGCACTTGGGAAACAATACATTTGAGCTAAAAAGGATTGGCACGTTGTTGACGTGGCCAGCGAGCGGACTCTGGATACATAGCTAACAGCAAATGAGATCGGGCAGAGCATAAAGGCAGCCCGTCAACTGGTAGACCGATCGCGTTATCACACCGCATTAAGCTACATAAGTATCCAAGCCCAGCCCGTGATCATCCGTTGGGAGTGTGATAGCCGCTATGTTGGAGCCGACATGTATACGAGTTTGTATGTTCAACCAGGAGTTTTAGTGCATGTGCCGCACTCCTGCTTGCGGGGTCTGCGCATGTCTGAGCAGGTGAGAGTGAGATTGATGTCTCTGGAGAATCAGACGTGAGTGCGGCTCAGGCAGTGAGTGCTATTCCATGTCAAGAGCGGCACAATCTCCATGTCGTAATTTTTATTTGATTTCCAGATGCGCTGGTTGTCTTGCTACCTGTCAGTGGTAGTGTGAACAACAAAAGCCGGCTTGCGAGCTGTCATGGATGAGTTGATCCAGGGGCTTCTCCGCTCTAGTCAGAACAGATGTCCGCCTTAGGCAGGTACTTTATGTCTATGTACAGTACATGCATGCTACTAGGGAGGTACTAGGCAGGTACACATTAGTCTGGACGACTACCGAATCAGGTGGTAAGCCATCCTCCCGAGGCGTACGTGTGGTACCTATGGAGACATGTCCTACCTACACTGCCCAGATAGGCACTCCTATTACCTAGGTACCTAAGGTCAGGATGCTAGTGAAAATGTAGTACTACTAACATTATTGAGGGAGTCTAAAGGAAGCACTTCGCCACCTGGCTGTCCGCAATTGCTATGTTCTCACTTTGGCACCTAGCAGCTAAAGGGAATCGGTGAGCAAGACCTGTTTCAATTCTCGGGGGTAGTCTTCACACTATTTCGAATAGAAATCAAGATTAAAAATGCAATACCTAGAAATAACCAAAAGACAATTTCCCTGCTCATCCTTGTCCTTTCATCTCTCACCCGTAAAGCAGTAAATACCGTAGCGCCTTGCCAGAAATTCTCCAAGTACTCCGTGGCTGTCCTTGTGAACATTCCTCTAAATGGCTTACTAGCTTTAGATGATCTTCTGCATTTCGACTCTCCTACTCTTATTTGGGAGCAGGATTGTTACTCGAGCCAAATCGCACATCGAAAGCGTTCAGCCGAGTCTGCGCACGAGCTCTCGCTTCCTCCTCGCTCTCGGCTTTCCTGAAGCAAAGCGGCGAGCGTTCCTCGGTGGTCTGCGAGTGGCTAAGAAAGCGCATCATACAATAATTGTATTTTTCTGATATTTGTTCGGGATCAGACGTCGGAGGCTCGGCATTTGAGTCGATGGTTTGGCTGCTATGTCCGTTTTAGTAACTTTTAAATGATGGAGAGTACACCAGCCCGTATACATAATACACATAATTGTACACTAAAATGATAGTGCTTGGCCATGAAGTAGGTAACAAAAGAAGGAGATGGACGATGAAAGGGATCTGTCTACGTAGCGGAACGCTGGTAGTGGAGATATACAGCATCTCTCTACTCCCGAAGGGAAGTCAACTCCAAACGTAGGAAACTTTGAGAGGTGCAAGAGGAGAATTAGTATTGAATAAACACCTACTTCTCGCCAGGTTTGTGCGTGCTATGGTTATGCGATGACATGATCGTATGCAGCTCAGATCAATGAATAGTGGCTTGGATGTGATTGTAAGAAAAAAAAAAAAGGTAAATAGGTTTTAGAAGGGAATCAGAAAAACTTGTTAAGTATATATATGAGTCGGTAAGAGGCTACAATACCTATTGAGGTAATCGTCATGAGAGGGGACGTTGCTCGTCTGCCCGCCCCTCCAACAAGGCATACTTGTATCGTTCCGTTGGAGGCTGCGTAAGAGATGTGCACCAGAGTATGTACATATTATTGTACAGCAATGCTAAACGCCTTATATGGTCAGTATGCGAGGCCAGTCATTCGTCCGGGAGAAGGGGATTATTGTGCCACATAATGAGGGGGCTCACTTGCATAGGCGCACATGTATTGCAACGAGTATCATTGGGAGGAGAAATAAATACCCAACGTAGCTACCTAAGTGAAAAGGCAAAGAAGCGGCCCGCGTTTGAGGCAATATTTTAGAGCGAATGGATACATGGAGTCAGTCGCCTTAATTCGCATGCCACCTGCAGCGGCAGCACTGTGCATCTGATGCAAGGTAGGAGGGGTAAATGGATAGATGTCGCGAGGAAGCTGATATCTTCAAGTTGAAGGTGATTTGCCCGAAAACAATAGAGAAAACTAAAGTACATAATAGCCGTGGCTGGCATCAGAGATGACTCCCGGCCTTAGCGGCAATTAATCCCGTCATAGCGTATGCGTGCTACAAGGTAGGCGCCTTGATTTAGTACTTGGAAGCTACATGGCTATACTTCTGGCTTTTATTACTGTACCTTAGGTATGTTTAGAACTGCAGGTAGGGAGTGCCCTCGTTTGAGTTAGGTCAGTATATGTAACATCTGTCAGAGCGGAGGAGCCTTGCGCTTGCGCCTTACGCCTCACGCCTTTATGTGTACATACAAAGACTTGGAACAACCTATATGGCCCCAAAACTGATGGGTAATCTGATAGGTGCTTTGACCGTTGATTGATGTGTAGATGGTGCGTGGAGAGTGTATCGGAATGTACCATATGTGCCGCGCCCTCCTGACCTCCAAATTAGCCTGACAAGTTTGACGGCATGGCAACCTTGGCTAACTACCTAAGCATTATTGTGCATACACTTAGAACATTTCTTTGTGCATACTCGTATAAGCAGCACTGCACAACCTGGACCTTTCACAAGTTCCATGTTTGTAAGCAGTGGGCTTAGCCGCACAACACCTAAGTTCTCTACTGGAGTCTTGATACTGGCAACCCGGCCATCTTCTGGTTGCACTGTTATATGAATACTGTCAACCACGAAGTTATGTAGGTTAAAATGAAGTTAATTCTTGCCCTACATGACACACAAAGCACGTGTTGCAGAGGGGCGGTACTCCGCACATCGCGTGGCGATGCGCACCTACGCGACGCAAGGCTAACATTTGCATGTACACGCACCTGTGCGGGATCTGTCGACAACCGATGTCTTATTAGCCTTAATTAATAGCGCCGATATTTAATTTGCTATGTTTCAACCAGATTGAACTATCTGAGAAAACCCATGGTATTGGGCGGCCTCTACCCACCTGCGCCATTGACGCAGAGGCAGCATCCAACCGCATTGGAACGATTCCATTGGGGTAAAGGCGTGTACATAAACACATCAATGTATACACCTATCCCGAAGACACCCAATTTTTGTATTTCGAGATGCTGTGCAATGCTTCGCACAACCCCACCGCGCCCGAATCTAGGAGCCTTAGGAAGCACAGGCATGCATGCATGTTCGACGTCAAACCACGTGGTAACTCAGTGATCTATAATGCATGCCTGATGTAACTGATGCAGTGTTTCTAAGAATATCTTTTGCTGGGTCCATAATATACCCAGATGCCCCAGATTAGATGAATACTGGTTCGATGTGGCGGCCGATTGGCGGTGAGACAATCTCCCTGGATTATGTGGGATCGGCTGGCCCTGAGGGGCAACTGGTGAGTTTTTGGATCAAATTTTGATAGAGCTTAGATTAATTATTCATTATTGTGTAGTATATAGCTCTTGAAGTTGGATTGGCATTCTAGTCGCTTTTGTAATAGTCGTGGAGAAGCTGATCCAGCCGCTCAAGGTTCTCCAAGGAACATACGATGGCTAATCTCTTAGTGTCAGTTACAGCAATTTAACTGGACTTGGGTCTCAGATCATACATGTGTGTTCTTACAATTGGTCACTGGGCTCAATTTGTCAACATAAGCAACAGTCATATCTACACATGATTGGTAGTTGCATTGCCTCTCTGGTGGTTTGACCTTGCAGCATAATATTTTTTATTTCAGCAAGCCTATAGTTTTATTTAATGCAAATTTATAGGCTGTAGCTCTCTACCGTTTTGAATTGGTTCTACGAATGCGCGCGCATAGTCTGCAGTCCTGGAGCCGCTTAACATGCAGGCTTTATCTGGTACCAAGGCTCTCGTGAATAATTCGCACTTTACACATTCATTTTACAAATAATTGTGTTCCAAGAGATATTGATGGATGACGTTTATTTCCATCATACCAATGTCTCGCCATGTGGATACCAGCTTTCATCTAGTGCGAATCTGTAGCCGAGTTTCCTCACCGATCCTTATTTAACAAGATGCTTGCCGCTCGAGTAAAACTCAGCGTCAAACGAATCCAATAAAATTCCCACGCTCCTCCGCTTCGGCCGAGCTTGGCACTCCAATTCTAGATGGTAGTGGGTCTTCGTTGGCTGACTTCTGGGAGATCTCCACGAAGTGATCAATGTTGTATGAGAGATGATGGAGGACGCTGAGGGGGGTAGCAGATTGGGCTCTGTTGTTGCACATTTACTCTTTCTTCCACACGATTTCGCGCTGAGGATAACTGGGCAGTATTCCGCAGACGCCTCAAAATAGTCAGTGATGTACAGTCCTGCATATGAGCTCGAGAACTGTTGAACATGCTCATCGATCTGACGAGACGGCTCCACGGCTTAATGACCGAGCGGATGAAGCCTCCTCGCCACAGTATCATGTTCCCGCTCGAATTGGTGAACGACTCTATATAATTCACTTCCCGTCAACACGGAATTTCCGCTTCGAATCTGGTGCAGTGTCATGACTTGGCGACTATTTATCCTGGCACCTTGTTGCTTATGTCTCTTTATGCGTTCGCGCACGGGGCCGTCTGCAATCATTTTACACGAGCTATAGGGCGCTACATCGATACTGGCAATCATTTGAATGTAGTGAAGCTGTTGCCATTCAAATAAATTCCCTCCTTTAATATCAAGTATTGTCATTACCAATCCTCCAACGGCTGGTTGTCAGAGTCACTTGTGTAATCTCTCATATCCTTGCCATTGGCTATCATCAAGACAATAGGGGAACAGCGGTATGATCTGTCTCTTATCATTCTTTGTGTGCCTTGAAAAGTTGTGCGCAACTATGAATCCAGTTTCTTTGAAAAAGGCTGGTTAGATTTGCATAGTCACTGAATTTTTCTTCTTACTAGTATTCTCCGCAGGTAGTTGTTGTTACGGAGATGGACCCAAAGGCGCTCAGAACCATCGTGGTGCAGCTACGACATATATACCTGCATTTTGCAAATATTTTGGGCCCTTTGAATTGCATTAATCGATAGGCTTCCTCCTAAACCGCGATCTTGGTTAACTTATCAATGGATATCACTTCGCTTATAATCGAATACTTCACCATAGCACACGCCTACATGCGCCAGAGCTGTAGGAACTTAAGCGCACAGGAAAATATACCAATGGAACAATCCTTGGTGACGGCTAAGTCCAAGGTTCTCGGTGGTCAATCGGGGGCATGCTTAAGAGATTCGTGGCAGACTTTGTGTTCTATTTTCGTCATCGCACATTTTGCCATCTTTTACTGGGGCTCCTCTTCGACTTGACTGTGCTCAGCTTCGCTGGTCAAATGATTACGTATTTAACATTAATTAGCGATACGTCAACGCAAGTTGGTATTACGAGGACCCTCAGCGTTATATTTGAAGCATCGGTGACGTGAATTGCGCCCTGGCCAATGGGGTGTATCGATCCAGCAAGAGCAGCACTTTTGTTAGAACGCGGAGCCCGAAAACCGCGGCGCATTTTCTTCCGTTAAAGCTGCCTGAAAAAATGCTTTCAGACTATTATCTTTCACATCTAAAGTGATATTTTCTCGCTCCGAATAGTTCAAATGGCCTTCGCCCATTTTTGCCTCGGCCGCTATAAGTGCAATATTGCGCATGGAATATTTTTCTTTATGCGAAAGGAACATTTAGTCCAATTATAATCTTTAACGGCCCTTTCAGGCATAAGGGAATACAGGGCAGAGGGAACATTACTAGGTGACTGAACAGATCGCTGATAGGGAGGGCTTTAGACAACCGCTATTAGACGAGTACAACACAGTAGCTGCTATGCGGATTATCCGTAGATGGCTTTACCGGTTCGTGGGACTTTATAACAACGACCCAGAACTGGCTTTGAGATGGGAGCCAACGAAGACAAGCCACGGTTCTCTCCTCGCACTAAGCATTCGTGCGCACGAGCCCCAGCGACGCCGTTTTTGTTCAGTAATCACTCTGTAACTGTCAAGCTTCTTCTACGCCCACCAGCCAGAGGCAATCCGCCTCAGCTTAAACGCCTGTCATCCACAACAACCACATCTCTTCCCCAAAGCCTCAGTCGAGCGTGAAGACAACCAAGCATCGGATAACCGCCACAACTAATTCCGATTTCCGATGAATCCGACGTCGCATTTGTTGAGTACTCTACCGGAGAACTCAAAATCTTCTGGGTTTGCGCTATTTGCGTGTTCAGCATGTCGGATAGGGAAGCGAAGGTGTGATAGGCAACTTCTGGGATGCCAGCTATGCTCCAGGTGTGCTATAGCGTAGATCACTTGCAAATTCAAATCGTGTATGGGTCAATTGACGCTGGAGAATATAGGAAACGCATAGAGTGCGTTTATAATCGCAGAAGCTCTCGAGCACGACGGCGTAGAAAACCTTCAATCGCATTGCCGCTAGAACAACAATCGATTGCAAACCCAAGGCCTAAAGTGCCAAAGACACAAGTATATAATCATGATTTGACATTCGCAGCACGCTTCCTAGAGTCTAGGTTACATGGTACCGCAAGGGACCACATAATTGTTCATTCAGTACCTGTGGCACAGTTTGTCCGACAAAATTGTCTGCTAGGCAAAGAGGATTCTATTCGCTCCTTCACATCTGAGTTATTTCGAACTGTGCATAAGTGGCTACCGATCGTATCAGAGAGGAAGTGCCACGAACATATCATTTCCTCCTCAGCCGCCCGTCAACCTGAAATCGTCTTAACTCTATGCTGCATGAAGTTGCTGACGACTTCGGCTGATAGTGAAAACTTTGAGCCAAGAAGCTCACTTTATGCAGCCACCAGACGACTGAGCAATGAGCTGGAAGATATGGGCAATTTCTCGCTACAGGCATTGCAAGCAAAAGTATTATTGGCCTATTACGAACTGGGCCATGCGATTTATCCAGCAGCGTATCTCGCGACAGGATCCTGTGCCAAGTACGGTATCGCGCTTGGTCTGCACAACGCCTCTCATCAAACTGTACAGACGCTCTCTCTTGATGAAGCTGAGGAGAGGCGTCGTACCTGGTGGGCTATTTTAGTCCTTGAACGGTAAGTGTACATTTGGTCTATTTTACTCCTGGCCCATGTTCAAGTCCTGTAACTGCATTAGATGGCTAATCAAGATATTTTTAGTTGTATCCGGTTGGGATACCCCGATCATGTTCTGTTAACGCCGGAACCAAATATTTGGGACTATCTTCCTATCGATGATGACGTGTGGGATAACCAGGTGATTGTTATACGTGTCGTAAGGTTGACCGCAACTGATGTTTTGAAGTCCGTATCGTTCTGCCAATTCCGCAGGAAAATATTGTCCCCCTATTGCCACCTCCAAGGCTCGAGATCGCCCGATCTGAGTCGGGAGCCACTCCAGTGCACCCCCGGCTGGCAATGTGCCGGTAGTGATTTCAAACTGCGAAATAATGGCGCGCTCAAGGCTACCAAATCGAACATCGAGAGCAAGAGCGAGTTCACTGCCTCCGCCTCGAGCTCGACCGCGTATGGAAGCAACCGTGAGTACGGGAGCGTGGACGAGCCGAAGGAGGCTCTTCCACCACCAACCGTTCTCGGCCCATGGATAACTGGACCCAAGAGCATCATAATGTGCAATCCAGAAGTCAGGGACAGACGAATCAAAGACCACGACCTTAAGATCTTGCGAGGCTTCAATGGCATCAAGGAGCTTTGCCAAATCTGAAAAGAAGCGGTCGTTCATCAAATTCAAGGGTGGATCCGAAAAGGTCGCTCGCCAGTAGGCTGGTGTAACCTGCTTTACTTTGATGAAATCGGAAGGGAAATATGTCATGTTCTTTACTTGTTCAGAAGCGAAATGTGTCTGGGATATGTGTAGGTAGTTTGTGCCTCCTATCTGAAGATGCAATATCGACTTTATATACTCGGATCAAAATCGTCTAAAATTTGTAATTTAGGAATGACTAGGTTCTGATTACGGTGATGCTGAGCTGCGGAATTCCCGCACAGCCAAAGGTCGAAATAACGGACATATTTGCGAGCTGGCATGTGGTGGAAAGAAAACACAGCCACTATAATTTGTATGTGATGTGTGGTGGTGTATTTTCTCCCCCCCTTGGCTGGGTAATGGGTAATAGTACTTCGTTAGAGCCACATTATTTTGTGGGTGTTACGGGCATCGGTCCCTAACACCCACAAAATAATGCTTGTTGTTTCGTGACTGGCCCCGCAATTGTGCGGGAGTTCCGCATAAGTCGGTTCCCACAACGAAGCACCATCTTCTGTTGGCGATCACCGTCTCATGCATTATGGGAGTACACGAGGCCCGATCAATCCTTTCTAAGATGACAGTATGGAGTCTTTGTAAGCCACAGCAAACATATTACAAATTCAGCGTTCTGCGTAGTTCAAAGGAGGAAAGGGTAGGTGGAGGCTATACGCAAGTTGTCCGGCGACGAGAGGTGTAATACACATCACAACCTCCAGCCAGACATCGGTCATGGGGACATCTCGTAGAAGGTGTCGCTTTGCAACATATCATGAGTAATTTGAGGGAGGGATTGTGAAAACCAATCTGTTAAACAGCATCACGGAGTATTGCTTTGGGTTTGGCTGTTTCCCTGTGGAAAAAGCCTACATATGCTCTTAACGCCTCACTCAAGAACCGATGAAATGGAAGATTTTTGCGCATTAAGCGCGTAGTCATGGTTCCCATATACAAAGAACTTGAGACCTTCCTCGAGGGAAATTTAATAAATGCGAATTGCCCAGAAGATTTCTGTCTTCTCGCCAGTGTTAAACCCGTCAATATTAATAAACGCCCCATAGCAACCGCGGAGACCGTTATGAAGCGTTGTCTCGTTGGCTAGAGTTCCTTCGAACAATTCCACGTTTTCGAGTTCGTACAGTTATTGAGCACGCCGAGATGATGTGTTACGGGTCAGAACTCTAACCTGATATTTCTTATCACTGACAAGACTTCTGATGGTAGGCATCCCTTGGGCACCTGCGCCACCAATCACAAATATTTTAGAGGCGTGTTGCGAATCCATTGAGACTTGCCGCAAGAAAGAGGTCTATGGAGTGGAATATCACTGCAGCAGTAGGAACTCGCGGAGTAGGTCCCTGCTATGTGGTTATATACGGCTAGTTGAGGAAATGGCCTCCGACCTATGTGTCTGCTATGTAGAGTTCTTTTTCAGTGTCTCCACAATCACTAATGCAATGCTTTGAAATCAGATGCTGCGACAATGTAATCTTTATGATATTATGTAAAGTCCACAAACACACAACAATTACTTGATTACTGAATATTTGTCATCTTATCTAATTTGTTTCTTGGAGATGAGGATGCCACTCATTTGTTATGATTGTGGGTAATAGTGACTACTCTTCTGAAACCCATCATATGCCGTTTAAATTTGCCTGACACTAGCTAAATCCTGTATTAACTCCCAGTGGCTCGAGGGGATTATGTTCATTGCAAATGTGTTCCTAATTAATAGATGCTAACCAATTGCATTTGTCACGTTTGTGGCCTGGGTTTTTGCTGCCCAATTGCCGTGTTGAGTAATCCCTACCCCACCAGACAGCTTTTAAGTGGCTCTGTCGATGCTAAACATGAAAATGGCACATCTGCAGTGTTGCGATTTGGCTGAAGAGAGGTAAATGGAAATATCTGACTCGTGTGGACTCTCATTCTTCACGATGTTAGGAGCACATATCTTGATGGCGACAAATTTATCCGACTTTTGCCAACGGATCCCAATATCATATTGTTAATTTCCCACTGATTTGAGTATAAAATGAGAAGCAGACGAGATGAAGCCAAACAGACGAGAAATATGGAAGAGCGACGCAAGAGAAATGCCAAATTACTAGCTGATATCTCAGGCAAGACAGGCAATGGATGATGCTCCCCAGCAGAGTTTAGCCAGCAGTTAAAATTTATCATTTGGAACGTCTCCCGGCTTTGCAGGGTAAAACAAATCTAGATTGTGAGGGGAGTGTTCTCCTCGTCAGTGCGAACATCCAGTGGAAGCATCTCGGGCGACAAGGGTGAAGAACTCTCCCTTACAAATAGATGAGGCAAATTCCCTGAACAGTATACTCAAAAAAAGCTGCCTGGGAGTAGCAGATTGGAACTGAGATGGAACCCAGCTGGCCACCGGCAGCTATTGAATGCAATAAGGAGCCGCAACCCTGCGGGGCCCGAAAGTCATCTTATCTAGGTAATTAAGTGAGCACTTTCGCATTGAAATAGGAATGTTCTCCCGAAATCGATTGAACTCCAAGGTGGTGAGATGGTTGGTTGTTGGCTGAAGTCCTAGTCACCGAGACTCGGGGCAGTTTCCCACTCTTTGGAACAACTAATGGTTTGTATCATCGCGCGCTTGGTTCCCATGAATTTCACTGGCCGGTGAATCCAGCGACGTACAGGGCCTCGACGACCCTTCTGGTGACCATGGCCGGAATTTAGAGTACCAAAATGTGGGAAATAATGGTTAGTGAGAGGCTCGGCCTGCCGTATCCAGGCTCGAATCTCCAGGTACAAATGATGTTCCCATCTCCCTTTTGGATCCTCACGGACTTAGTACAGCCTGCAGCATCAGCTCTCTCTCCTTGAAACCCGAAACTCTGGGTTCAGAGGCTTTGTCTTCCTTTAAAAACCTGGATGGCGTACTTGCACTCCGTAGGATCTTTAAAAGGGCAATTGGATGGAACGGCCCAACTGGGCAATGCATGTTGAGATTTACATAGCCGATAAGATACAAGCGCAGACCAGCGAGGAGCTTCAATTGTGGCGTATAAGCACTTGCGCATGCCTCTAATCTCGATCAACACGACTCTTAGAAGAAGACTAGCCTACTATAAAAATGCATAAATGATTATTTGTCGAGGTTCAACGTCAAGAAGTTCGTCTAATGATGCGCCAGGAGGGGTTGTGGCGTATAGTGGTAGCGATCTGACCCGCTATGGAGCAAGCCACAGGCAGTTTAGGCGGGCAGGTAAGCAGGTAAAGAGGGTGCAGTCATGTACACGGAGGGTGCATTCATGTACCAGGAGGGTGCAGTCATGTACCAGGAGGGTGCAGTCATGTACATAGGTAGGTAGGTAGGTAGGCTGTGAGGCGTCAATCATCCCTTTTGAATAGCTGAACCTATTACAATATATTGTTCCAGAGACTAAACAACCAGCTTCATTCAATAGAAATGGAGCCAATATACCAAGCACAAATAAAAATGAACTCGCCTGTTTTTCCATACAGCCCCCCCGTTCTTTAACTTTTAATTATCTTCTCTGCAGTGAATATTGAAGAGCTTGCTGATGGATGTATGCATTTGCCAATGGCGAATTGCTTGTTGCGCGGGTTCAAACGTTGTTGCCCGGAGGTTTGCCACTGGAGCCAAACTGGGCTTCGAAAGCACGCAGCCTCGCCATCATTCGGGCTTTGGCAGCAGCTTCAGCTTCGGCCGGAGATTGGATTTTGCCGAATTCTGTGGGACAGCGCTGCTCCGGATCAGCAAGGAAGCGATCGATGCGATAGCTGTGGCTGGAGGAGCGGCCGTTGGTATCGGCGTGTGGCTTCGTGTTACTGTGCCAATACATTAGCATGAACACTTCAGTTATTACTTGCAGCATAACAACCGGCGGCCTATAGCCAAGTTACGACAAACGAAAATGTCAATCTATATCCATGACCTACTTATCGCAACCATTGCGCACGGTGTGAGTAGAAGAGGACGGCATTCTAGACAAGAAAAGTTCAATGTCCTATTTTGGTGCAAGAGTATTCCCCACTAGGTGCTGGGTACTAGGGGATAGCGGCAGCGAGAACGTGCTTTGTGCACCGGGAGCACCAAGAATAGGAAGGACAAGAAGAGGAAGGACAAGAATATAAAGAACAAAAAGAGAAAAGAGACACAAGAAAGCAGGGCGCCGCGTTGGCCTTTGGGTTACCAAGGGATTTCACCCGAGATTCATGTCCATAACTTGGCGCCGTGCCGTAATATATATATGCACCCGGGTTTGACTGACCACCAAGGGTAGACCGCAATATCGGTGCCGCAATCATAGCAAAAAAATAAGCCCGACCAGCAAAAAAGCCACGCGAGAACCCATCTAAGAGGCGGCGAGCTCTAAAAAGAAGGCAGCGTCTCATCTCTGGATCCGGACCTTGGGTGCCTGTTCGGGCCGTGAGCCATCAGGCTGGCAACATGAACCGTCTGTGACACCCGAAATAGGTAGGCAATTCTAGACCTATAGCAGTAATTGCCTCCTGTCCGGGGCCATCTCACGCCCTGCTTTTCATCAGTTTATACAAATATATTAAAAGCACGATAAAAGGAACTGTAGCTTAGAAGGCTATCATCCTCCTATATATACAGGTTTAGTTTATAAAATTATACACCCGCCTTAAAAACACGCGCGGTGCAGTAACTAACACACGTGTAAGTGGGATTGAACTTTTACATTACGTATATATCTAGATACGATTTTAAGTTGATGGTGTTACAGTAATATTTACATGGCCGAGAATTAATGCTCTACGCCAAGACATTGGAAATCTGGCTGCACAGAATTGCTCCATTTGATCGGCGCACTTCTATCTGTGAGATCCGATTGCCCATTGTTTCTTTTTATTCTTCCAGCGAACGGAGAAATGGGGTTGCACCTATCGGGATGGAGGGCGAAAGAAGGTTATAGCGATGAGAGATTGCACCACCTTGTCCAGATGCCGATAACCCCACCCCCAACAACCTTACGGATGCCCTAGCTGAGCAGTTGAAGCCTTCCTCCGTATTGTTATCTACTTTGCCTTTGGATGGCTGACATCTAAGCGGGGACTAGAGGACGCCTCTCCTTCATTTGGTGACGGCTAATTCATTTCGCTGACGGTGCCATTCCATCTAGTCTGATCCACCGGTCCGGAGTATTCCCAGGGCTAACTTGCAAGTTGCTTTCATGGTGTGGGCTGCATATCTTGATATCAATTCCCCGTATTCTGCAGTAGGGGCAGCGGCGGCTCCAAAACTGACCCTGTTCGGGCATCGACCGGCAACCGTCCGCAACACCAATATAGGTAGGTCTAAACCAACAGACGTGCAAGTGGGATTGAACTTGGGCATTAGGTACCCATGTACCTTCATAGGTAGGTAGGTACAGTTTTAAGCCGACGGCGTTGTAGTGATACATGCATAGCCTAGAATTGCTTTTGCTAAGCGGGCGCAAGCTGGAGACTTCGACGAAGAACTCATTCTACAACAAACTGGCTCGCAATCAAGTCTTTCTCACACCAGAGGGTTTACAAAAGTTACGGGATTCGTTTGTGATAGTAGTGGGTTGCGGGGGCGTCGGTTCACATTGTGCTGCTACTTTGGCTCGGTCAGGTTTTTCCAGCTTCGTCTCATCGACTTCGATCAAGTGACATTCGGTTAATGCCGGATAGCTAAACAACGACATGGTATATTTACAAAGAGAAAGGCTGTGATGGAATGTAGATTGCGCGAGGTGGCATCCAAGGTTCAGGCCTTGCGCAGAGGCGGAAAATTAGAGCAAGGCGGACAGGATACAGCTAGATACCATAACTTCGGGATTGATGAAGGACTTGGCGAGCCTCGTGTACTCGGTCTAGACTTGGTTTTTATCCTGGATTAAGCCTGATGAAGATTATGCACATGGAGGTCGGAGAAAAGCCCAGAAACTACAATTGTAACCGCACGAATCGAGAGCCCATGTCTTCGTTTCGGGCTGGGCATATGTACCTGGTTTATGCATTGGATCCTGCGTTTTCAATTGAGCTCGTTGAATAGACATGCCTTGGCAACTCTAGCAGACGCTGGCACTCACAAAGTGCAGTGCCTATACCGACACCTTATCTCCATCGCTCCTCTACACCCTTATTGCCATCGCTCCTCCACACCAAGACATGGCAAATCTAGCCGCGCATTGTGCTATTTGATGGGCGCACTTCTACCTGTGATCATGATTTCGTTTCCTATGCCGGGGTAATACGGAAAAGCCAAACCAGAATGGCCAACTCGCAAGGCATAGGAACATTGAAGGCAATGGTGGTATGAGATGCGAGATGCCGACGTGTCCACCCTACATCAGGACGAAGCCACCTTCAGTTACTTCAAGGATGCCTAGCTGCGTAGTTGAAGCCTTACTCCGGAGTGTTACCACTTTGCCATTTTGACGCCACCTCGCATGCTGCAGTGTAGCCACTAATGCTTGGGATGGCAGATTGATGTCGAGGTAATGGCATCTAAACGGGCACTAGAGGACGCCTCTATGTCGGGAACGGCTGATTACTTCCAAGATGGGAATGGCAGAGCATCAGCTATCGGCGCGAATCCGATCAGCACCCGCCAAAAGGACACACAAAGACCGTCTCGATGCTAAGAAGGACGGTGTTTACATGGACGCCTCTTCTCTGAGGGCTGTCTTTTCGGCTTTAACTGCATGACTAAGACGGTGGGGTGCCTGTAAGATAGTCCCTGACCGAGCAGTTCGTTCTGTCTTTAATGCTAGATCCTCTGGGCTGTGGCCTGCCTCGAAGCCTCGGACAAAGTCCTGTCTGCACAGCGCAAGTCCCGGCCCACCCCACGCGCAGCTACGAGTGTGCACGTACGGAGTACATGTACGGAGTAATCCCGCGCTACAGTACGTGTGGCAGAGAAAATCCCATCCAGCGGCAACGCCAGGGAAAAAAAGAGACAATGGCCCACTGCTTCTGCCCCTTAAAGTCGTTGATGGATCCGAATAGCAACCCAATAGATATGCTGTATAGAGAGACGCCACTTTGTACGCCTTCCCGTTTATTGTAATGTCTGTACTCCCCCTTTGCCTTGACCTCCGTCTCGGCCGCTGTCCAGGCCCTCTTACATGCAGTCTGCCCAGCTGTTCCGTGTCAAACACGCCAACTCTAAAGCTGCAAGCATTGACAGCGCAATCACAACCTCGACGCCTAAATTTGATGCTAGACTCCCTACGTTGAGAGAAACGGTGACCAAGAAGGTTGTACGATCCTCCCATTATAAAATGGTCCCCTCCCCTCAATATTTCATCTGGGCATCAGCCAGTTTTCTCGTGCATCATAAACTCCAGACACATTGAATCTTCGCCCATGTACCGTGCCTTATTCAATTCTCGCCTGTGTACCAATAACATTTCTCAAGATGCCGTCCACTTCTGCCGACGCTGTTTATAATGGCAGTAATGAGTAGGTAGTCTTCTAGATTTATTTTATCCCTTCTCCTTTTTATTATCATCATTAGATATATGCTCCATTAGACTCTCATATAGTCGTCAGACATGCCCACGCACCTATTACATTGCCCCGCCGTTGAGCGGCAATACATACATGTACTCAGCGCCTTACAATTATACATCAATGCGCATGAACAGGTGCACTTGCTTACAGGCAATGCAGAGGGAAAATTGCCCAAACCATCACATACAACATTGATCGCTACATCGGTAGCAATGACAATATAGATCATGCCCGCCCTCCCGTACCATTTATACCCGCACGGGATGCGGCAGCAGCCGAAGTCGAAGAAACGGCGGCGATACTTGCTCGTCTGGATGCATTCGATCAACAATTTAGCTCAAACGCCAATCATGCGAATAAGTAAAATTCCATGATCAATTCTAATGACTGATCAAAGTGAAGTAAGTGTTTGCCTCAAAGACGTGCTATTTCCGACTGCCTGTATAGATGCACTGACAGCAATAGCGCATAATTCGGTCAGGTTGGTTATGGAGTCAATTTAGGTGTCTATGTACGGGATGTTGGGCTTGGTCCATAAGGGACATGACTGGAAATCGTGGCACTTGTCGAATTGAATGCGGCACGCGTGTGCTGGGGCGTTAAATTCAGCCCTTATTTCTAGAAGAAGTTAAAAGGATTCAGTAATAATACAAGAAATGCGTTGTCATCAGAAATCTTTCTCGGGGCTTAACGGGCTGCTTGGGCACCAGTAGGTTCGAATTGATGATCATCTGATCGTTTCGATTTTAAAGGTAATGGGTCGCGCGCCGTGAGTGTTAAACGCCATGTGATATGGTTGCCTTTACCGAACCCTTCGGCATTGACTAAATGAACTAAATATGTAGGTCTGCTGCGTATTACTTTGATACTGGCGCCAGAAGCTCACCCCTACCGCCAAGACATTTCCGTGAGAAGACCCGTCATCTTGAATCGCTCTACAAAGATTGGATGAACATGGCACAGTACCTGTACTTACCAGAAAGGAGTGCTCCTGTTACATCATAGGAGAGTCAGCTTTTCCCGTCCAAAATGCAATCTTTCTCGACTCGCGCCGTCTACAAAGGGAGGGATAAGCATCTAGGTACTTCCCTATATTGACGCTCGCTCGTCTCCTTTAGCCATGGGCCACTGAATGGTTTCTATGATCGTGTCTTCCGCCACAGTTGAAGTGTCCATGCTCTGCATTTGCCGCTGGCACAGGAACAACAAGCCAAATACCGCCATCAACGGCCTCTCTGGCCATAGCCGGAGTATCGGCCTTGAAGAAATATCGGGCTTGCTTTTCCTGAGTGATGCACGCTATACCTCAGAGGGGGATACGGAGCCGAGCCGTTGCAGGGTTTGCCTTCTCCGTACATGTAATAACACCGTACGAGTATAGCGCTATGCTGTAGCCTTTGAGCGCCTCCGGGCGATTCCCGATTAACTGAGCCGCTCGAACATGCCGCCTCGTCAGCTTCCTTGTGAGCCCTTCGGGCCGGGGTCTCTCAAGGTCCTGCACACCCCTGCCGACCCTGATGACAAGGGTCCGGGGTAGAAGCATGTCGTGTCGTGACATGTTCGCGCAATACCAAAAAATCCTAGCTTCGGGTCAGGTCGAGCGGCAAGTGGAATCCATCCTGGTGGGCTCGATGGCTCACCGGTCGACTTACCCGTCGATGATCCTAGACTTCATCGTCCTACTTATGCGGCCACGGTCCCCGCCTTTGCTATCAACTCATCCATATGATGAATCACCTTTAAGCTTATGTATTTATATCGCTATTTTAAGCCTTTTGTTTTCCTTTTTGTTAAGACCTTATCTTTAGAAAGCTCATATACATATTTGCAAGATATTTCTGTCCTTAGACCATTCGTGACCCTCGCCTTATCTCTCCCACAACAATTATAGCTCGACAATTAATTATTCACCACTACCAAGACTAGTATCCATTCTTCGCCCTGGGACATATCGATATTGAGTATTTCCAAGGCTGGTAGTGGAGTTGTCTCGAGAAGGGGAGAGGGGGCCCTGGCGTCTGTAAAGATGGAATTGGATGTTTTTTATGCGGCTTGGGCAGCGAGTGAAATATCTTGCACTCTGGCTACAAGCGCTTCGGTACCTATGTGGTTTTCGCGATGATGATGTCCCCCGATTAAATCGCGAATGTGGTATTGAGGCTTGCCCAAGCGTCGAGAGGGTGTGTGCAGGGCAGAAATATGTGTTAATCGTGACAAAGTGCTCCTCTCATAGAGTGCAACCACCTATTAACGCTGTCCTTCAGTGACAACATGCGACTTGTAGTATACCGAGACGAGCGCGTCGTTAATATTTGAGACTTTTATTTTCTCCCAGAGTGAACATAGAGATGCATCTTAATCTAAATCCACAGTCACTTACAACAGTTGAAGGGGCATGTATAGCAGCGCAGGATCCTGTGAATTGGCAGATAACAATTTGTCAGCCTACATGTACCTAAAATTCGTGTACGACCGGTGTTGAGATTTTCTGGTCGGAGCTAGGCTGTTGTTTATAAAGATCTTAGTGGTACCAGTTATCGGCGAACGGAGATGCAGCTTCGCAATCTTCCTCACCGGGAGCCGGCGGGCTGCCTGGCGGGATTAGGCTGGGTGAGGACTTGACGGGCTAATGACGAACTCAAGGGAGCGTTACGGTGTTGTACGATACCTCTCGTTGCAAGCCGTCGACATGTTCTGCAGCGTTGGTGGCCAGCATAATGGCTTTGAAGTAGCCTCCAAGAGCAGACTTGTAAGTGCATTGTTTATCTACCTTCTGGTAAACATCATAAATCACAAGTCTTGTCCCCATTTTGTAATACACAGGTGGTCCTCCAAGTCATTATTTTATAATTTTTTTGAACGCCAATAAAAAAAACAAAGCCTTGAAATGAAATGAAAGATTTAGTTGTCGCTCGGACCGCCTCCTCCCAGGCCAAACTTCTCGTTAAACTTTGACAGCAATCTTCACATCCGTTCTTCTGCCTCCATTTCATTTTGTGGCTCCATAAGTCCTGGTAATGGCCGCTGGTAGTTTTTATCAAATTTATCGCCGTTGTGTTGGAGAAACCGGTCCATGTTGTATGTGGGATCGTGAGGGACCTGGAGAGGTTGAGCGCGACAATTAGTGGCGGCGCGGTGTTCTTTGTCGCTTTGTGATCTTAAATTTCATTAGGCAAGGCACATGTATAATCGTCGCAAGTAAAAGATACAAACAATGACAAAGAGGAAGAGTAATTGATGAAGTTTTGTGACGAAATTATGTGTATTTTTTTTTTTTTTTTCGCAAGCAAAGACCATCTTGAAGCTTGATACAATGGCATGTTTTGTGTCTTGTACATACAGATTTCTACCACTGAGTATTGAGCACGTGGATGAACTGGGCATTTTGGGTGAAGTGTAGTTGCAAGGAAGCCAAAGAATAGCAGACAGACAAGACACAAGGTCTACTATTTAGTAGTAGATGCGATGATAGTGCGATATTGATATGCGACTGTTTCCTGACTGGAGACCTCCGGCCGTATTTATACCAAAACTTGGACAAAGAGCAGACCCATGTACCTACGTATCAATTCACTCTGACCTTGGAGATCAAGATTTGCAAACATCCACAAAGACAGGCATTCCCCTTTATCATTCTTCATTCATCTTGGAGCCGATTGTAATTTCGAGTCTTCAGGAGGAAGAGCGTATGTTGGCCAATAGATGGGTCAGTTCAAATTGCTGTGGCTGCCATTGAAGTTTGCACTTCCAACTGTTATACTTGACACTTCCAAACCAGGGAGCGGATGAAGACGCATCGTAACAGCACCAATTATATTCTGAGCTCCACAAGATCGGATGTCCCTTGCCATATGCACACGCGTTACTTGCATGTGGCGTTTTGCGCGCTTCACAACGGCGCCTCAATCACTATTCTTTGCTTTTGACATCTTTATCAACAGTGTATCTCTACTACGTATTGATACGCACGTCACAACCAGTGCGAGTAAAGTACAGTTAGGTAGTTCCCATGGCTAGACAAAAGTAGGTGGCTTTGTATTGACCTCGAGACAAGGGTCGTTCCGACCGGGACGCCGTTTTTCTCTCCTCGAGGACGCGCCTTTAATAGATCTATGCTCAGCGAAATCGACGTATACTCACCAATCGGCAACGCCTGCCGCACCCCGGAGGTTCTACGCGTGTTTCGGCAAATTCGACAAGCTCGAGGCTATTGAGCAGACCAAACATGAAGGCGCTCGGATTGTCGGATGCCCAGCATTTGACAGGCCAGAAATCAAGGGGCCGGTTTATCGGTAGCCAGCCTCTCACATTTCTCCTCTGGGTGCGCGTTGCTGGTCTTTTAGCCATACCGACGCCAGCTTCAGTGATACTGTACATCCTCCAGAGCGCGGTATTTGCAGAAATAAAACGTAGTAAATTATATTGTAATGAAGATAAAGCAGCTCAAGTATACTATCGTCAATTTTTTTGGTCAATTTCCCAATTTATCAGTAGCCCTCAATACGAGAATTGCCATTCTTCTCGTATCTTGGCGAATCACATTTGTGCGCTCCACTAGACATTTGTTTGCTATCTATCATTGACCAAAGTCAAGCAACTCAGAGTTTCCGAAGGCTACCATGGCCACACACACTATATTGACAGCTTCGGTGCGCTTATGAAAAGGCAAACTCTTGTTTCATACATTCCGACCACTCGTTGAGGCAAGTTTCTTGTCAAAAGCGCACAACTTGGCAAGGATACGGGTTTTCGACTTGGCTTCTGCTTCGTCTTCGCTCTGTGTCTGGCTAAATTCGATGGGTGGACGCTGATACTCGGCAGATGTTTCGTTGTTATCGCTGAGAAATCGATCCATGCAATATTTGGGATCGTCGGGGATGCCAGCGAGGATGACTAACTTCGCACCATCGCTGGAGGCGGCCTGAGGCCCGTTGTCCCTGTATAAAGTTTATATTAGCATATATGTTCTTCTGAGAGATATTTGTTGAGGCAAATGAGACCAAGGATGGAGCGTCATGGGTCAGGGCATAGTCACAACGTTTATACGTGGTTTGGCAGGGACGCCGAGTAGAATAAAGATATATAAAATATAATGAGAATAAAAACTGTAATCAGGATGCACTTACGCATTGGTAGGACTGTAGATGGCACCAGTAGATGAAGTAGGCATCGTTGCCGAGTCTTGAATTCTCTAAGATGAATCCAGGTAGATAGGTAGTAAAGCTTGGCCAAAAGGCTTATTGGGTGATGACTAGGGCATATTAAGTACCGATATATGACCACGAAACGGCAAATAATAGAATGGAATCACTGGCTATTTATGTTGAGATAAGGAATAGGTAAAAAGCAAAACGCGCTTTTGTATATATTCCACAGATGCGTTTCCGGGTAGGTAGTCAAATGTTTAGAAGCAGAGGATTGATATCGTGGTGTGGCAGACCGGGGACCCTTGTACACCGGTTGCGTCAAAACGACACTAAAATGTTATGTATGCTAGGCAGGCGACGGGCCGTGATGCCGATGTCTCCTTTTTGTCAGACATACTGCCCATGCACTTTGCGTTTCCCAGAGCCTCGTGGAGACTTTGTCTCTTGTCTTGGCTCTAGGCTGTATGCATGAACCAGAAGTCTACACACTGTATACATACTTATTGACTCTTAGTCTTACCTACTCTAGGCACCTTGCATGTGAGGAAGCACAGAAGCTCTTTCTTTGTGGTATCGAGGTTCACACTACTCCGCACCTGCCTGAGAATATGGTGATAACCTCGGAAATCCCATGCACCGATATACCAAGACTACATGAATCTACATTTACGTCTAGGCATTGCCATTTTGATAGGAATACTAGGAATACGTATGGGACGTGTACCGTCTACTCTAGATTTAGTACCCAAGTCGCTCAGCTGCTACGGTAGTTGCGCCTTGGGTACACACCCGTGCTTATCAGCCGTATGAGGTACAAGGAGGTAACAACGTCTGGTCTTGATCTACTAGGCATAATCTAGGCGCTTTATAGAGGTACATAGGAGTATGACGGCAGTCCCGAATTGAGGCGCACCGTTCCATGGCCTCGGGATTTTAAGGAGAAAGTATAGAACAGCCTTACACAGCGCGTGCTTCCTGCTTCGTACCCCGTAGTGGTGCTACGTATACGAGTATATACGAAGGTGTTTTGTACTCTTTACTTGACATAAGCTGTTTCCCTCATGCCTTGATTAGTACGGGGTACTCTGTACCCTGTACAGATCTAGGTCCCTGTCAGTGTCCCTGTTACGGAACCCTCCCGATCGGTGGGGGTAGGCAAAATGTCAGCTAAAGAATAGGACAAAGTACTGCGGGGAAGGAAAAGGCACTATATCAGTGGATGAGTTGAACCTATTGATGAGCTAGTACTGTAAAACAGGGCGAAGGCAGCTTAGGGGGTGGAAATGGATGAAGTGATGGCCAGGTCGAGAAGAGAAGCGATGGAAGCGTTTCACAAACACGACGGTTGGGAAAAGAGCGGATTTAGGAAGATTAATCACAAACAGGAGGCATTCTTCTAGTTAGCATAGGCTAGCATTATTGGGATTAACTTGATGTGATTATTGTTTTATTATGTAGTTAGCTAACACAATATGCCGAATAACGGATGACTGAATAAAGGGTATTCGAAAGGGCCGGGCTCCATATCAATCATGGCTCCGAAGTAACCCGATTGAATATTAGTTTCGGTGCCGAAGTTCATAAGGCGAAGTAAGAGAGGAAGCGTGGGGGAGCGGCTGGGGAAGGCTTGGCTTGAAACTAAGGCAAAAGCTCTGGTCAATGTCGGGGGACCGGATGGTGCCTAGATTGGAATATAACAGTCCGTCGTTCTTTTCTACGCCGCTTCAGGTATAACCTCATGCTTCATCAGTTGTACAATGCTTTTACTACTAACCTTACCTAGACGGGAGCTACTGCTAGTGGTCGCTCATCAAGCCTTACATTAAAACTATATCCCTGGTACATACAACAACACTGGCGCTGCAGAGTGACGGCATCGATGATGCATATGGGTATGACATATGATATGCATATGGTATGCCTCACCGGTCCGGCCGAACTTAGGAGGATTGCCTTGTACATTTAGTTAGCCTAACATGAAGTCCTCATTCCGGCTACCTTATAATTTCTCCATACATGTCATTTCGCGATGCATGCAATAGTGGTTGCTAATAGATCCTTGTCAATAGAGATGAATATTAACTACGCCTTAAATTACAAGGTACATGCACCGCCGGTATCATAGCCTCAGATGTATTATTTTATTTACCCTAAATGCAAACACCCGTGATTATACAAACGATGGATTATCGAAAGCAATCTGCATACCTCCGATTTCAGAAGGTATTGAGGAAACGCGTCATTATTTATATAAGTGTGTGCAGAACAGGTCTCAAGTGTCTATTCTGCTGTATTTTTATTGGTGGATGTATATCTAGAAAGCGCTATTACTTTGCCAGCATGAACACCATTTCCCTTATCCTTTCGAGGTTCGATGTCCGGGGAAGCGAGAGAGTGTCAGTACCTATCCATGCTGACGAAGCAGATGTGAGGCGAGTGCCGCAACCGCGGATGTAAACCTTAGCCAATACGCTACGATACCCCATCATTCCACTTTCTACAGCTATTGGACACTGTCTGTAGGCAGTGACGCAAACACGGCGTGTGGAAAAGCCGATGTTGGTGTGTGGACAGCCCTCCAATCTCGTCGTAGTATGAGCGAGCTATAGTGCTCGGCCCTCGCGTCTTCTCCAATCTGTTTGATCGCTATAGGGGATTGCCCATCTAGACGAAGAAATAGCGGATAATGCCCCCTGCTGCATGTGTGTCGGCCCGCCGAAAGAAGAGGGGAAGGGGACTTTGCCGTTAATATTACCCAGGCAAGTCCACATTATCTTGTAGTATTTTGCACGTTATCCGACGATGGTACCTGCAGAGCCGCTTGAACCCGCGACCTTTTATTAATGGTTTTCATCACCCTTGTATATTTACCTGCAGATACCTCTAAGCTCTTCAATACACTCTGATTTCCATAAATGTTGATGATGCTTCCCTTGACCTATCCTGTTGCTACCTAAGCGGCTATTTTGGAGTATCTATTCAGAGTAACTACCCAGAGAAAGGAGTTTCACTTACCGTTCCCGTTTTATCGGTTCTGCGATGAAGCAAATTAGCTGCGCTCACTTATGTGTCTGTCGCTTACAGTACATGATCCTATTAGGGTGTTGCTACAACAGGTATTATCCTTTGTTTCCCTTCGGTATGGATACCGTACATGTAACTACACGGCCCGTAGCCGAATCTTCCTTGTCGAGGCCGCCCTCTTAGCGGTGGCATAAGACAACGCAGGCGTGGACGCTATGCATCCTTTCAAACGCTGCCGTCCATAACTGCGCATGCAGGATTTATCCGCGGCTAGATATCGCTGAACCCGGTCCAATCGACTGTCGAGAATCCTCGGTAATCCTGAAAAATGATTGGATGCACTCATGGCCACCGCATACTACGACAAATTAAGCAAGCGTACATCCGGTATTCTTGATAAGAACGAGTCTGTTTATGTATCTCCACGGAGCCCTGAGCCTTATGTCTCTAGCAGGCTGAGTGCATGAAAATGAGGAAAGTGAGCCGATTTTACCACACGTGCCTAATATATACGTATAAAAAAGGGAGTATGAACCTTAATTGGCCCAAGAACGCTGAAGCAGTGCTCAAGGGATGAGAGCTTTGATGTGTCATAAATGACGTGTCCATGTTAAAAGGAGGCGAAAGGCAGCAATTGACTTTCTCTATAGAGCTATGGCCATAAGATGTGCTGCTGACGTGGTAATGAATGAGAAAATGGATGCTACGAGGTGGGATGTTACCTACCTACCTACCTAATAGTCGAATTCCTCTTTAAAGTCCATTGATTATATGGCATATCATCAGAATTGTAAACGAGTAACCACACATGTCTTATTATTCGCTCTACTTCTGATGAAAACATGTATCAATTCTTATAAAATGACTTCTGCACAATCCTCTGAATGCGCTATTTGTCTCGTAGTCAGGAGGTCTCGTTTTCCCGTACTTCTTGTACGTACAGCGTGGCGCTGGTGGGTAGCCTGACGTTTCAACGCAATCCCATTTGGAATCCATCATGTAGTTACGCTCTGATGTGGCACGTGTACGTATTAGATAGCGTGTGACTTTTCGTTAACCCCTGCAAGGCGGTGGTTTCCATAACATACACAGCGAAACACTACGCTTGTACTGGTTCGTCTCACTTTTCGATAGTGCAACTGGATACCCATAAGGAGACGTGGAAGCTTAGAGAAAAGTTTAATGTGATAAATCTCTTTCCGCTGTATCTTACAGAGATCAGATCCATGTTCACCCAAGACATTAGGGAAGACAGCTGGCAGCCTGCTACCATTGACGCTGGAATTGTGCCACTTATCTGGTAAAATATCAGGTTACTTGTGAGGGAAACCATTAGATAGAGACTCTAAATTAGGAAATTTGCTACAATACCATCACCACGAAGGCCGCAAAGAAAACAAATTCGGGTACTTGAGTTGGAACATATGGGTGGAGAGTATATACATGTATATAGAAGTTAATTTTAAGATCAAGATGAGAAGTTCAATGCTGTAACGGCTGGTTCAATAACAGGCTATAGATACATGTATACTCTGTCTCTTTTCGCGTGATGGAGATCTGTGTTGCCGTTCTGCGCGTCCTTGTTCATTTTCGGCACCTCACTTTGTGTCTGCAGCTCTTGTAGGTGATATGTATACTTAGAAGGTATTTATAGTATAAAAATTCAATGAAACGTCTTAATTGCTGGAAGTGTTATTAGGAGGCAATTATATTTATCTAGATATCTAATCGAGCACATATAGTAGCTATACAACACAGATGATCCAGCTGTTGCAACACTATCAGACTTCTCATGTTGATTTTAAATTTGGCATCTATAATACAGATGTATACGATGTGACGATACATTATATATACGTATGTGCTAACAGGTAGCGGTTTAATTCCTCATAAGTGTCTAGGTTTGATGAGATTCGCGGTTTGCGGCCAATTGGAAGTCAGAGTTGTGTAACTCTGAGAGTTCATGTATATCGCTTCGCTTCTTCAGGACTCTGTGCCTGAGAATACTCATAAATTTGATCAACATAAGAATAGCTGTAGTGATAAGATGGGTTATAGATATCATATTCCAGGTTGGAAAAGCAGCCAGGGGTCATTACTAGTAGCCGAGGCTGTTGTGTTGCTCCTAATGGTTTTGTTAATTCTGGAAACAGACAATGGAACCCTTGCTTCAAGTGAAGTAAAGTAGTGTCCGTGTATCTTCGTTTGAGACCTCATAATCAGCGAATGCTTCCTTCATTTCCGCTGCCCAGTTATGGCCCAAACACAAGCATACACCCATTGTCGCCGGCTATGCAGACATATCTAGACAAAACTTGACGTCATGCAAGGTAAATACATAGGTCCTTTGTTGAAAGATCTGCCTAAAACTGTCTTTCATTCTTGCTGCAGTGCTATCAGTTGCCCGGCAATGCTTCATCTTAGGTTGCTACCTTTTCCAGCGTTTCTACAAGACCTCTTGTTGTTGGTTCTCACCATACTACCGAATTTGATGCTATTAAAGTTCAATTTCGCCATCCAGCCACGCGCCAGCCTCATCACGCAGTCAAACTCATGTAAGCACACCAATTGGGAAGAGATCTGGTAGCTTTACCGCGCAAATATTGACACTAGTTGACTTGTCTGCCACTTTGCAAAGCTGGTTGGGTCTAATCTTCAATTGAAACCTCCGTTAAGGCGCGAAATCTAACACAGTGGTTTAATTTGATCCTGGTAAACTGATATGAATATTTGAGATAATGAGAGTAGACCGGCCAGTTCCTCAGAATCTTGAAGCTGTGGTAAGAATCTCTGAAATTTGAATCAAAGCTCTTCACATAATAGGTGGGTCTTATTAGCAAGATTGGGTCGTACCATTAGCGGAATGGGTGGGCGAGACCGTATTACGTCGGGTTGCTATGTTTAGAATGTAGTAGTTTGAACGAAAGAAGAGAGAATAGCTCCTAGGATAGTATTAATCATGCGTAAGCGATTTAAGTGAATACATCGAGCGTAATGACGAGCAAGTGCTCCTTCAAAGGCTGGTAGTCGAAGAATGTAAGGGTCCGTTATAGGAGATATAGACGTAGGACCTGGACGAAAGTGGATATGCAAGTGGTTATATTTGTGCGGCCGAACAAGCATCTCTTGAAGTAGACCAATCAATTGAGGTTGATCCGGAGCGACCGGGTGTTGAGTGCGGCAGAGGCAAAAGTAGGGGCAACCTCCGTTAATATACTGCGGTGGCCACCGGCAGACCAAGAAGCATCCATACATGTTGCGTTGGAGAAAGCATGTGGGTGGGCAGGCCGAATCATAATGGTCGAGGGTGGAATTCGGTGTCAGGCGAAACGGCTCCATTATTTTCTAACAGGTCCATTGGCATTGGATAACCAGGGATTGCGAGGCCGGCTCATGCCGGCTCAGCAAGCACCAGACTGGGACGGACCCATACCAGAATGGAACGATGTGAAAAAGCATGAGAACCATGGCGCTAGGGGTCTCAAGCTTATATGCAAGTACGGAGAGGAAACACTATTTTGGCAACTGACCAACTTGAGACAGGTACAAACAAGGAGTGCTAAAGGGCTGCAGAAGGCATGAGGCTCGGGCTGTCTGGAGCAGTCTGTGCGGTACCTGATCCGAAAAACTGTCCGAGGCAGCACCCTTGTACGCTCATGGAAAGACCTGGCATTCGCTGAAGGCATTAGGCCTTGTAATTTAACAACCCCTCAACTCTTACAAAACTGTCAAGCCGATTATCATATTGCAATGCATGTGGCAAATGTCAAGGGACTAGGCAGCCGATCTGCGGCCCGTGCTTGTAACAAAGGTGGGTCGAAGAAACAAGGTAATCTAGGGTTTCCTTCTTGGCTTTCGGAGATCTGGAAACATTCACAAGCTCCCCGCTACACCTTTCGGCCAAGTGATTTAGCAACAAGAAGAAATACCAAGTTCGATTATATCTAAACAAACTGAGCGAATATTAATATTAAATATACATACAGACCAAATACTCCTCCAACCCATTCCCAATGTATACATGTTCACATGCTGCAACCCCGTCCCCCACCTCTTAGTTGTCATTAGAAGCTTCGCCACTCGGGGAAATTTTCGTCTGGAAGCTGTGCAGCTGTTCTTGCATACGTTGCTTCCGCTCGGACGGGCTCTGTGCCGACTGCCCTGGTGGGTGGTTTTGGTCGGCAAGATAGCGGTTTAGGCTGTACGAGCGGTTGTATTTATCGGCCGACCGGGTGTTACTGGTGGCAGTTGTAGATTCATTGTTGCTACAAACGAGACACTTTGGTTAGCAACCAAAATGCAATAGAAAAGTGCATATAGTCTGCACCCAATTTTATCAAATAGTTTGTGTCTTATGATGTAAGCAGTAAAGGGTGGTAAGAAATGTTATCTTGGCCTGAGAGTTGTTTGCGCACAGGTATCAGACACTACGACGCGAATTTGCATTCTACCTAGCCATGTAGAGAAAAGCGAAAGAGTAAAGATAAAAGAAGCAATATCAATAACAACACTTACACATTACTGCCGTTATAGGCGACGCAACTGGATGAATGGGGCATATTGATAAACAAGAGCCCGAAAAATGGGTAATTGAAGATGATAGAAATATGCCGGATGATTAAGGCTGTGACTATAGGTATAATAGAAGTTATAGGATTGAAATTGGGAGAGAAGCACGTATAAGAAGTATTTGTATGTCGGCGAAAAACACACAGGCAATGATTTTGTCCCAAGCATGACTTATTCCGTAGAGACAGGAGCAAGTCTGCGTTTTCCTTGGGGCGGCAGGTGATATTTAAGAGGATGGGACGGGTGGGACGCGATTGAGACTGAATGACGTTGATAGCAACACAACTATCATGCCAGCAAGAGGCAAAAGGAGGCGCCACTGAAGAGACTGGGATTGCGTATTTCAGACCGTCCTCACCTGAAGGAACCTGGCCTTTTTTGCAGCAATGCCAGCCATTGAGACGAAACCCTAGACCTAGACGGTACCTGTAGCTAGGGAGTGTTTTGTGTGATGCCACTTGACCTGGTTAAAGTATGGACGGTTGTCGGCTCACTGCATTGGCGTATCCACAAGTTTCAGGCATAAGGACGAGCAGAGCCGCAGGAGAGTGCCGGAGAGGGTGCCTTGCATGCAGTCCACCTAAGCTTGGTTCTAGAACAGTGTTCCGCCCTGGCAGATCCCCTCACTCAGCTGCGGGATAAGAACCAGACAAGTATTGATTAACGGAATGCATAGTGTGTGTGTGGAGTCAAGGTGCCGATGACTGCATCCTCACCTCGTAATTCCATGCCCTTGTCCCGGGATAAGAGCTTGAGAGGCATATGTTGGGGCAGTGTCGGCATGGCAGCCCTGCAGTCGACAAGGCTTCATTCTCGGGATTGGACCCAACGCAAAGGTTAGTCTTGAACTTGGAACTGAAATAGAATAGTCCATGAGACCGAAACGCCTCAAAAGTATTGGACGGACCAACGCGCGATCTCCGTCAAGTGTGGTGAACCAATGTAAAACGACCATGGAGCTACTACTATCACCAGTTGTTGTGACTGTAACCGCGCTGGAGGAATCTGCTACCACATATCAATACAAACTAGAGGAGACAGCATTACCATATATCGTGAGATCAAAGTTGGGGACATTTGGAGATGGAGACCGCAAGATTACAACCAGGCAATATCTCCATGCGAAGAGGTGCTAGTAACCACATACCGATGAATACGAATAGATGAATTTCGCAAAAGGAGAGAAAAAAAATTCTCTTCTATCCCATTATACCCGGCTTGGCTATTACCTGGCGCTTTCTACGCAATATCGCACAGGGTCCAAAGGGCCAATCCCCGCACTTATTTTAGGCTAGCGAATCAAAGGAACGGAGAAGCTTCCAAGCTCAGTTGAGTTCCCAACTCCTGGCTCTTGATGGAGTATAGAGTATACCTACTTTCGACTTCCTCTTTGTCGCATGCTATTGGTTCTACACGAGTAGCTACCTTCCATGTTAGGCTGTACCTACAGAAACTCTGGGTAATCTTGGTTTCTTGTTTTCTTGCCATCTGCTAGTATTTCCCAATCACTATGGGTGCTACAGGGCCGCGCTCTCCCTTGCGTTGCGGCGCCACTTGTGAGGGGCCATCTAATCCTATGCGGCATGGCCGATGATATAAGGCAACAAACCTCCTCGCGACCCTCACTGCCTTTCTTACGCGTTCGGTGACCTGAATAGCAGTGGAGCAAAAACAGTATCGCGCGATAGCGATGCTGTAGAACTTTTGTTGTCAGCATAGATCAAATACGTATACTGACCTGGCACAATCAGATTATCAAGTTGCATTGGATAGCAACTCACAAGTCAAGCAAGGGTACCGTTGAAACCAAGAAACGAGAGATTACGAAGCTCTGGGCCTGAGCTATCAGTAGACGAAGCCATCAATTACGTATTGGTGCCAAAACCGAGGCACAACTATTCATATCAAAATACCGCTTCGTACTGCGGCGTGTGGAGCAGCGTTGCCTCTTCGGCGGCGGCCGGTCTAATGCTGCCTTGCATTCATTCCTTCACAAGGTGGTGTGCTCAGAGGCCGTAGCGAATCCAATGGTGAACGAAAAAAGGCGACCTATGAGGGGAAGTTATGGCCGCAAGAGGGGTCATGTTGGATTGATGGTGCATTTGAATCTCTCAGGTCGTATATGTGCAATTATGTAGCTAAGCAATATGTCCAAAAAAAAATAGGTATAGGTAGTGGTCGGTTGCATCTCTCACCGCCTCAACATGTAACATTGGGAGAGCCCTTGTTTGGTGGTTTCATCGATTGCAAACAATATCCAATATAATTACATCTATAGGTGATGTATACGCTTGAGCAAGCAGTAACTGATATATCAATAACCTAGCTGATCGACCCACTTCCGCACAGTCTTCTGAATCAAAGCATGTCAGCCGCGAACCGCTGTGAGAGCTTGACACACTTAGCCGCCTTCATTAGCGATCGCGCCTTGAAGCTTGCTGTAGGCTCTCCATCCTAGACAACATTGAGCTTACCTCTGCCACCGCCCGCGCCGTCGAGAACGAGACTGAGTCCGGCAAAAGCGCAGATGTCGAATCATTCTTGACGTCTGCAATAGTAACAGCAGTCTCACCAGCTCGCCTAGGAGAATGCCCATTAAACCTCACCGATGTCCTTAAGATGCTGCTCCCGATATAAGTACACTAGCTGCTACCGCCATCTTTAAAATCATCGCCATCATTGTCGTCTTCACTATTACCCTCTTCATTTATATCTTCGGTGTTAGAAATTGCAGGCCAATGGCATTCAGGTACCTATGGGCACGTTCATACACACACACCCAATGTCAGACTCTGGACTTTACTCATAACTTACATGTCTCATCTAGATATGGGTTGTACAGCCTATCATCCAAAAAGACTACTAAATCATCATAGGCATTGTGCTATTGATAATCTCTTTAGACTGCATACAGATCATACCACCTCCCACCTTTACATGGGCAAGTATCTCAGTCTAAAAACTGTGTTACTTCCGTGATTATTGCACTCACTCATATTTGTGCTTTCCGTGGGTGGATATACTCCATAAAAATCCACCAGATACTAATGCCGCACGACGGAATCAAGGCAATAAATTGCCTGCGACCCTCAGTGTCGTGATAGGATTTTTTGTGAGTTCAGGCACCTTGAAACAACTCCACTAAATTTGAACGACTCGAAGCTAAAAGGTAGCAGATGAATCTAACTAAAATAATACACTTCAACCTTTTGATAAAATCACATCCATCGGTATTGCCCTAGGACGAACTTAAACTAAAGGGGTACTGAGTTCACCTTTACCCCCCTGGCTCAGTTTTCAAGGGCTGTGAACCATTTATCAACATTGGGGAATTTCTCAAATGTTTTTTTTTAAATCCGGCATCCTTTGCAATTGCACCGTAGGGAAGATGAAACCAGTCAACCAGTGAGACTTCATTACCGGTTAGATATTTTTGCTTTGCCAGAATGCCGTCGTAGACGGAGAGCGCACCTCGAGTTCAATCTCGTATTTTTTAGTAGGCTCTTCATCCGTTGACCTTCCGTGGAAATTTTTTTTTATCAGCATTATTCTAAATCTCGTGATTATTAGCCAGTCTTACGTATTGACTACTTTCTCAACAGCAATCCCTTCTGTTGGCGGGCTGAAGTAGCTTGTTTCAATAGAATAGGCCTATTTAAGACGAAACGGATTAGCATTCTTTCCTAACTCATCTCCAAATCTGACATTGCCCTACCTGTTCAAACGATCCATATTCCTCTACGTCATTAACGGCAGGTATCAGCTTTGTTCCTTGTCCGGCATATTTCTTTGCGATATGTTTCGAGATGGCTCGGCTTTCATAAGCAATGAAACCGTTATCTTCTAGGACAGGGACTTTCCCAAACGGCTGTTTTGCAACATGTGGAAGCTGCTTCTGCTCTCCTGAGGAGACGCCGATGTTAATTAGTTCATAAGGGACATTTTTCTCAACGAGCGTAGTAAGCACACCCTTCGTGCATGTAGATGCTGCGACTCCATAGGGTTTCAGAGCCATTTCTATCTAGCCCTCTACGCTAAATAATTATATCTAATATGGTCTAAGTTTTATGTTCTTTAGCAAAGCCGCAATTGTGGGTGACTGAAAAGACCAAATCAAGACTTGGGAAATGGGCAATATTTATACCGCTGCTGGTCTAGAAAAGGTCTTGCACCTCTACTCTTGCCCATGGCATAGTTATTCGTATCTATTATTCGAGTTAGGTTGTGATGCTTTATTCCCGACTTTTATTCCGGATCTTTATTCACGATCTTATTTGTAATGGATTCGTAAGAGGATGAGATAGCAGGGACGGGGCGTAAATTCCGTAGTGGTCGCCGGGGTTCAATAGAGCAAGGGAGCAATACCTATTCGCTGAGATATATACATAGGTTGGTACTTGTAACAAGAGACAAATATGCTTCAAGATCTACCACAGTTCCAAAGTTTTTGAGGTTCACAAACAGGCAGGTAGCCACTGCCGAGGTATTCTATTGCATCAGCGATCTGCTGCTACTATATGTAATTAATGGATTGGTTTCAAATTGATTGCTCCCAGATCCGTATTCCCACTCTGCTTATAGTGTCAGAAAGCTAGCTGCATTTGGCAAACTGTTTGATTATCTGAAAGATACTACTCGGATGATCATATCTTGCAGTTACCAAGACCCATGAAGGGTGATTTACTGCGATGATATGCCACGACGTTACTATTCCTGTCGATTCGGGGTGTCTCAACCAGCCCGTAGCCTCTCAAGTTATTAATCAACTCTTAGAGTTCATACCAAGCAAAGTATCTGGGCACATTCTTAAAAATACTAGATGGTTCACTATGCTTCCATCTCCTTTTTAACTTTACCTTACCGTAGCTCGGTTCTCATTCCTATCTAGCACCACGAGCATTAATTAAGATGCAGTTACTGTCATAATACATTAGCATCTGCGTATACTACATATGATTTCATTCATCATCTATATATACCCTGGTCCGCCTTTATTATCTGCCTCATATCTACCTGATTTAGATTACAATTATATTGAAGAAATATGGGCGAGAGATCTACTAAATTTGTATAGTAAATACATATTAGTAGTGTGAATTGACTAAACTACTTGGTTGTGGATATATTGGATGGTTAGAGGTATTTACCAACTCTCTCGGTCTTGAACCGCTGAAGATAAGCTCAAGGATAACAAAAAGCCTAGAAATCAGACCTTTGATAATGTCGACAATGGCAACAGCAGGAATCCTGGCGTCATATAGGAAATGGGGGCGTGGGCCAGGGCTGCACGCTTCGCCGACGATTAGAAGAGCCATGAAGATGAAGGCAATAATCTTCAGAATGAGATCCACCACCACCAATTTGTCGCTACACACAGCCCTTGATAACCGTCTAAAGCAGTCTTGATGGAGATGAAAAGCTTCAGTGTTCTTCAAATCTTTGACTTAATAATTTACCCAGAGTTTTGTTACATTTTTTCATGAATAGCCCACGCAATCAATCAATCATTTGAGAGCTCCTGGTGCTGATACTGACTCGCTGGCCACAATGTATCTTGATATCATTGATACTTGCATACTCGAAGTCAGCCAGCGGCTGTCCAACAAAGGATAGGGTCACATGTGCTCCTCAGATGACAAGTTAGAGGAGCTTTTAAAAAGGGGGAGGGGTAACGGGAGACCAAAGGAGAAATATCAAGCTGATCTTATCACGCTCCTCAGCTTGGGCAGAGAAACAGGGAGCAGGGCTGGGGAACTGGATGTGAGAAGAGAAAACCGAGAGCACGGCTAAACGGTAGCCGTGCGCTGTTTGGCCACAACCAGGATTGGGTCTTGGCCGTTTCAGCAGTGCCCGCGAGGCCACGCTAAAACAAATGGCCAGAGGACTACTCTCTCCAACAAGTCATAACACGCTGCGAAAAGGCAAAGGCAATGAGCAACGGAGCAACATACAGGTATCTATGCCGACTACAACAAGCAGCAATACACTGGCCCTGCTTCGCCATCATGGAACACATGCCTTGTCTCCCGCTCTTGATGGCGGACTAGCCACTTAAGAGCGGTGCTCTTCTATACAAGTCGTGAGACGGACGGATTTGAATAAGGAGTGTCGGGTATTAGAGTGGCGGAAAGTATATCTTTGTGGGGGTAGCTATCGAGGTGTCGGCTGCACACGGGGACGGCGGTTGCTGTTCGTGGCGGGACGTGGTGGTGAGAATGAGCGTGGTGAACAAAGAGCAGAAACCAAGATTTTCGCCTGCGGGAGAAGAAAAGAGGAGGGCAATGCTGGTCCTCGGAAGCCGTGAGCAGATGAAGAGGAGAAAAAAAGAGTTGAGGGAGAAGCGTGCCAGCCCGGCAAGGGTAGAAATTGGGATCAAATGCTGGCGATGAAAAGAAGGGGCGTGAGCACAGCGGCAGCTGGTGATGGCCTCCATGCTAGCGGCCGTGCCTGGGCCCTAGGATAGGCTATCCTCATACTTCTAGCACCTACCTGATCTTAGCCATTACTACTGTACTCATCCATTGATTGATGTTATCGGATCCCCTGCACTGGTACAAGAACTTGGACCGTACAAAACGGAGAGAACCGCTAAGGGAAACGGTGGATCTTGGGCCGCGGCCCGTTCCAGGCGACGAAAGAGGCACCCATGGCCAACGGAAGTTTGGCCTCACTTTCAGGGATGAAGTTGCTGGGATCCCCTCCCTCGGGGATCAAGTCGCCAGGTCCGTGGCTAGGCCACCCTCCAAGCCGATCGACGGCGGCCCACCATCTCAGCACACTCCATGGGCCGTGGACAGAGTGTGGCAGCCCTCTCTCCAAGTCCCTAAGCCCCCAACATTAGAGGGCGCAAAAAAAAGGTACCTTATTAGAAGTCTCAAGCGCAGGTCATGATCCAGGGTCCGGAGCAAAGAGAAGATATATACACATATATACACATATATATAAACATGCCCTTCCCACCTAATATTTTGGTTTATAAAAATAACTACCTCCATCAAGATTTCTTCTGCTGAATACGTTATCATAGTCTATAGCATCTCCATATCCAGACTTTCTTCGCCATCGATCCCGCCTTTGAAGCACTCGCTTGTCGACATGCCTACCTGTAACTTATCCACTGGCACCGCTGTCAATGGCAGTAATGTGTAGGTGCTTTCTTTTTTCTATCTATCTCCATTCATTTTTGAATAAGAGTTTTGCTTCCTCTTATGCACTCTGCCCATATGCAGAAGTGATCTCAGACACAAGATGGTATCTAAGGGTTTCATTACAGTCTTGCCCATCAGAATATTCTGCAACCAACGTCTTTGAGGCGTGACTACGCTTTTCACTATTTTCAGTGGCTAACCACATGATTGCCGGTAGTAATGAAGTTTTAGCCACCACGAGCGACACCTCGCCAGCAAACGACTATGACCGCTCGTACAGCATCAACCGCTACCTTGCTGATGAAAACCACCCGCCGGGAATATGGACCAATACAGAGCACATCTGAAGGGGAGAATCGTGCGCAACAAGAGCTCCGAAACTTTGCCGCCAAGTTTTCTTCAAGCAATGACCCTCCTCATTGCAGCTAGGAGCTGGGGAACTGAGTTCCTCGTATGGGCGCATGTATACACTGATAAAGAATGCATTAGAGATATACAAAAATACATGTAGACATGCACGTATAATAATTGATAAATATTACTTACATGATTCTAATTGTCTCGTTTCTCCAATAACCAACTTCCTGAGCATAAAATAGATTGGTGCAGCGTGGCCCGATAGTTGATGGCTAGAATGAGCTCCAGCTTGGCGGCGTTGAGCTTCAGGGATAGGGAACTAATGATGACTTTTAGATTTGTGGTGTGGGTTATTGAGAACGCCACCATGTATGTGTTTTTCTCGCGCCCTTGCTCTCGGCAGAGTGGCAATACAGCCGTTTTTGGGCCCAGTGATTGAGCTGGGAGAGCCAATAATTCCTATGTACCCAAGCGTTGTACCAGGGAAAGGCGCCGTTCCAAGGATTTGTTAAAGTACATGTACTTACTAGGTAATACCTAGTAATGTATATAAGATGTCGGACCCCTTTATGAGTGGTCATAGTTACCTTGTCGAGTTATGTTGAACATGGGCGCGCTGGATGAGCTGAAAACCAAGAGAGAGGGGGAGGGAAAGGGGGGGAGGGGGAAGAAAGGCAGCGGCATTAGCGCGACCCACGACTGTACCTATGTATTACATGTAATCTATGCCTCGGTAGGTGTCAGAGGCTCTCTGTTCATGTACCAGGAGTCTCTGTGCCTCACAAATTGGGTGCCAAAATAGGCCGGTCCATCACAAAAATGGAGGCCGCTTGTAGAAAATACATATGTAACAATACGAACAGCGTTGGGGGACGAAGGTGTGAGCTCCGTGCTCTCAGCTGTGTATCGTCCGGTGCCTGTGCTCATTCCTCAGTCTAGGTTTACCTCCGATTGGACTGGCTAGACATATCAATATAAGCATTTACCATAATGTGGTTCAAGTTACATAATGGAGTTGATTCGTGTTGAAGCTATCAAGATGAATTCAGAATACTACTTTGCAAGTTACAGGGAGTGCAGCATATGACGTGACGTCAAGAGGGACAATGCAGTTGGTTGGATGCCGGAGTGCATGGGATTAATGGGGCCGCCTTGGACAGAGCAGAGAAAGGAATAACAGAGTGTAAGTAATTACTAATACTGTAATTTGCAAATAGGCTGTTAGACTTAGATTAGGAGTCCTTTTCCTATATATACTTACTATGTTAAGTGTTTTTCTTATGTCTACGGACTCGAACATCTCGTTGGAATTCTAACGAGAAGAGAGTTTGGGTTTTAAATGCACGATTATCCCAAGGCTCAAGCAATAGGGTTTAGCTCGCTCTTGTCAATTAATAAGTGGTGTACACCGACGGTATAATCGAGTGGTGTTGTTTGTCTGAGGACAACCTAGCACTTCAGCTTGAGGTCGGCTGGAGGTGATCTGTCAGAAACGCTTGGAGAATCCCTGTAAAACCACTGACATGGATTTTGAGAATCCCTGTAAAACCACTGACATGGATTTTGAGAATCCCTGTAAAACCACTGACATGGATTTTGAGAATTCCTGTAAAGCAACCGACATGGATTTCGAGAATCCCTGTAAAGATACCGACAAGGTATTCACAGGTGAGCGACGCTAGCAGTCGGTTTGAGAGGCTGAGTGGCCGATTGGAAATGCTACGAGAATCCCTGTAAAGTAACTGACATGGATTCCACCCGTAAACGGGCTATCAGTCGGTTTGAGAGGCTGTGAGTGGTGATTGGATATTGCTGATGGGATTTGAGAATCCCTGTAAATCAACTGACAAGGAATTCACTGGTGAAAGACGCTAATACCAGTCGGGAACCCCCCGTTCATGAGCTGGTCGAGTCAAAATGATGGGTGACGTGCACAAAGGTGATACAGTAGCAGCTAATATGCCACACCAATCTATGATGAAAATGGGGACGCTTCGACGGGATTCAGATTCCATCACCAGGCTATCATATGAATAAGTCCAAGTCCTCAATATGTCCATCCTTACAACTCATAATTTAAATTTCGGACTTTCCTTAACATGCCCTAACTGTAGATGCCTAATGGCCATCCGAACATTTAAGGTGCCAGAGTAGATGCCCATCAGACACCACAAAAGGCGTTAGTACATCTTGACAGCAGGACGGTGGCCATGGAAATCGAAATCCGCTAAGGACTGTGTAACAACTCACCTGCCGAATGTGCTAGCCCTGAAAATGGATGGCGCTCAAGCGTCTCACCCATACCTCGCCCTCGGGGTAGAAACGATGCCCCGAGGAGTAGGCGGGCGTGGAGGTCGTGACGAAGCCTAGGGCGTGAGCTTGGGTTGAACGGCCTCTAGTGCAGATCTTGGTGGTAATAACAGACAAGCCATTGATAAACTACATTTCCAGAATACCTGGAGGGGTTTACACATTTTTAGCTGCGATTTCGTGTATTTCCTATCAATGCTAAGTAATGGGGGGTTTCCCGTTTCTGGAGGGGCTTTTTTGCTGTTCTTGGGCGGACGTACATGGTGCATGACATTTGCCTGATGTGCATCGTTTCCGAATCGTACTGTTATGCCTGAATGCTGGTTTACTTGCAAACCATACTGCAAGCCATGCTGCAGGCTGCACGCGGCATCAGCCAGCGCTGGGTCCGATTAAGGCGCGGTCCTTTAGCCCCTGATTAGCCCCTGGACGGATAGGAACAGGGAGGGATGGCTTCCGCGATAACGGTAGGGTACGGGAAACGTTGGCTCATGCCGTCTACGCCGGTACACTAGGACAGGCAATGAAACCAGACGGGAATGAGGCATTGACTAGCCCGCGTACCGTCAGGTGCCTTCAAGTCACCGTTATGTTATACCGTACCGTCCCAATGCTGCATGTAAGCAAAACAACGCACGCGTTGACGCTGATACTGCTCAGCCCTTTGGGATGTGAACAGCCTGTGAATGCTGGACGCGTTACGCGGACAGGCATCCGTATACATAATACAAGTGTGGTGCCCGCTAAAGGCGTCCATAAGGCAAGCAAAGCAACTGCGCCGATCGCGATCGGCTAATTAGATCAAGGTCAACCGGATCGTTTGAGGTCAACTGGATCGTTCGGGGTCATCCCGTTCGTTTAAAGCTACTTGATAGAACGAGACCACCTAGATAGATTGCGGTCAGCTTGTTTGATCAAGGTCTTCCGGATCGTTCGAGGTAAGCTAGATTGATCGGGCCTACCTAGCTTGATCAAGATCATCCCATTCGATCAAGGTCATCCCGTTCGATCAAGGTCATCCCGTTCGATCAAGATTCAAGTTATCGCTATCTGTCATAAATACCTACCTACTACATGTATCCAACGGGAATTTTGTATTCATCCTCCGGGAGCGCCTGCAACGGGCTTGGCCTGCGGCGGGCTTTTATATATAATAAGATCTATATCATTTTAAAGCTAAAAAGATATTATTTTTTTATGTATTAATTACACAAATTTTGCTAGAGCGTTGTAAAGCAATTTACGATTATTGTAGTTAAATAACGTCGAGGAGCAATAGGCATTTTTTATAGGGTATATTAACGCTACGAAATCGACATCGTAATACGTAATACAGGTGCAGAAAAACACCAAAAAAAAGAGGTTTAACTACATCACAAGGTGGTGACACCGGGTAAGAAGAGCGAATTGCCAGTCGAGTTCGATTTTGACCTTTTTTAGCGTTGGCATTTTGTCCCCTTAACGAAGCAAAGCAGGAAGCTACACTTCTCTCAGGCTGTCACCTTCGCAAAGCAGCTCCGCAGCTTTGCTTAATTATGTACTCACCGCAGACGGATCGCCACGATGTCATCAATCTGTGGACACATCTCGAGGTGTTGGGCTCTGAGAGTATTAAAGTACACGCAAAGTCCGCACCTCGATTACAAGGTATAGGTACATGTAGACAAAAGCATTGTGGTTGCTAATGAGCCAGTAGATAGCAACTGCATCACCGTTTCATTCCGCAATTGTCGGCGCATTCCCCTCATCCACTACACATCTATTACATACTGACTTCTGCGCAATCTTCGGGATCAGCGCATCCTGGTCTTGGAACCGCTGCGGGAACTTGGCCAAGTCGGCCGTCTTCATGAGCGATCCCGCCTTGGATGCCTCCTGCAGTCCTTCCGTCTTGGATAGCTCGCGTTTTTTCTCCTCCTTGGCCTACTTATCAATGTCCCCAATCTCCTTCATGCCGTCGATAGATTCTGTCAGCTGCAACACGGTCATGGAGTAGACGGCGATGCCGCCAAACTCTTGACCGCGCACCGTGGCGTCCTGGTAGATGTCAAGGCCAAACGTGACACCTGTGGCGAAGAACGGCTGCTGGTTCCCAATCATTTCTTTGGGGTTGGCTACCACAATTTTATCATTAGAGGCCTCGATGGGTATGTTGAGCCAGCGCCTGTAGATGCGTCTGCATAGCGGAGTATTGCCGCTTCCTCCGGTCTTATAGGTTAGTCTTCGGTGTTTGCAGCGCAGTCGTAGTCCTTGCCTCGGTCTCCCCATGCAATCCAAGACTTAACAATGCCCAGCGTGGCGGCAACATCATCGTAGTAGCTATCACCGTCTACCAGCTCATACTCCGTACTAAACGACTCCTCCAGGTTCCAGTAATGCAGCACGCTTGTGAAAGAGTCCGAGCCGTTGCTACTACGAGTTTTGCACTTGTAATTAAAGAATTGGTTGCCGGCACTATTACAGAACCGCATGTAGCTGTCTGGCTTGGGATCAATGAGCTCTTTGATCTATTCCTCGTAGTATTTAAATTTGTCGTTATAGTTATGTGAGTTGACTGAGAATAGGGATAAGCTATCATTGAGCATTAAGTAGAGCATTTCAAGCATGAAGAAGCTAGGCATTGCTCGTTGAAAGTGTCGACTTCGTTGGCGATGCCATCGAGAGTACCGGGTCTGTCGCTCTCGAGACAGACATAAGCAGCGCTATTGCCATCCCAAAGCCGTCATCGTCTTCATCGCCACCACTGTCACCATTTTCGCTAGTATCTTCGTTGTTAAAAATATCTAGATCAATGCCCCAGCCTAAAGAGCCGCTGAACTTGGGCGTCTTAATCCAGTTAATGCGATCCGCCTTGAGGCCTCCATCCATGTAAGCGACACAGTGGACGGCACCGGGGCTACCATGCATGAGAGCATTGGTGGCGGAATCACCATCAATGTAGTTTTTAACAATGGAATAATATCTGTGGTCCTAGATAATCTCATTGATCTCGGCTCTGGCAATGTATCTCGCTGTATCCGTGCAGCGTGCTTTGTAAGCTTGTGAATCCGAATTTCCTCCAAGAAACGTGCAGAAGAGACTGCCACAGTCACGGATCTGACATACAGAAGCTTCTACCGTTACTGGTCTCAACAACAACAATCTGGAATGAGCGACAGCCTTGGTAAGCATGGCGAGGGCATTTTATATCTCAGTATTGTTGACCTGTGATCGAAGGCAGTTGCCGCCCTCACAACTGGGAGCAACCCATTTATTGTCCACATCTATGGGCGTTTAGTAAAAAAAGATTGATAGTATGAAAGGAGTCACATTAAACTTACTCCATTGGCCATATAAGTCGTACATCAGATAATATCGTCGAGACAGAGCTCTGAGCAATTTATGCGCCCGAGTAGAGACCAACAACGGGAGGCGCAGAGTTGGAAAACATACTGTAAGTACCGCATTATGCACCCTTTTGTAAAAGATTATGAGACGATAAGTGGCTAGTACGATATATGCTGTGTTCGGTTTCGTGCCAGAGCCGGGGGGAGACACGCTTCCACCAAGCTGTGGCTTCACAGGAGTCTTGATGGTCTTGCCACACCACCACGGCTAGTGGAAATTATGAGGTTTCCATCTCCTCGGCTACCATCAGTTTAGAGCAGTGGGAGATACTCTATGTTGTTAGTCTTTTGTCCAGTAGACACGCATACTTGAATAGTGAAGACTGTTTAGGGATCGTCAACTGAAGTTTGAACGTTGACATTAAGAATGATATGCAAATAACAAGTCTTAAGCTCCTTTAAATGATGGATGTGTGTACAATTGGACGGATCTGGTCCTGATTCATTGCAAAGACCGCGACAGTCATCTGATTATTAGCCGTTCCAGGTGTTTGTGATGGCGCCACGCAGCGAAATGAGTTGGACCAAGGCGGCCTAGGAGGCAATGAGAGCTACATTAATAACGGACTTGACAATTACAATTAGGAAGCGGTGAGGTAAGAGTCGCGAGAGACAGAAGACGATAATGCCGTCAACGTACCTTGGCCGTTACTGCTGCTGCGGCGATGTGCTCTTGGCTCTCGGCTTATCGGCACCGATTTGATCCATGCCAACTCCTCGGCCTCTTTTATTGAACTCCCTCCAGAGTCTAGACTCCTGGAACTTTTTCATGTTGGCTTGTTGTTGGTAAGCATTGCGATTGATATTGCTCAACTGCATCTCATGATGGAGAAATCTCAGGCGAGGACGTTGGTTACATGTCCCCACCCTGCATGCTACTCTGCCGCTTGATGCAGGGGTTTTCAGTTTTTTAATCCCGGCTTACAAGGTTAACTCATGGTTTCTTTTAGCCATAAAATTTCTTCAGTGGAGATGCGATGTATGTTGGTTCTTTGTGGAGAGTCACATTGTGGACCTGCAGGATGCAGATACGCCCACTTACTGTATTACCTGCTGTTGGATACAGAAATGCAATTTCAAATCCAGGGACAAACCCTTTGGTCTAACTGCAATGTGCGCCATATTTCTCACTTTTCACATGTAATTCTGGCCTTATATATGAGAAGAGAATCTATAACTATCACATCGCCCCTTTGCCATTGTCCTCTCAACTTCTTTCGATCTCTTCATTCCCAATCGCCAGTCGAAAATCTGAGTTCGTTGGCTTTGCTTTAGCCAATCAGCAAAGATGAGTACCCAAGTCAGCAGCCCTGTCTTCTTGGACAATACCGAGTTCTTCATGGACTCGAGCAACATTGTCAATGTCTCCTGGCCAAGTGTATCAGCTGCATTTTCTAAGCCCGTGGAGAATACCACAGCACCTTTCATTGGATATGACTGGACTCAGCCTTTTCCAGGGGTGCAGTACGTCAATGGTCACAATGTGTATCTGACAGTAGCTCCTGAGGTTACTGTGAGCGAAACCGTTGCGGAAAACTCAACTTCGGTCCTGTCCTCGTTGACTTTTGGTATTCCCGATAACATGATGTCCAATGGAAAGGCTTTGCCCATGGACCCTTCATGGTATATCTGCCGCCACATCTTTATCTCGACTGATGCCGCGACCAAAACGGCTGCTGGGAAAGGCAAATGTGGCTCACTCCCTCAGATCTGTGTGGATGACCTCCATAACGCCTTGATTCAGAACTGGGGAACGGCGGACCCTAATTCCATGTGCGCTCAGTTGAGCGGTAACCCCATTCCTCACAGCTGCTTCAGTTCATTCGGATTTTCTCGTCAAGAGGTTATAGGTACGTATGGCTAAGAAAAGACTGCAAAATTAGTGCCGTTTCTGATAGCTCCATAGGTTTCAATAGCACCACCATAGCCGATCCTGTGCTAGGTCCTCTCCAGACAAGCAAGCAGCAGCAGCAGCACAGCTGGCGCATTGGAACTGGCTATCACGACCCTGGCGATGCCCTTGCCGATGAAATTGCCGACAATAGAACCTACCTCGTTGCCACAGTCTGGGGCTATAGCAAAGCAGCCAACCCTAAGACCATTCAAATTCCTCAAGCATCTTGGTCCTGCATTACGCCTGGGGGTGCTTACGTGCCGCCTCCTCCTCCGCCTCCTCCTCCTCCCCCGCCGTCGTCTACCACCACCTCGTCCGGCGCAGCAACTTCGACTCCTGCAGCGCTTCCCATCTCAGAAGCTTATTATGATGACTTCTCTGCCGGCATGACGCACTGGGCCACATACGACGGCTCATACAGGGTGAAATCGGGGGCACTTGTTACTGATAGCTCTGAGGGCGGCAAGGCCCTGTTGTACAGTTCTTTCAGCGACTTTACCTTTGAAGCAGACATTACCCTGCCGACTAACACCGGCAATGCTGGCCTCGTCTTCCGAGCCTCATCCCCTGGTATAGGTGCGGATGCTTACCGCGGCTACTATGCTGGCATCAGCACAGAAAATAATGTTGTTCTTGGACGCTCACTGAATAGCTGGACCCAACTCAGTCTTGTCGACATGACTATCAATGCTAACCAGGTCCATCACGTCAAAGTTAGGGCCCTGGGAAGCTCTATTGATGTCTTCGTGGACGATATGACCAAGCCCAAGATCTCCACGCAAGATACCACTTGGCTCTTTGGTATGGACGGTGTGCGCGTCTTCGACACGGGGGCGACATTTGATAACGTGCAGATTCTGCCTCTCAGTTTCGCAGAATATTTCTCCGGTAATATGGATAAGTGGGTGACCTATGGAGGCAGCTTTGCGGTGCAGAACACTGCCCTAGTTGCCCAGTCTTCGTCAGGTGGCAAAGCACTCATCAGCAATACGATATTTAGCGACTTTGTTTACGAGGCTGATCTGACTATCACGGACGCTGATGGAAATGCCGGCCTCATCTTCCGGGTTTCTAATCCATATGACGGAACAGATGGTTACAATGGCTACTACGCCGGCATCGGAGACGGTTTTGTAGTTCTGGGCCGGGCAGACAACGACTGGAACGAGCTCAGCAACGTCAATGCTGCATCAGTCACGGTTGGCACAGCTCATCACATCATGGTGAAAGCCAAGGGTAGCACTTTGACCGTCTATGTGGACGACATGAATACGCCAAAGATATCGCTGCAGGATGATACATACACCCATGGGTGGAATGGTGTACGGGTGTATGAGACAAAGGCAACTCTTGACAACGTTGTGATTTATACTATGTAAAGTGTGTATGTACATAGGTAGACAATAATTGTTGGTTTTTGGATTACAGATTCACTTTGTGTGTTAATTGTCTCCATTAAGCAATTATTGTATTATTCAAGCATTGTATGTATGTAATTGAGTTTTAAACGACTATGCTTAATTTTTGCAAAAAAAAAAAAATTTAGCTTCTTCATAACCTTAAATGCCGTTGCATAGTAGAGTCGTCAGCATAGGTAGGTCACTATGAAATGAACGCCAAACCTACATAGGTAGTTTCGCTTTCGCGAGAAAAAAAAAATCTACAACCCGACTACTATCCGAGCTAGTTCCATCATACCAATCAAACGTTTCATCCAATTCTTTATTAACCATCAAAATGAACATTTTAAACGATCTACGGAGTAGAAAGTCCGAAATTAGTCCTCCGTCGCTGGATGTGCCGGATCATCCCGCTCTTCAGCAGCTTCCTCTTTCAACCTAGCGGCAACCTATGTTGTTGGTTCTAACATCTCTTCTGACCCTGCCCCTGGAAGATATGGAGTATGTGAAAACAACGCAGCCGGAATAAGAACTGCCAAGCCAACGTTGGTTGCTTGCTGAAATGCATGTTGGTTCGTCCGAGCGACGGATATAGACGAGCGCCGTTCGTGCATTCGGAGGAAACTCCTCATGTGAGGTTATATTCCGTTGGAACTTTTAGCCATGGGACATTCTGACAAGCTGAAGATTGCTAAGTGGTTGAAGATTGACAAAATAACAACTCACACGAGTCATTTCGAATCTAGAACAAAACCTAAGGTAACATGGAGCCAGACCACCCACTAAAAGCAAAAGTTCCTTGTTCCGACCATCCGGTTCTAATATTCCAATCTTGCCTATTTGGTTGCTCGCTGCTCAAGCATAGCTCCTCTGCCTATCATAGTATCGCAAAGGGCCCGGCAGTCCGCTCTGCAAAGCTGTTCAATTGTCTCTCTCACCACAGTTCTGGCCTTTTCCTCACTGCACAATCTTTTTTTTCTGAATACATCGTACGGTCTACAATGGGACTTCCCACTATGCTATTTTACTGGCGTTTGGTCCTTCTATTGTTTACAGTCGCATTTGCCAACCTGTTGGCGGGGAAACATGAAACGATCCTTTACAATCGCCTCCGACAGTTCATGGTAGATTGATAAGATAAAGTCGCCATTCCAAAAACGTGCCCAAGGCCATGTGAACTTGAATAATTTATGAAGGATTCAACCGTGTCTCGAAGTTAAAGGCCCTAAGAGATGCAAAAGGCAAGCTCCTCGGATGCGTGGACAGCCAAAATATGAACAATTTGAAACCAGATTACTCAATGGCCCCTCTCTTAAAATGCTTAAGCTCGAAGACGAAAAAGCCGTTGGGGCTGCGGTAGACGTAATAGGATTCAAAGGAAAGTTTCTATATACAATGGTCTGGGGTCTTCCAGCTGAATTCGGTTATGCCGCGCTCATGGACGAAGTCGAAGAGGTCTCCAAGCCTGAAAAACGGCACTCCCAACGACGGCTTATTCAGACAAATTGAAGATTTGCTCCGAATCGTGGAGAATAGCCGGCGTATAGACGATTACCTAGTCACCTTAGACGACTTTTAAACGATTGTGAAACATTCTCGTAACCATACCTTAACACCTATAGGGTGCTCGACACAGATAAGCAATCGCTACAAACGCTGGCTTCCAAATTTTCAGAATTATAAGCCGAAACAACAGACCTTCGTAAAGGGTTCAAGTTATCAGGTAGTGAGAAAGAACTTGGCCCATCTGCTTGCTATCAACACAGCCAAGGAACTCAGTGATAAGCCAGATCTTACCTTCGGCAAATGTCCAAAACAATCAACAACTGTTCATGTATATCCTGGTTCGGTCATCCGAAAGGGGTGGATTCCAGACCAAACCCGGATCCCCATCGATTGGAATGCAGTTGTGGTAATTATATTTGGCACGGAGCCATGCGTTGGCCATCATAAGCCAATCGACTTTTTCTCTCCAGCTTTGAACTTGACACAGGAAGTCGGGTGCAAAGATTGAGGCGAACTGCTTGGATAGTTCTGGTCGCTTGTGGTTGGAGCAGCCCTTTTCAAAAAGAGCGTGAAATTTTCTTAGCCGATCTTCGTCGTCAAAGTCTACCAGCTGCACTGGCGAATCGAGAAGTATACCAAATAGGCCAGACTCCGCAGCATGCTCTCTCTTGGCGTGAACACAGATGAACATCATGGTAGCAGATAGAGAGACTCTTGTAAACGGTCTCTCTGAAGAAGTCGCAAACTCGTGGTAAGGGTCGTCCGGGTTGGGTTAGTTATGCTATCTCTTGTATATCAAAATGTGTATATTTAGGAACATCATCGAGTTCATGTGGCGGCTTCAAGTTGAATGGGAAAAAATACTCGGCTCTTAGCGAAAGTAGCATCATATCGAGTCGATAATACCCCTCGTCGAAGAATTCCATGACGATTTGTAAATCATCACCCTCCCAACAAGTCATGCTGTCGCAGTTGAGATGATAAACGTCCAGAAGAGGCTGAATCCATATCCGCCCTAGATTAAGCCAATAATCCATCGTGACCATCTTCCCCCATCGCCTGACGATCTCTCTTGATTCGCGACAGACCGAGGCAATGAGTGGTGGGGCGGCATTTTGGAGAGTCGATCGTACAAACCAGCATTTCTGTTCCTTGCGGACTTGAGTAAGGGAAAAAGGATCATCTCTTTGCACGACTCGATGAGGAAGACAGTAGAACCAAATTCTCAGGCGTAGTTCTGGAGGCAAGAGAGAAAACTGGGGGAATTCAATTGACTGCATGTGTATTTCCATGGCAGGCAGGTAGATGTCATTGAGACGAGAACTACGTGATAGATGGGGGAAACAAAATTTGTCTTATGGATGGGGTTTAACACAAGTTAAATACTCTGATGGACATTACTAAGCTTTCTGTAACATATCACGTCAGATATCAATAGCTCAAATGCATACCGAGGTTGGTAGGTATATATAGATGTCTCACAACCCGCTTTATCCAAAGCATGAGATCTCTTTGCAAACACTTTCAATATTAAAGATGCCTAATCTATTCAATTATAAGTCAATGATATTCAAATATTTTACGAAGCCCTTCACAAGCGATATATCAATATCCATCGTTTGACTCTTCAACGTTTCGCCCTTAGCCACGAGAAAGCGCACTGCTATGACCAAACTTGTCATCAAATTCTTGAAGCTGCATTAGAATGCGCTCTTTTGCTTTAGTTTCGGCTTCAAATTCGGTCTTAGCTCCATCTTGTTCCTGTCCAAGGCCGGGCGGGGGCCGTTGCTGTTGGTCGATCGGTATCTGCTCGATGCGGCCAAGAAACCGGTCAAGGTTATAAGTGGGGTTATCGAGGAAATGGGGGATGATGGTAAGTTGAGTGTTGGTCGTGGTATTTCCGGAATTGATGCTGCTGCTACTTAGTGGTTTGTATTAGCGAGAGTATCATTGAGCAATTCATTGCAAATTGTAGGTTGATTCAGGATTGGTGCGATATCTGGCAACTCAAGGGCAACACTATTTTAAAGGAAATACTTACGAATTGCTGCCATCAATCGAGCAAGAGGACGAGGACATGGTTGGAAAACTTTGATAATTGCTTGACAAAAGTTACTGAGAATTGGCCGATAATGCTTGTATAAGGTTGTCAAATCAAAATATAATTCAATACGCAATAGAGTGAATGAATAGATGCTGTATCGTTGGTGAAACGAGATGTAAGGGTAGAATAGAAAGGGTAGAATATATAAGGGCAAGCAAAACCTTGCTAATGGTGGCATCAAACTGAACGTGCTCCTCCTTTCTTCCCTTCTCTGCAAACTCCCCTATCACACACACACTCTCTTTTAGCCCGTTTATTTGCAGGTGAGGTTTGACGAAAACTAAGACCTGGCTCTAATTCATAGGGGGCACCAATCAGGGGCAAGAAGGGGAGCTTTGAGGCTGAATGTATATACATCTGCTGTGTGTTCCATACGGGTACATGCACCTACTAATGTTGATGCAAATTTATAGCTTCCCCACACAGAAATGCACGGTTCAGTTATAACGGTCCGCGGGGCTGTATCCGTTGGACAGGGGACCCATGCGCTACTTCAGAAGAAAATGACACCGAGTTTGGCGGATGAGTATCTCTGCAGTCATAAGGATGCATACACCATGGCACAAATGTCATCAAAATCATCTTAAGGATACCTAACGGTATAGAAGGAGATAGAGTTGACGCCTAGAAGATACGATAAACCATCACATATCATCTCACTGAGAGAAACAGTGCATATTGCCACAGGAGGAGCCTCAGCAATGCAAAGATATTGGTACTTTATCCAGTAAGCAGCCACTAAACAAGGCGAGTGTTTGCCTTGCAATACATCTACGTATGCACATATACTCACAAGGAGTGTGCTGGCAAGGGTGCTACAAGATCCTATTGGAACGCGTGCGGCTCGGCCAACTATTTCAATGTCCAAAATATTCCTGCATCTAATTAAGGCGTAGCATGTATGTCCAATCAATATATTTACTATCAGATATACTTCAAAACTGTCAGCCTAAGATCTGGGATCCATGTATCAAATTGGGCATTTACCGGATGCCAGGTCCGGGAAATCTACAGGGGTATATACGCCGTTTGGCGGCAGTCCACTTATGTGTACGAAATACGGGGTGTATATGGAAGCTGCCTACTACCCTATGTAAATCAGGCTTGCAGCCTCATTTTTAGCCAAGATTGCCCGTGGAATTCTCAGTGTGAGATGGCTATCGGGCTATTCATGTAGAATGAAGCCGTCTCTTCTTCGATAGATTTACTGTGAGTAGGATCCCTCTCCACTGTTTGATCTGCTCCAATTTCATAAACGCTTTCATAGTGGATTGAATGCAAGCATCTGACATTTACACAGAAGAGAAATGCTTGTAAGAGTGGGATAAACAAGTGACAGGGGTCGGAAAGAAGCAAGACCTGATGATCCGCGGAGGAATCCAAACGGCCAGAGGCTTTGAAGGATCTCCAGCGCTTGTTTTAGGCGGGGTTTCATGGTCCAGCTAAGTAAGGATGGGAATCCATTCAGTTGCAACGGTATGGATTGTTCCCCGGCGATAACAGATGCGACTACCGATGCACCTAATCGCGATTTGGAACTGCGCGAGTTGTACTCGTATCTATCAGTCTATTTAAAGACTATCTGCCATTTATCTCAGTCCCATATAGGGAGACGTTGCAGTCAATTCTTTCACCTCATTCATACATGTAGCGTATGACTCAATGTCATTACGAGATCGCCCTGGAAAGGCTCATGTTCGCTGCCTTCATAGCTGGTGCCGTAACAATAAGTGAGTAGTAGCCAGGCTAAAGCAATCACCCGCCCGTACCCGCAAGACGCCTCAACGGTCGCGATCCATGTGGGATTGTACTATCATGAACTTTTGATTGGGTATGGGCGAGTGTTTGTTTTCATTACATGCATTACAGGGTACCGCTCGGAGTAGCCGCAGAAGCTCAGCTCTTGTACGAGCAAAGGCAGGGCACATATGTGGCTTCGAACTTGGACAAGCACAGACCGAAAGTAAAGATTTGTTTCCATCAGGTCTCCTTCTGCGAAACCCAGCTGATCGCTGCACGGAACATCTTGTGCACAAAACTACATGTACTAATTCACCCTCTCCAGCGTACCATCTGTCTTGATCACTATCATGAGTCGACGGTCAATTGCAAAGGCTTGCTAATAATCTTGACCTGAAACTCTCCGTAGCCGCCAGACTAGTTTCAGGCATCAAATCCAGGATTGACGACTGAATACCACCGCGAATGTATCCGCGGTTGGCCCTGGGGCACTGTTCCGTATGCAAAGATCCGTTGGCTGGGGATCTCCCAATAGCAAACACTCCAAACCGTTTCTCTTCAGCTCTATTATTCCAAATTCTGAGAATGCAGCCGAGTTAGTGATCCTTTGCCTGGTCTTAATCACTTTTCCTGCAGCCTCTTTTGCTTTCATCTGACGCAGGTTGACAGCAGGCAGCCATCACGCACCATGAAGCTAACAATAAGGCGAAGAAGCTAGTGAATCTCAGCCTCTAGAGCAGGGATGAAGAAGTGCACGTGTTGCAAAGAATTGCATTATTCATTGTGCATGCATTTCTATTCTTGGCTCAGCTGTGAATGATGGTTGAAGAGAGATGGGCCTGATACACGTGGTGCAGCGACAGCAAAGGCGTATGCATCATCTGCTTTTGGTCTGTTGAGCGTCGTGTCATCAAACGTGGGCCGCAGTGCTGATAGCTGAGAAAGTGATAACGGGCGATTTTTAAACAGTTGAAACTGCGAAACAAGGAGTATAAAGGTAGATTCTCAAACCTTGGCCATCTACAAAGTTCTTACACCATCATGAGTGAATTATTGCTGGCGTGTATGGATTCACCCCAACTTTGCGCATAAGCGCATGCATCAGAGACTGTATTGTCCATTAGTTGGCTAATAGGTTGGCCCATTCCCTACTATATGCGGTATGGATGTTTCTTTGCCGAATAATTTTGCGATTCTCCAGATCAAGGATTCACGTCCACCGCTGTAGGCAGACACCATCATCTCGAGTGCTCCGTGAGGTAAGTATTTGTACCAAGTTGCGTCTCCTTTTGCTAGTATGCATAATGTAGGTATAGAATTTATTTATACCCACTGGGCCGCAATTATGGAAGAAATTATTCACATGCCTAGAGGTAGTTCTTCTGCCTGTGGCGTCTCTGGAAAGCATCAGGTTGAAGCTTGAGTGATGTGTGCAGTCAATTCATTGGGCCGCAACAACCACCCAAAGCAACGCACTGTAGGCGTACTGTAACACGCCCTGAACTACAGCAGGTGGCGCCCGCTAGACTCAACCACTAACTTCCCCAGCGCCTTCCACTAAGCCACCGGAATTCCGCATCGCACAGTACAAACCGGTCAGGTACCAGCTGCGCCTACTGTGGGCCAACATGTACCTCATTCACATGGCACGAGTGGTTGATGCCTTCAAGCTTAACGGTCTGATTCGATTCGCACGACTCCAGCCCTCTGTTCTTTCTTCTCTCCGCACTCATAAGACATCGTCTCTCTTTTCTCCTCTCACCGCAGCCAAACCTCTCCTCCTCCTCCCACCCATCTTTACGACCGTTCCAACATCATCACCGTCATCTCTCCATCTGCACTCTGGCAGCAACCCGCCGCTTCTGCTGCAGTCGTTTCCTCCTTCTACTTCCTTCGTTTCTTCAGCAGAGGCACATGCAGCTTTTAGTACGTCATCGGCAGGTGGACTATTTTAACTCTTCGTACCCAAAAACTTCCGAGCTCGTTGGGCAGCTCTCGCGCACGACAATCTCGAACTCTCCGTCCTGCATGTCGCCCTAAATTACGCACTCCTGCTTCTTTCGGACGTCTCCAGCCCTCATTGCTTTTTCCTATTCCCGTTTGTCCGAGCGACCTTGTTCGTCCCCTCATCCTCTAACGTCCATCATATTCTGCTCATCATGCACTCCTCTCGCATCAAATTCGAGATTCCCGATGAACGAACGTTTTCGCCTTTTCCCCGCCTCCCGCCTGAGCTTCGTCAGAAGATATGGAGAGAGGCCGTTTCAACCCCGGGAATGAGCTTCGTCAAGCTGGAGAGCAGGGGCCGCAACTGGAGATGGGTGTCGATGAACAGGCCATTTTCGCAGGTGACTCCCGATAATGCCTCCACTAAGAGCGACGACCTCGATGAGATAGCCTTGGAGGTCAAGAACGAAGTTGCCCCAAGGAGGTTGTGGGATACGCGTCTTGTGCCCATATCAGCAAACAAAAAGTCCGACATTTCCAGCTACCATGGCCTCAACAAACAAATTGCTGCACTCACCATAGCATGTGGAGAGTCCCTAGACGTAGTGAGCAGCCTGGTACGCAAAAAAGGCGCCGTTCGCACGAGTAACGGCAAGCTGCTAGCCTTGCCAGGCTCGTCTGACATCATCTTCCTGGAATATTTACCTTCGGAGCTCTTTGAAAGCGGTTGCAGCTACGATATCGACCCCAACTGCCCCAGCTTAGACAATATTCGACGGGTAGCGGTGCGATACTGTCACCAGTGGCAGGAGAAGCCAGTGCCGTCAGTATGTCCGTTGTGCGGACTCGTCCATGAGGCAGCGAGCAACAGCGTGGTCTATCCGAATCACCTATACCATTTCTTGGCAAGGCATTTACCAAACTTGGAGGAGTTTTATTTTGTGGATTACTTTCTTTTGCGCAAAGCTGCGCAGTCAAATCCCAGTTCCGGTGAGTATTATAACCGTTGAAGCGCTTGCTACCATGATTCCCTGCAACATTTATGCTCATACACAACAGGCAACTTGCCACAGCGCAAGTACAAATGTGGTCCCCGAACATACTACGAAGCAGACGACAAGACTTGGGACGTGAAGCCACAAGTTCTTCGAATGCAGGAGTGGCTGCAAGACAGATTCATCCGCTACTCCAAGGCAAGCCAACTGAGTCGTCACCAGAACCCTGAGAAAGTGAGGTTCGGCATTTTGGCATGCGAGTGGGATATTGCCCCGCCAGTATCGCTCAAGACACAATATATACCATCAACTCCAAAGGGTCGTAACAAGCGTGTGATTTACGAAGATCATGCACTACGTCGACAGCGTCTGCGCCGGAAGTCACGAATCGCAGTGCCGGTGGATTCCAACGCTGTGGCTGCCAATCTGCCATTTGTTTTCGGCAATCCGGACAACTCATTTGACTTTACCTTTGAGGTGGACTGGAGGCGGATGTAATGGCAGTTGGACCTGTAACTTGGCTTGTCATTCAGCAATCAGGTGATTTTGTGGATTGGATGATTCATGTCACGGAATGGAATCCGGGGCTGTGGCGCAAATGGAGTACGGCTTTTTCATCACCCATGGTCAGGCAAAGGAAACAAGGGAGATACGACCTGTAAAATAGCAATATTGAGATTAGAAATACCCTATGAATTGGACGGTTATTATTGTTACTTTTGTAGATTACACTTTTTGTACTATACATTTTCTAATTGCCCACTTTATCACAAATGTGCCAATCTCTATCGAAGTCTATTTGCAGTACCTAATATTCCAATGCGCTGTGTGCATCACAAGTGGTATACCACATTTTGAATAGCTTCCCAAAATGCTTGCGGGTCCTCAGACATGGGCAAATGCCCTGTGTTGGGAACAATCCTGAGTTCAGTGCCGTCCGGCCCGTAGAGGCCCTTGAACCCATCCATTGCCTTTACCAGCACTCCATTCGCATCTCCCTCTCCGACCACAAACACACCAGGGACAAGGCAAGCGGGCATGTCAGGCTTCATGTCGTAGTCTGAAAGAGCCGTGCAGCTGTGTTTGAACCCCTCGACGTCGTTTTCAGCAACCATGTTGGTCATGAAGCTGACTATCTCGGGCTTTTCCATGGACGCGGGGTGGTACCAGCGAGCGACGGTGCGGTCGGCCAGGTCTTTAATGCCCCGGCCGGAGTCTTGCTCGGCCATGGCGACGCGGTCTTTCCATGCTTGGGAGTTTGCGGGGGATGAGGAGGCGTTGAAGTCGCATGCGATGAGCTTGTGAAGGCGGTTGGGATATTTGAGGGCGAATTTGAGGGCTGTGGCGCCGCCCATGGATACGCCTATGAGGGTGTGTAGCTTTGGGATGCGCAGGGCGTCGAGGACAGTGAGGAGGTCGTCGGCGAGAGTGTCAAGAGTTGCGGAGACGGGAGGCTGTGGAATAGAGTGGCGGCCGCGGGTGTCGTAGCGGAGGATGCGAAGAAGAGGGCGGTTGACCTTGAGGATCTCGATGAAGGCGTCCCACATGTGGAGGGAGGTGAGGAGAGAGTTGCAAAAGGCAATGGTGGGAGCGTCAGGAGCGGGATTTCCTTCGAGACGGTAAGGGATGGAGAGGGAGTCTGGGGTGGTGATGTAGGAGTTGATGATGGGAGTTGGGCTGGCGACGGTGGAAGTCTTGGAGTCTGATGAAGTGAAGGAGGCCGGCGCAGGGAGTCTCGACAAATGATCCAGGTCTCTTGGGGCTGGACCAAAGGTGTAGAAGAGAGAGTACATGCGCCTGTTCCTGGATGCGACGGACTTCTCAAAGTCGTCATTGCTCCAGGAATTATCAGTAGCAGCCTTTTGCTCTGCTTCCCGGAGCCCGTTTTCTCTGGCAAAGTCATGGAAAGACAAGTACTTTGTGGGCTGATCAGGCTCCAGACTCGAGGTCTTGAACAGACGAGTCCTTAGCCAGCCGGGGAGCTTGGACATGAAGCCGACATGCTCCTCGACGAACCACTTCCGGAACAGGTCGCTCGCCTCGGGTGTATCCTTGAGGGTAATCTCGGAGGTTACAGCCACAAGACCTTCTGCCTCATCGTCTGTCAGCTTCTCAACTGGCATGAAGAGCGGAGATTCCTCGACGTGGACCAAGTCGTAGAAATACCGCTTCACATCCACCTGTCCGATGGTGTCGGCTTCTCTCGGAGAGCGGTTTGCACGCAGCGTCAAGTACGTCTCGGTCTCGAGATGCGCCATGTCCGTGACATCGTAAGCAGCGAGGAACTCGGGCTGCTTTCCATCTGCAGCTCGATAGCGGAGGCCGTTGGAAAAGATTTGCGGGAGGCGGAGTCGAGTTGGGCCGTGTTCGTTGTTGTACCACTCGTGGAACTGGTCGAGTGAGAGGCCTTCGCGAGGCTGCATTGTGACGTAGAGGTTGCCGGGGGTTGCCATTGTGAAGGACGGTGGTGCGTTTGCTGTCAGTAAATCCTGCTGTTTTTCTATTCAAATTTTCCCCTCTGTCTCTTGAAAAAAGTAAGAATAAAATCAAGAGAGAAATATTCTATGTAAGAGTAGATGTTTAGAAAGATGAGTGAGTTTTGAACCATCTTTTAAGAATGAGGCACTGCCGGGTAAATATTCTATCGGGCTGGCTTTGTCCCCCGCCATGTTGGAGCTTCGGCAATTGGAGACGGAGCTGGAGCTGCCCCACGTGGCCGGAAAGATTCGCCGGATGCTGGCCGGGGAGTTACAGCGCGATCCATATTATTAACCAACTAAAGGAGTCTAGTGAGAGCTAACAACTCTCTTTTTAAATCAACTTTCAGCTTCTCTATAATATTGTGTTAATGTTTGTTGATCATTTTGATATATATGAGTGTGGGATACGGAGTAAATCACTTTTGATTAAATCTGACAGCAGATGCGGGGATTGATCAGGCGTCATTCACGTGCCACGTACAACCTGGAAAGAAGCAAGCACCCACCAAATTACTGCACCAATCCTCCTCGTCCATCTCGCAGCCACCAGACTCGCTACACCAATCCTCACCCTCCGCCTTATCTACCGCAAATCAAACTGAAACAACAAACAACGGCCTCTCGAATCAACACGTCGGCTCTCTCATCCTTCCACGCCATCTCGACCGCTACTTAGACCGTGCAGGTTGCATCTCTCAAGTCACCATGCAGCAGCTCGTCCACAATGGGCTCACTTTTGCAGGCATCAACCACACAAAATGTCCGTTTGCATGGCCCGTGCAACCCACTCTGGCCTCCTGCATGGGATGGCCTGCTGCCAGAGGGTCAAGAAGCATCCCAGTGGAGTAAACGAAGGGGATCTGGGCTCGATTCCACCAAAGAGCCTTGATCTACCCCTCTTTGCTGCGTTCACGCTGCAAGGCTGCGCGAATCGAGGCCCTTCTTGATCAACCGTCGTCGGCCACCCACGCTAGCCGATTTTCCTACTCCGTGGGCGAGCGGGAGAGATCAACTTTAAGAAGCCGTTGTTGGTCGCCTTTTTTTCCCCCCGTTTCTTCTTCCGATGCCGTGAGGCCACCGAACGGCAGTCGTTTCCAGCAGGCACCGCAATGGAGGTGTCTCTGAAAAATGTTCCCCAGGGCTTGTCGGATGATCAGCTCTATACCGAGCTTGAGCCACATGTGAAAGCTCTTGGTATCCTTGATTGGCATTGCGATAAGCCTTTGAAGAGGGCTCATGCCTGGGTCACCTTTCTCAGAGAGGCTGATGGGAAAAAATTCCTCCAAAAGCATGAGAGGATCCCAGGCATTCCATCGCAGCCTACAAGTCTCCAAAACCATCGCGGCCGTTTTATATCCCAACCCAGGGATATAGCAAGGCTATTCCTTCTCAAGACACCGATTTTCGTCAGGAAGAGCGATAGATCGGTGGACAAAACTATTCTCATGCACCTAGAAATCCAGAAGGAAGAACGAAAGTTGGAGCAGCGGAAGCCAACAGTTGTTGACCGCAACCCAAAGGCACCTGTTATCAGCACACAAATTCGCCACATCACATGCGGCAAGAACATTTTTGAACAGGAATCGGATACTTTGATATTTGTCGAACAGAGTGGCCTCCACGCCCGGGGTGTGGCCAAGTTTGGACGCCGCACGTTGACGCTCACGCTCTCCGACGAATATCGTGTTGATATCCCTTATGATGTCATCCAAGATCTTGTAGCCAGTGCATCTGATGCATCAATGACTCTCGTCCTGACTGAGGCACCGAGATTTTATGCCAAACAAATTTACTCACAATATGTCAAATGGGCGCGACAAGCATATTTGGGTTTATGGCCTTCCCATCCAAAGTACGTTGCTCACTGTTTGGTCTACCGAATAACACTTGCCTCGAATTATGCGGAAACTCTCGAAAGCCTAAGATCTCGCAACATCATTGTTGTTACGAGGCAGCATTTGCCCGTGCGAATGAATCCTCGGCCCTATGAGGAAGATTATTCTACCTGCATGACTAGGTTTGAAGGCTCTATACAAAACGCTGGTGCTTCGAGATTACGACTGCTACCATTTGCTATACTGTTTCAGCTTCAAGCTTTAGTGTGGAACAACTACCTGCATCCAGCAACGGCGCTGAAAATGCTGGAAATCATGGACAGAATTGCCAAGGACTGCAAGAGAGCCGGCTTGCCATTGCCATTCACCACTGATTCAATGAAGCAGCTCTTTCAGAAAATTCCGTATCCGTGCCCCGGGGTAGATCCGCAAGATCTTGCCGCGGAGAAGCTGGTCGCAGATGTGATAGAAGGGGAGCAAATGCAGCGAGCAGAGGATCCAATGCGCACCTCGCCCTATGGTCCACAACTCCCCGAACATCAGGCTTGGGTATTGAAGGTTATGGTCACGCCAACTCGTATTATGCTGCATGGGCCTGATGGCGAGAACAAGAACAGGGTCCTGCGGATGTTTCCACAGCATTCGGATTACTTCGCCCGAGTCATATTTGGTGACGAAGACGGCCAGGATCTAGCCTTGCTACCCAGCGTGAACAATTCAGCAATATTTGAACGATACCGGAAAATCATGAAGGACGGTATTCATGTTGCTGGTCGAAAGTTTGAGTTTTTGGGGTTTTCGCACTCTTCTCTCCGCTCTCACTCAGCGTGGTTTTGTGCACCCTTTGTCGACAAGATGGAGCTGCAGAACAATGACAGCATCATCAGGTCGCTGGGTGATTTTAGCGACATTCGGATTCCCGCAAAATGTGCCGCACGTATCGGGCAAGCCTTCTCCGAAACGCCTTACGCAGTAGACATTCTCAAGTGCGGCATTGGGATCAAGTACATCCCCGACGTGAAAACAGCAGACGGAAAGCGAGTATTCAGTGACGGGGTTGGTACCATCTCGTGGGATGCCATGGAAGAGATTTGGGACCGCCTCCCAATGAATAATTCGGCGCCAACTTGCTTTCAAGTCCGCCTGGGAGGGATAAAGGGAATGCTTTCGCTCGACTCCAGGCTCAAGGGCAAAGTGATTTGCATACGGAAAGAATCCATGATGAAGTTCCCAAGCTCAGACCAAACGACCTTGGGCATTTGTGATACAGCCTCGAAGCCGCTGCGCCTTGTTCTGAATCGCCAAACCATCAAGATTTTGGAAGACATGGGGACAAATTTTGAATGGTTCATAGATCAGCAGAACAAGGCCCTCGACGTGCTTAGAAATGTCACCGCCTCAGCGTCAAACACTAGCACCTTTTTAGAGTCCCAACTGGTGGGCACCAATGTGGGTTTCCCCAAACTCATCAAGTACTTGAACAAGGTTGGGATCGATTACCGGCGGGACAAATTCATGAAGAAGGTTGTGGATCATACCATCCTCCGAGAGTTGCGTCTGCTTAAGCACAAGGCACGGATTCCTGTGGACCAAGGGGTGACTCTCTTTGGCATCATGGATGAAACGGGATTTCTTGAAGAGGGCCAGATATATGTCACTTTTGATTCAAGTTACGACAAGGCCCAAGGTCGAGTCAAGGGGTCACTCAAGGATGGGTTTGTGCTTATCACGCGCTCACCAGCCCTCCACCCCGGCGATATCCAACTTGCTCAAGTAATGACACCCCCCCATGGCCATCCGCTCCGCGACTTGAGAAACTGTGTGGTCTTTAGCCAGAAGGGGAGTCGCGACTTGCCAAGCCAGCTGAGTGGAGGAGATCTCGATGGAGATTTGTACAGCATCTTCTGGGATCCCTTTGTCATTCCAAAAAGCTACTTTACCCCGGCCGATTATCCAAGAGTTACTCCGCCAGCGTTGGACCGAGTGGTGACGCGCGAGGATATTGCAGACTTTTTTGTCAAGTTTATGGAAACTGATATCCTAGGCATGATTGCCAACCGACACCAGATTTTTGCAGATTTCAAAGATGAGGGAACAGTTGACCAAGTATGCACGAATCTCGCAGAGCTGCATTCAACCGCAGTCGACTACTCCAAGACGGGTATTCCTGTGACGATACAGCAGCTGCCCAAGGCACCGCGCCTACGCCCGGATTTGTGAGTGCCATTTGCAATTCCCATTTCCCCCCTCTCGTCTTGTTCTATTGAACATGTGATGCGAAGATAGCACACTAACTCTTTATTTTCTATATAGCCTTGCGCCTGCTCCCCCTACTCGCTTGTATGATCGCGGCGAAGTAAGCCATATCGGAGATCCCGAATCGGACGAAGATGACGAAGATGGGATGGGTGCTAGTAAGAAAGGATATTACAAGTCTCAGAAAATATTGGGCGAATTGTATCGGGGCGTGGATGAAGAAAAAATCTGGGGCCAAGATGTTCAGCGCCCCGTTGAAATGAGCGGTTCTTCTCTATGGGAAGACTTGAACAAGCACGTGTACGCTGCTTTAATGGAAGAAGGATGTGTCGCATCAGATGTCGACTATACACGTCGGGTTGAAGAAGCATGGAAGCTTCGTGAATTGTACGATTCCCGTGGATCTCTCTCTCTCCCTTTCTCAAGATTAAGTGGCTAACTTGAGTTGAAATAGGTATCAAACGCAAGTGTCCAATAGCATGTGGCAGTTTTCGGATAGCCCTCGCGTTCCCATTAGAGAAGTGGAAGCTTTCTGCGGGTCAATTCTGAATCCCAAAGGCAGCCAGACGAGGCGACAACGAGACTCATCCATCAAACTGAAGGAGGAGATGGACAGGATCATGAACTTTTTTGCGAAGCTTATCCGCGATCGCAGCGGAGGCGCCTTGGGGATTGCAGATGATGCGGCGTCGGTCGCAACTGAAGATGACGGGCAAAGTGAGCGAGAAAGAATGAATGCTGTGGAGCTGTGCTGGGCTTGTGTGATTGTGGGAAGTGAGCAGGATAACAAGGGACAGAACTATGACGATAATGAGAAGCCGCTGGAGAGCTTCCGAGTGGTGGCGGCGAGCTGTCTGGTGAAGGAACTCAATGAGCTACTGACTAGAAAGAGGTCCGGAAGGGTGGGAGGCTATGTTGGGGTTCGTTCTGGGCCTCGATACCATGGCGCGTTGCCAATGAGGTGATGATGTTTACTGAATTCTGAGGGCGATGGGAGTGTGGGTATGGAGTATGTGTGGCTCGCTCTGTTGACGATAAGAGTAGTCGAGGGTGGATTTGAGATGAGACATGATAAGGATGGGATGAATAAGAATGACAATGATGCTCTACAGTCTGAAGAGTAAGATACATGTAGTGAGAGTACAAATAGCTTAGTATGAAGCAGCTAGGAGTCTGTCTATCTATTGCTCAACTCGGCATGGGGATTATGAGGCACAATATTGACAAACAGACAAGATACCAGGTCGCTAACGTGTTGAGAACCAGCCACAAACTGCGCCACCGAGTTCGAGATGGGAAACCAATTGCCGAACGAGATGCAAGTGGACGTGAGGCTGGTGAGGGCTGTAAACAAGACTCTTTGCGGCGATTGGCTGCTTTTTAGAGTTGCCGCCGCAGGGATGGCGTTTTCGTCTGGCGGTTTTGACTTCTGCCAAACGCTGTACGAGTCTTATGCCGTCATCGCCTCTGCCTCTACCTCTGCTTCTTCATCGCATTTTATTTCTTTTCACTCTCATTTCATCCATTTCGTCGCGCGTTTTAGCTGCTCGTCCCAGCCTCACTTCGCCACCGCTTTTCGAATACGAACAAAACAAAAGCCCGTATCCATTTCTAGGCTGCCTCTTTCTTTTCTTTTTTTTTTTTGATAGCGCCAGCTGCCTGGTCGCAGCGGCAGCTGAAAACAGCCACTAGCGGCAAGGGGGGGGGGTGAGGCCGAATCTAGGACTTTTTCATCTGCCTCTAGGCCTCACGATGCGCCGTTCGCAATAAAACTCGGGTTGCATAAAATTGCGACCTCTCAAAGAAAAAATTGTTTTCTTTCGTTTTATCTCTTGTGTTATCAGGATCATTCGTTTGTTGTCGCCGTTTGGTGGTCGCTTTGTTGCGACGCCTTGTGGTTTGCCTCGGCCAATACTTTACAACGCCGTGGGGCCTACACTTTCTGCAGATGCGCCGTATTTCAACAGCGAGTGGATTTGGCATGACGATTTCGAACTCTATAATTAGAATTCCAAGAGGTCAACGAATACGTGGTCATACTGGGACCTGTCTTTCGTCGACAGGTGCTATATGAAGCTGGCGTCTCCTTCATCCCCCTGGCGCCTTGTGCCTGGAGCCATGGAGAATATGGACAACAATCAGAAATCGAGCCTGCGACAGAAAGTGACGGAGAGGCTATCTGGCAAGATTCGAACCCAGTCGACCCTCGGATATAGCATCTTTAAAGACAAGGTCCTAGTTGAGATTGCGCTGAAACCACTATCACAGCAACAGCTGAGCAATAGCCATGGATTCGTTCCGCGCCAGACGTTACTATCGTGCTTCTTGCAGCTTCCACCAGAACTGCAGTTGGAGATCTTGTCGTATCTCGACTTTGGAGACATCCAGCGGTTGCGGCAGACGAGTCGTCTATTCCGCGAAAGCCTCGACCATGGGCTGATGAAGAGCCTGTTTCCTCGTCTCTTTGAAGATATGCTGAAAACATGCTACATTTGCCTAACAGAAGGTGTGGAACATTTAATGATAATGGGGAATGCTCGGCATCAGCGATACCCGTTGACGAGTAAATGTTTCAGCTGTATCGAAAGACAGGCGGGCTTCATGGTCGGACGGAGATACACTCTGGTGAACTCGGAGACCGTTTTTGTGTGTCGCTGGTGCGGGATCCCGGTGACGTCGGTGATGGAATCGCGTGGGTCAGACTTTCATAGCTATTGCTATGAGTGGTACAAGGGAGCGCTTGTGCTGCATCATACGATCGGGGTGGTGCAGTGGATGGTTGTGATTGTTGGTTCGGCATTATGTTGGCATTATTTCATACGCCAGACGATGGTAACCATCCCTCTTGCGGTAAGTAGAGTCATCTTTTTCTTTGCATTTTGCTTGCCAGTGCCGTGGTATCATTTCGCCAATGCAATCAGCTAAAATGATGATTCAACAGCTTGCTTTTGTCATAGGCTTTTGGCCGATTATTTTGAACATGACCAGGGGACACGCCATGAGGACTTACCACTGGTCTATGATCACGGAGCTAATCATTCTGACTCTCTGGATACCGCCAATGTATGCAATTATCAACAAGGCAATTGTCAATCGATCAACAAGCGGTCTTCACGTGTCCCAGCCAGCGACTTCCGCAACGCTGGTCTTCATTGTGTTCAACATGTAAGTGGATTTATCCCTTTTGCTATCCTTAAGTGACACTGTCGTATTTGTTCGGATGCTTGTGCACTCTTGTGACTTTAACTCATCTTCGGTTAGCTGACTTGTGGCCTCAGGATATTTCGACTTGCAAACATCATTGGACATCTGACATTACTCTGCGAATGGAAGATGTGGCAACGGTCAAGACCTGGGATAAGTCGATTGAGGCGCATGGCAGGAAGGGTATTGATGGTGCTGGTGATTTGTGCCGATCCGCAGTGCTTCCGGCAGGATTACCCCGGAAGATGGTGGTTTAAGCGACAGCGCCGGTTTATCGTGTAGAGACGGATTCTTTTGCTTGTGAAGTTTGGATAGATGGGTTTAATCGGGTTTATCGGTACGACTGGGATTTTGGCGTTTTGGCGACAGGTGTGCGGCAATAGTCACGGCATATACGGAGTGTGGGTCAAAGGAGATATACAAATCTGGGAAACTCATGCATGTACGAGAACAGAGAAAGTGATTGAAACGGACATACGGGAATATGAGAAGCTGCGCACTGGAAGATGAGCCACAGAGCCAATGCGCAGGATGGGAAGAGCTAGTCACAGCATGTTGGCACGGCGTCTTGAGTGCGATTGGCCGAGTCGTTTAGTGGACTGGTCTATTGGCGAATAGAACGAAGATCCGCGGATTAACGACTGCTTTGTACGGAGGACGGAGGATGTGGGCGTTTTCTGGCTTGCATGGCTATCGTACGAGCGGCGCTTTAGCTTGGATCCAGATTGAGTGAGGACGGATGCCTGTGGCTGTGGGGTAGGACAAGGCAGGGATGGAACGGTTGTGAGAGTGAATTGACAGAATGTGTTATCAAAGGACACAGAGACTTGTTGATTACTATTGGAAGACTATTCATTCTTCTGAATCAAGGGCAGCAATAGACAGTTGTAAGCATGGCATAACTAAAGACTCAAGTACTGTACAGATACAGCTTCAAGCCCCCGAAACTTGTGCAGATCCAATTAAGATCAAGTCCGTACCAGTTAAGCTCTCGGGCGAACGGAAAACAGTGGGTAAGTGGATTCTGTGGGGAAGAAAGGGGGGGAACGAAATAGCGGCAAGTGGATTCAAAGCTATTAGTGGCCAAGGCAAGCCGGAAAATCTGGGGTAAAACAAGTTGTAAGAGAGAGAGAGAGAGGGAACATTGCTGGATTGTATGACGAGGGGACGGGGTTTTGCCTGTGGAGGAGCGGTATGGAGATTTCTGCAAGTGCGAGGTTCATTGACTGGCTTTTGAACGCTTTAGATACTGTGGGGGCCGGGGGGGCGGGGGGGCGGTTTGGTTAGTTGACAGCATGACCTGATGCTGGGGGATGCTTTCAGTATGGGGCACTGCGTTGGGACTAGATCTGGGGTAAGGAAGATGCAAGCTGATATCGGGCATCCGGGAGAAGAGCCCTGGTTCCGACTAGAAGAACCCTGGTTCCGACTATTTTGGGGGCTGGTTGGGTAATCGGAAGCTTTTGGGGGCTTACTTTGCAGCTGGGAACGAGCGTTGCTCAGCGCTCGTAAGTTTATGCGGTTGCGTGGCTTGGGTTTTTGTTTTCTAGTTTCGGGACAAAGGAGGGAGGGAACGAGCATCGGGGGGGTTTGGGGTTGGTAAGGGGGTTGACTGTACATATATATTCTGGACGGGAACTTGGCATACTGCGAGGGTGATTAAAACGAAGGTGTTTTGTTCTTCTCTTTTATTTTCAGATAACAATCCTCGAAGGTGAAAAGGATTGCTTCTATCTATCTCTCTCTTCTCTCAATTGGTCTCGTCTTTGTTATACCCAAGAAAACAAAATCACTATCAGCCATGGCAGACGAAAAGGGCAATCGAACCGGCGCCGACTCCGACTCCGACCGGGTCGAGGCTCTGAACAGGTTTCGCTCTGCAGCGAGCATCAGCATGACGCCAGAGTTGTTTGAGAAGCTCTACCTGTCGCCACAGAGCAAGGTCAAGGGCCAGCTGAGAGACACCTTTGGAAATCCGACGCCAATGTAAGATGCTTCATACCTTTGTCTCTTTCGTTGCTACCGTGAATGAAGTTATTAGATGAGGCTGACTTGTTATGTTTCTTGAACAGTGCTCTTGTTGGCTTTCTCATGGCCCTCACACCATTATCATGTAGTCTCATGGGCTGGCGAGGAGCAAGCGGCGGCGGCGCAGCAACAATGTATGTGTTCTCCACTCCCATCTCCCTCCCAAGTGTGACAAGGAAACAACAAAGTTTGCTAACTTATTTCATCACCATCTTCCAGCCCTGTATACTTCTTCCAAGCCGGAATCCTCATGACGCTCGGCGGTCTCCTCGAATGGATCCTCGGCAACAGCTTCCCGGCCGTCGTCTTTACCTCGTTTGGCACGTTTTGGCTGTCTTACGGAGGTGTTTTGAATCCGTCGTTTGCCGCGTTTTCTTCGTACGCGAAACCGGGCGAGGATGCTACCGAGGGGCTTCAGACCACTGGCTTCAATGCCAGTCTAGGTAAGCCCATTCCATACACACACATATATACATCGTGGCTTCTTGTGCTGATTATGTTATGAAAGGCTTCTGGTTTCTCTTCATGGGACTGCTTAGTCTTGTGTTCCTTATTTGTTCGCTGCGTACCAACGTCGCCTTCTTCATCATCTTCCTGACGCTGGTCATCGCTTTTGGCCTACTGACGGGGGCGTATTGGTCAATGGCGGAAGATTTCGTGGGAAATGCTCACTATGCAAACAAGTTACTTATTGTAAGTCTGATCTCTGATAACACCTCTCGCCGATACAAGATAGGAGCGGTGATTAACTTGTTTTTTAGGGCGCTGGTGCTTCGACTTTTGTAACGTGTCTGGCCGGATGGTACATTCTGCTAGCCATTGCGCTTGCCATCGTGGACTTTCCTATTCAGATCCCAGTTGGAGATTTGAGTAATGTCATCAAGGGTAAATCTATCAGGGAGCGATGAGCTATATTTAGTAGTTGATTTTGTACTCAAAAGCACGTACTCTTGTTCCATTGTCTATTTTATGAATCATATGATTTTATGTTTGTTTGGACATGAATTTCATTTTATATTAGGCCAAATACTGACATTTTTGCGGTATTAATGAAGACTTCTTCCAAATATTATCATTCATCTTTCTGTGAAAGTTGTCTCATAGAAGATTAATTTTGCACAAGTTATCGCTTGGTAATCCTTCTTATCACGTTCATACCGCCCACAGCACCACGTAATGCATTTCTAGCGGTAGAATGACAATTTTAATGCATCAGACCAATTTTGATAATGTTGTCTGCAACATATTAGATAGACCTTATTAGCAATACGAATGATGCCCGACAGCAGATACCTTCTACTGCATCCAGACGCGGAAATTCTGGACGATTAGCAAACATGTTTATGTTATGACACCTTCATTAGCAATGAATATTATGCCAAACGCCTCAGTTCAATATTATTATCCTCTTGTTGGTTTTGTCTTTTCTGTATCTACCATTACATAACTTATGCCAAGGGAGGTATAGTCTCTCCAATTTAATGCTTCATGAGCAACTACACCGCCAATCAAGATGCGTTCATTCATCTAGTAGGCTGCATTTTCAACATCGCTAGCTTCATTATACTTTTATGCACTCCAATTTTCATTCTTTTCTCGTAAAATGGAAGACGTCACAAGTACTGCATTCTTCCAGCTTCCACTCTTTTTCTTGATAACAACCAGATAATGTACAAGCCAAGACTAAACTCCCTGCCATATTTTGAAGTTGATAAATACAATAGATTGTCACACATGAGATTACCCGGGAATAATTCAAATTCACATGTCACATTCCGCCCGGCCCAATCCACCCACTTGCCTCTTCACCTCCCCCTTCCTCTCACCGCTCCCATGTTCCTAGTAGGACATAACGCACAGACAAAAGAAGAAAACTCGGAAGCAAACTCTCTCCCACACCCCCTCCTACCAGGAGTAAATAGCATAACATTTGACTCTCCCTTGGCCAAGGCTACTCAACACTACGTTCACCTTGTTGTTTCCCTTCCTCTTCAAGCAAGTTGCATCAAGTTGCATCAAGCTGCGTCAAGCTGCGTCAAGCTGCGTCAAGCTGCGTTAAGCTGCTCCTCATGACATCTGACAGCCACCCCCTCAATTCGGTGACCAGCAGCTGAACTAAAAATATCATTTCAACCTATTAGACAAAAAGAAAGAACAAAACATTTTCGTCGAAATAAAACTAGACCCCAACGCTCGCCTTGTCTTGGCTGCCTATTCATCCCCGGACTAAACCGGAGCCAGATGCACAATCGTATACTCGTACGTAAAATGAAACTCAGGACGCAATTCCCAGCCCCGACACCGCTGTATTAAACGAAAATGAACTATTCAAACAAGACTAAAAACGAGAAGCGAATATTGGTTCCTCCAAGCGCGCGAAAACAACGGTAACTCAGTCAGCTGATTGGCCACGTTACCCGTCCCACCAGAGCCTGCTTTTATGCATACAATATTATTCCTGGCTTAGTGGCCATGTAGTTTGCAATAGAGGCAATACTAGATAATAGCAAACAATTTCGGGCTCCCAATCACCATCTCAGCACTACTCGGCATATTGACGCCATCAGCCGCAGGCATTAGCAAAAATAGACGTGTCATTCTCTAGCCGCGGCACGGATACAGGCACGAGTACGGATACAATGTGTTATTCATTAAACGAGCTGAGAAAGGTATCGGAATTATTGGACAAAAAAAGCAAAGAAAATCGTATCATATATTTCCATTTTTACAGGGTATAACCAAACTATTGCCTCTGGCTTTCCCTTTTCCCTGCTTTCCATTCGAGAATATCACATGCTGCTCGGCAAATAAAATCTCGCCCAGGCATGAAGAAACAAGAAGAATGATACGACTGGTTCAGAAGGTTCCTGACCCTACCCTTCTCCTGTATCTGCCAGCTGTCATGAATGAACCCGGGCTGTTTTGCCCCAACGCCACCTCCACAGGTCCAACTCTCATCACCAGCCTATCAAAATATAAAGAAACGTAAAGGCGAAAACCGCAGAAAACGGCGATTATGCCTCTCCACAACTCATCGGCCGCACATTCCATACCGCCCATCTCGGAGACAACGCTGTTTCAGCCGCAGACTGCGCCCCCCTTGTCCGCCCCCCCTCTCCCAAAAAAAGAAACGCGCCAATCTCGTTTGTTCGATCCCAAGAGCATGCATAAGAATCGGCCATCGTGCAGCTTTGCCGCCCAATGAGCTGAATAAGAATAAGTCAGGCTTCTCAACCAATCATGCAAGCCGCCGCATTCCAAAGCTCTTTGTGGTCGGATAGCTGGTGGACACCGGCTTCTTCCCCGGAAGCTTCACTTTGGTAAGACAGCGATGCAAGAGGATCGACTCTGTCTATGAATGGCGTGAAAAGCGCAAAGATCCGTGCTGTGTTGGCAATGTTGCATGGTGTGCAGATGGACGTATGTCTCGAGTTTCGCTGAATGCGCGCTTCGATACGACGGCTGAAATACGCAAGCTTCATGTCTGCCACCATGAGTGAGTAGACACGACTTTCCAAAGCACACCCCAGCGGTGCTTGGGAGTGAATGGGAGATATGAGAGTGAAAATAGAGAGAAAAGCAACATCAGACCATATATGAAAGGTCTGGCTAGTCAAGATTATAATGACGGAGACTGTTTTGGTAGAGTAAATGCGTGCTTGGTTTATCCAGGTAACCACTAGGTACGGTGCACAGTATACAATGCTAATGCTAGGTAAATAATTCCTCTGCACATCATTACAACATCGCTTAGTGATGCTCAATTCGTCTTCGATAATGACGCTCGCATATCCATTTACATCTTACCAACAGCATGCGTCGTCTCCAGGTTGATTGACGTCGCTCCAAGTCTACTCAAGTGTTCTTCGGTCCAGTGTCGATGATCTTAAAGGTGCCACCCCAATAAAAGCACGGGCGATGAGGTGACTGTTGCCGTATTCTCTCAAAGTCTTCGTATGTCGAGACATGGCGTCGCCGTAATTCTGCGGCTACATCTTCATACTCTGGATATGGAATAGTTGGAGGCACTTCCAACGATTGCGGCAACGCGGCTATAAACCAAGTTTTATGGAAAATAAGACATTCCGCTGGAGCACCGGCCCTTGTGTGGTGAATGCTAACGGGCCCAAGATCCTCATGCACGCCGTGCTCGAGTACCAAACGGCGGTACATCTGGACAACAGGGTTCGGTGACCAGGTATTGCCAGCCCAAACGGCTACTAGAGGGCTTCGCCCAGTTTCTCTGTATCGAATCCATTTTTCTCTACTGAGGTCTCTCTGTACATACCTAGGCAGGACTGCCGGCATATAGCCCTCCGCTATGTCGTACTCAATTTCTTCGGCTTCGCGTATAACAGTTTCGTTTGGCGGTGGGAGGGAGGACTTGGGTCGCATTGGGTTCCAAATCTCCACGGCGCGCGGGCGTAGCCCCTTTGGCGGCAATTTTTCCTCCGGGTCATCAAAAAAGCTGAACGGTGTCTCACCACTGGTCATGAGTTCCTCGGCGTCCAACTCAAGAGGCGAGCCCATTTCTTCCCTTGGTTCCATTTCCAGTGCCAGATGCCTGAGGCCACTCACTAATCGCACGGATCGCCCTGGTCTTGACTCCTCCGCTTTATTCATGATGGATAAGACTTGCTCTTGCAAGCCTAAGAGTCGAAGGAAGAAGGTCAGTTTATGGACGAGTGGGCCAAAGGAGTGGCGGGGAACACAAGTCAACGTCAAAGTTTGCAGCCGGGGATTCATGTCCGGGAGAAAGGCTATCGAGTATGCCCAGTCAAGGCCGGGGAGGATGTGTTTTTCAGCCAAGTATAAGCATTCAATTGCACGATAGTCGGGAATCTTGAGCGTTGGTATGTTTGTGACAAGCGAGTGGTGTATCCTGAGTGATCGAAGATTGGAGCACCACACGGGACGGAATATCTGTGATAGGCCTGAGAAGCCGTATATTCCGATTAATTTGGAGGTATGAAGTCGACAGCTACAAGAAACCTCAAGATCTCCATGGGTCATTTGGCAATTATGGCCGTCAGGCAGATATAAACGCATTGAGTCGCAATCAAAGTGCTCTATCTGGCCATTGGAACGGCGCAGCAGCGATTCGATGCCAGCGGCAGAAAAGTTGTTGCCCGACAAGTGCAGATGTGTGAGGCCAACGGAGCCCGGCAAGTGGTCCGTTGCGGTAATGCCGCCATCCCGAGACAAGAGTTGTAAAACACCATCGAGCGTGTCTGGGCGTATTGACAAAGAGCCATCGGACCGGGTATTGACCGTATCTTCCTCGCTGTTAGACAAGGTACTAAATGCGGGGGCATCGACTAGATATCTGTCGCCAGGAAGAAAAACGTCGCTGCTGCCGTGCACTTCCCGAAGACAGATGAAGGGTATGTGGCTGCCAAAATCCATCCAAAACTCGATGATCCCCTCCGTTTTTTTATGCTGTGATGTGCGCAGCAGGCGTCGGGGATCGAGCTGGCGGAGCAAAAATTGCACTGAGCGATCGGTTAACTTGTTATCACTTAGATCCAGACTCCACAAGCGTCGATCGAAGATGTTGATATAGTACAATCTATCGGCGTAAATTCCATTGCGGTGAAGCTTGAGGATCCGTAACTTGGGCAGCAGCAGCTCAACTGTCTCATTCGGATTGGGCAATGGAGTCCCGGATATGTCCAAGTAAACCAATTGTGGCAGGTTATTGTGTGATGTGAGGACTGTGAGGACTCCATTTGTCACATTATTAAGACTTAGTATCCGTAATGCACGACCTAATGGAGATGGTTGCTGGGGGTTGAGGCCAAGGAAGCGGACATCCAAACCGATATGGTCGTCCAAGACAAGGGCCTCAACGTTTGGCAGCAGCTCGAGGGCCAGCTTGAAAGCACTTCTAGTAAGCTCTGGGTACATGGCAAAATCGCGCGGCCCGGTAGCGCCTCTTGCGTCCAAGACTCGGATCAAGAGCCGCGTCTTGGGCGTCAGCTGGCGCAGCTTCTGGGACATGAACCTGGCCCACCAGTGTGTGGTATCTGCCGAAATACGGATAAGTGCCGTCCCGATACTGATAGCGTCGTGAAAGACTCAGACTCACCACCGTCTGTGCCCCATCCCAAACGCTTAGACGCCGCACACGGGTCACGCCAAAGCCGAGGCGCGAAGACGGACCAGAAGCGGCGGCTGACTCGACAAAGGGATGGATAATCTGCGAATGCTATGTATGGAGCCGCCAGCTGCAGCCAGTCGGGTCGAGTGGTTGCTTGCTGATATGTTGGCAAAACATCCATGATGCATACTGTCAGAAGTATACAGCAATGGAGAGAGTAAGTGGTAAGCACCCTGGGAAGGGCGTTCTATGAGGTATACTGCCGGATTCGGGCACGGAATCTGAAAGCTGTACGGAGTACCTGGCAAGCAATACTTGGAAGTATTGGTAGATAGCGTGTGATTAGTCGTTGGAGGCGAGAATATTGACGCAAGGATGAGGATCAAGGTGGATGCTGGAGGTTGGATTAAGCCGAGGACGAGCTTCGAGTCGGGGTGGCGCAGAGCCCCGTGGCTGTGTTGACTTGGCAGACAAGTACTCGCAGCCCAAGATCAGGTGCGAAACATACTTTCGGCCTCTGTCATTAATGACAGGAAAGCAATCAAGGCACGCTGAGAGTGAGGCAAACGGATCAAGCAACAAGTTAGTACCAAGTACGGAGTATCAAGTAGTATCAGAACATGGACGCATCACCACCAGGCCGTGGTGGGGTCGCGGAAGGAAAGCGCAATACGGAGTACAAGGTACAGTACTGTACTAATGGCGCACTTGCCGTTCAATGCATCTCATCTGATAGCTGGCAGGAGCGGTGGAGCTCTGGCGTTCTGCCAAGTCATGCGGTAGAGCCGCCTTAGTATCAGTCCTAGTGTTGGCAACGGAGCAGGTACTCCGCCTTGCTAGTGAAGTACCAGCCTGGTTTACGGGCTGGCTGTTAGTTGGGCAGGCACGGGATTGGGCCCACAGCAGATGCCAAGACCGATCAGACTCCATACGAGTACATGAGGAAAGAAGACCATTGAAAACATGGAAGATTAAATTGGCTGCTAATGCAATTTGAAGGACTCGACGCAGTCAGCAGCTGATGCGTTGGCTCGCCTTGCAAGGCCTTGTATGTACATACTAAGGGATTACGGGTCAGTACTTTGTTCCTGGGCCACGGTGGCATACATCATGCTGGTACCGCGCAGTAATGCAACTCCCATGTGCCGCTGATGTTTTACCTTTGATGTTTTGCCTTGACTGTATGTACCTCTGACGAGCATGACAGCGACCTCACTATACCTGGGTACCTCCTAGACAAAGTACTTCCAAATTGGGCACCCAGCAAAGCCCAGCAAGTACCAGATACCACCTCCAAGTTAGGTAACCTCCTATCCTCCCATTTGCAACGCTTTTTCAAAAAGTAGGTACCTAGTGGCATCATACAATCTACTGCCCGTCTGCATGTATCTATCCTACGTCCCCATCTCCTGCAAGTTGCCCCCTCGCCCGCAGGTCGGTCAGCGCAGGTCGATGGATCTTGTCCCCTGTACCGCTGTGGCTTGCTTCACTGCTAGCTCCATAGCGGCTAGATCGCTATTACAGCCCTAGCGGCGCCATTCCGCTAGAAGCCACTACACTCGTACGAGCACAGCAACGTCCATCGTCCTGGGATTCCATTCCGCGCCTTGAACTTCACAGCTGCAATCATCACTTACCGAGATCGGCCATGTATGGACAGCTAACATGCACATGATGCAGGCGGGCGAGCTAGCCAGCTGATCAGCTTTGATAGGCTGTTATCGCAGCTGAAGCTGTGTCGTGGCCCCAGGCGATGCACTCGCTGCAATATATCCAACATGGACCGCCAACTGGCAACTGGAACAGCATGTCAGCCTCACTTTGCTCTCACCGCCAGAGCCTTGCAGCTAACCGTCATGGTCTTTCTTTGGGCTTTGCTTTGGGCCTTGCTTTGGGCCTATCAACAGATGGCTTGGACCCCCCCTCTAGTTATGCTGTGACTGACAAGTGTCCTAGTACGACAGCCACATGGGCATGGGATGATCACATCAGAGGACAGCAAAGCACGGCACAGATAGACAACCACAGCTCTACTGCTACTGCGGTTGCAAAGATTGACTTGTACAAACCCAGTTCACAGCTTGGGTACGGACGCCTCCGATGTGCGTCACGCGGGCCGCCGGCAAGCAAGCCCGTGCCCACGGACCCAGTTGTGATGTTTTCGTGTCCATGCATACAAGTTGGGCCAAGCATTAAGCCAAGAGTTGAGCCAAATCCATCCGCTCGGCGGCACGGAACGTGTCCCGGCTTTCCCATCGGACAACTAACGTCGCTAAGACGGCCATGTCATAGCTCTCGGACGCTTCAAGCCGCTTCCGAACTGACAGGTCAAGCGAACCCTGGCTGGGCAGCGCCATCAAGACGACGGTGACGGGTGACGATGGCAAGATGTGACGGGTTGCCGCAAGTAAGTGGTTGCCGGCTATGGCTAGATAGGAAAAAAGGAGATTAAGGAACCGAGACCTTGTCAACCCCCCTATAGTTGCGGACCAACACGTCGAATGCTTGTACAGGCAGATACAGTTACAGTAGCCCACGCAACAGACAAGCACATGACAACGCACAGTCTGTCCCGGCAGCTTGGCTGACGAGCGTCCCGTTTCCTTGCTTTCCCGCCCATGGCAGGGCACAGATCACCGAGATGAGCACAGCCATGGGACGGGATTCTTGGCATCGGTTTGTAGCCGGTCAGACACTCATCCCCCCTCACAGTCCGTTGGTTGGAACAATTTAATACAGACGAGTGTGCACGCACATTGATGGATGCATCAGCATGCTTGTACACACAGCATTCTAGACATGAAACGACCGTGTAGAAACCATGTCTGCGCCTGTGTTTGAGACTGTGAGATGAGCATAGATCTGCTTCATGTTTTTCCTACAAGACAATTCGACCGTTACACATTTTATTTTATTTTTATCTTCTTTCATTTTTATTAACCCTGAGGCCACAAAAAGCCACTTCTGCAAGATTAATGCACCGGTGATGCTCTTTTTACACGCGCCGCTTTATTTTCTGCCCACCCTCGTCTAATACTCGTGCTAACGCAGGTCTAAAGCAAATACGTGGATGTATCTCAGCCAATATCCTCATTTCCCTCCCTATATCGGCCTTGTTTTGAGTTTTCGGCGCGGTAGAAGCGAAGCAAGCGTCATGGTAGCCTTACCGGGCGTAACGAAGCAGAGTTGGCGGCTCCGTCCATGTAGGCATCGGTTTTTACTTTCGGTTAACGGCGAAGCGATTACGATGCGTGGGGACCAGGACAATTGCGGGTGAAAACTTGGCATTAGAGCCCGGTCGAGACGCATCACCAACATTGATGTTGTCCTTAATCCATCCATGCTCCCGTTTCATATCAGATGGCGACAGAATTAGACATAACCGCAGTCCCCAACTCTCACATACCTAACCTCCAAACATAGGCAGTTACACAACGGCTTCATCCACAAAAGAGAAAAGAGAGAACAAAGAAAAAGGAAACGTGTGTTGGGCCTCTATCTCTTCCCCCCTCCTCTCATCTAAACCATCTCAAGAAAAAAAAGTGTCGTGACACAAGAAAACGGCCGCTCCCTTGTCCCCATCTCCCCATCTCATACTAACTCAACACTCCCAAAACGGCCCAAGACATTCGCCCAAAATGCGTGAGTAGCTTGATTAGCACAGCTTTCGCCAACACATTGCCACTTGCTCCCATTCGCTCGCATCTTTACAACCACCCCCCCTCCCTTTTCCTCTCTTCCCGCCCTTGACTACCTACCTCTGGACGACGCACCCACAGCTTTTCCCCTTGGGAATAGTATTGCCCAGTTGGGCAGATCTTAGACTGGACATAAACAAACCCCGGCTGTTCCGAGAAAACCCCAGCAAGGGATCAAGGATCTACACTTAGCTTGAAGCCATCTCTTTGCCGTCCCCCAGGAGGTGATGGTGTACGGGCAGTAATATGAGTACATATATTCGTAAAAGAAAAAAAAAGAAAGCGAAGATCATGGCCTTGATCCCCAACCGGTGAGTCCAGATCCCCAATCCTCCATTCCAAAAGGGATGTAGCATTTTCCAACGGTACTCCAATTCTGCAGAGTTCCTGTAAGTCCAAGACAAAGACACGGACCCAGACCACACACCCCACCGCCGAGAGCCTCCCGTGAATTCGTGCTCACCCGGCCTCCTATCAGCCCGCGTTGAGTGTCTCTTCTTCTCTTGTTTTTTTCTTGTTCCTTCCCGCCCCCCCCTTTCAACCTCTGTCGGTAATTCAGCCGCCTATTCCTTTTTCTTTCCAGCCTCGGCCGGAGGCTGGGGGGATTTTTCCGCCACACGCCCCCTCCCTTTACCATCTCAGGCTCACCGTTTGGGCAGCTAAGAGTTACCGATATGCTAGAGGTGGATCAGTGGATTCAACAGACTTCAGGCAGCCTCAGAACAGAGAGCAGCCAGCCAACCACGTCTTGCCATCCGTAGACTTGCATGAAGCAGTTAATATACATGATTGCCAACACTGACGAGAATGCCTGAAGCGGTGAGGGAGAGAGAGAGAGCGGACATTGGGAGAGGGACACTTGTAGAGCCAAAACATTGTTCATCACAAAAAACTATATTATACATTGCCAAGTGTATATGCTAATACACACCTATGATTTTGGGTGTCCTTAGGACATCTTGACAGTCCGTAATGGGCCATACCGTCTCGTATATCTTTTGGTATCAGTAAAACGTCAAACATATTTCTCCCAACCACAATAAAACTGAAAAGCCGGTCGCCAAGCCATGCGGCCCAGCTGAACTGGTGTAAAAATAATGAAATAGTTGGGGGCCAGCGGCAACTGCTGCAGGGCAGCGTCAACAAAGCAAAGGAGAGAAAAAGAAGAAGAAAAAAATGAGACCCAACAATAATAAGGAAATAAACCAAGCATAACCATGTACGTATGTATCCATCCCCTCCCACCTTGGATATCAAGATTTGTAAAGATCCACAGAAAGAGGCGCCGGTGTCCGTCCCTTCTCCCCATATCCTCCACTCCCACCTTTGATCCAAAAACAAAAAGAAAAAAAAAAGGAAAATTAATGGAACATTTCTTCCAATAGATGCTTGTGTTTAACAATGTTGCTTTTTGGTTTTTTTGTGAAGCTGACCGCCAGCGTGTGTGTGTGTGTGTGTGTGTGTGTGACGGGATTCGGTGTAAATGGATAGACAAAGAAGAGGTCTTCTGCTTGGGCAACAGCCGTCAAGCAGGATGTTGTGATTAGGACGAACCAATAGTAATCTCGGTTCCAGCGCATGTATGCAAAATGAGAAGAAAAAAGGAATTTTTGTTGCTGCTATCCGATGCCTTGCTGCAAGCCGGTAAGCCATTCCCGATGCCACCTCGGCGTCTATCGGGTGTGGCTTGCCCCACAAGACAGGTGGACGAATGGGTCAGGCAAGGTATGGAATGGACTCAAGATGTTGCCCAAATCTGACCGGCTTTGGAGTGGGCAAGGATAGGCATATGCTCTTAGTAGCTGCTCTCACGCTTCTCACCCGCCGCCGCTCCATTTGCGGCGAGCCTTGACTTGGGAGGTGCCCGCCTCTTGCGGCTTCGCTCCTCTTGCTCGATGACAGGTACCGCAGCAGGGATAAACTCCACCCCTCGATTGCGGCTGTTTGGGCGAGCATGTAGTTTGCGGTGATTGTTGAGGTTGTCTTGACGGTTGAACTGGTCCTTTCCACAAAACTCACAGGAAAATCGGTTGGGGCCCTCTCCGTGAAATCTAGGGGATTTATTAGTATTCTGTGGTTGTTTGCTCGCTTGGGGAGACTGGGTGATGATACTCACGTTTGTTTGTGGCGTTTGAGATGCTCATTCCTTCTAAATGCCTTTTGGCAGTTAGGGTAGTCACACTTGCACATGGCTTTGCGTACCACGTCGTATGAGCTGTCGTGCTGCTGCTGCTTCTCGGGTACCTTTCTGGTAACTCCCATCTGACTATGAAGTTCTTTGGTCTTCATGTGGGTTCGAACCAAGGCGTTCCCCGGTGTCCGTGTAGGCAGCCTGTTAGGAGACACTGGTAAACCATGGAGATAGTACCGTCCTCCCATAGGGGATTGGGAGTATCGATGAATGTCCAAGGACTCAACATCTTGTGGGGACGACACCTTTTGTCTGAAGAAGGAGATTGGGCTGTCGTTGTTGCACGACGACCAAGGTGCACTGTCTGCCATCTCCGAGGGAGAGATGCTGTGAGTAGGTGTCATGATGTAGGGGGCAGGTTGTAGAGGTGCTTCAGTGTAGACTGTTACGGGACCCGAAGGGGTGATGGAACCGATTGAGTGTGTGGTCATGTTGTTCATGTCGAGGATGTGGTCGTAGGGCATGATGTCGCTCAGTTTCCTGAGAGGTGTCGAAGGGGGAAGGGTTCCGTCAGAAGAAGAGAAAGACATCCGGCCGTGCTCCGCTTTCACGGGACCAAACATGTACTTAGGCAGCCCTGTAGGCGGTGTGAGGTCCCCTTGGCTGCCATATGACTGGTAGCCATCAAAATCCAGTCTGAGATCGTTAGGCGTGGAACGACGAGAAATGGGTGTGAGGATCTCGTACGGAGAAGATGAATTAGAGGAAGCCGAAGAAAAGCTGGCCCCGGGGCACGATATAGTCAGACTGTAGTCGTCCATCTCGTATCGGGAGTGGTAGGTCTCCGGCTCGGCGAGTTGCATTTTGGGTGATTGCGGCGGTAATGAAGAGCGAGTGAGAGCGAAAGAGAAGGACACAAGAAGAGAGTCGGGAGAAAGGAGGTCAAAGGGAGCAGAATAAAAGAGTAGATAAAACAACCAGTTCAATCTTAATATGACGATGTATTAATTGAGGAATTTTGGGGTATTGAAGGAGTGTAAGTTTAGAATCCCTTCAATATGGAGGAGAGTACTCCAAGCAAAGCAGAACAACGACGACAGGCGAGAAAAGATCGAGCGTGCAAGAACTTGGGGGATGATTGGGAATTCTGATCGGGAATGCTGGACTCTTCCTCGAGGGCGGACGAGCGAAGATATATTATCGCCTTGGAATGAGTAATGGGGATGCTCTTAGCGGGCCTGAGACAAGCCAACCTGCAGATCAATCCCCGAGAAAAGAGGTTTTGGCAGCAAGTGACAGAGAGAGACCGAGACACTAAGAAATTGTGGGTGCGGTATGAGTGCTCGTAAAAGTCAAGGATAGCTCGATAGATCGAACTTATCGAGATCTAGGGGGGCGTGGTTCAGGACCGAGTCAGGCGAGGGCGAATCATGGACTTTTATCACCGGTTGTACTCTGTTGTCGCAATGTTTTGACCATCTCGACTCTTATCCGCTCTTGACCAGGGGGTGTGAAGGGATACAAGGGGAAGGGGTGTCCAATTTACCCTGGCTACTTGGTACTATAGTAGTATGCCCAGAAACAGAAACGACAGATAGAATTGCTGCTCCATCGATGTGTGGATAGCCACTTACAGCATTCTGCCATGCAGCAGACACCCGCGTAGCGTAATCTCTCAGACTATCGTGGCCTCGGTTGTGGGGGGGCGTACCGCTTGGCACGGGCGCCCTGTCCAGGCATTTATGGTGTTGGGAGAGACGTATAGCACAGGTTGGAGGCTGGATGTTGAGGCCAGGCACCCAAAGAGGCGACGGCAACAACAAGAGAACAAAGATGGATGAAATGCACATGGGATCCATACATGCGCCAAGCTGGTGTAGGCACATTGAACCAGCGATTCAATAATACACTCGACATGAAATCAAGAGCCCGCCCCCCATACACTTGCATGCGGCCTGGAAACAGGGGATAAAGCCACAAGGCCAAAAGAGAGGCCAACCTACTTGTACAAGTCTCAAGGCGACTAGTTGAAAGCTCAAGTTGACAGCCCAAGAATAAACCCCAGCGTGCGCAAAAAGCAAAGGATACACCCGCGATGGCGTCCCGTCATTTTCTCAAGCGGCGTCACTAACCCAGCCGGCGGCGAGCAGTTCTGTTGCTAGCAGTAGTACATAACCCCTTCCTAATGAGTAGCAGTAGCAGAAGCCACTACCTTTTTCTGCTAGCAGGGGCCCCTTGTCGCTAAGAAGATCGGATGTGCCCGGTTGGCTGCTGGGGTCACTGCATGATGATCTACCAATGGCAGGTTAGCTAGAAGAGCGGGCGGATCTCATTTCTCGCTATCATATCAAACTTGCGCATGTGAGTAAGGATATGCTTGCCGTGTGCCGTGTGTTGTATACCGCTAGATAAATCAACTCGGGAAATCATGGCCATGGATGTTAGCAAAGTCGAATACAGCTCCCGTCCGGCAAAGGGCCCTTCAGCCGGCGAGCTCACACAGCACTGTGCTGTGTAAAACCCACATGGCGGGAGGAGAGTTAACTCCGCCGTGGTCATGGGGAAGAGATTTGATGATGTCCCAGGCTTGTGTCGACTCCAGATCCCCCCAGAGGGAACTCTCTGCACAAATCACTCCACTCTAATCGGTAATGGTCTGAGCCTCAAGTGGAATTGAAGTGGAACTGAAAGACATGTTGGAATGTGGGCACGATAAACCACCACAATTTCCTCTGTTCAAACACCGTTCGTACCCAGGTGAGACAGCTATCGTACCATGATCAAGGCGAATACGCCAAGTTTAGCTTGCCAGCTAATAGAGTTCAAGTCAAAAGTCTTGTCGGTTGAGGTATCGAAGATTCAGATAGCGTGTGTGAAGGGTACAGCAGGTAGGTAGCTCTCTGGGTCAGCCACGAGGAAACTGCTGACGTGGAAAAACAGGTTTTTGTGTGCTTCTCTTCGGCATGTGCCCTTGCCACTAGCCTCGGCATTTGAGAAGAAGTTGACGACAGCAGCAGCTATCATATTCTTGACGAGAAGATATGATCCGGGGGCTGCAGGCTACAGACAAAGAAACCCATGTCGACCTGAGCGGCAGTTCAAACAGCCACGCCATATCGAGACCAAACTTGTCTCTCATCATGGCGGGCGAACGGCTGGAAAGCGTGCAGCAGAATCAGATCAGGGAATTGAAAAAAGGATCGTATATGGAGTAGAGTTTGGCGCTTGTTCACGCAGGTCTGACACAACCAGCCCTCTTCATCAGGGCAAACCACAGGCCCAAATCGAGGCCAGAGTCCACTCTAGCCCACTCTTGAAGCCGTCGCCAGTCAGGTACGAGGTGGCCCCAGCTTTTCGACGGGCTCTCGCCTCCTCTGATGGACCATGATGGCTCGATCCATCCACCAAGATGGCCGGACACCCACTAGACATAGAGTTCACGGGTCCCTGCGATTAGCTCACGGCGGAACCCATCCATCGTCAGGGCCGAGGGAGCCGCGGGGTGACAGGTCAGGGGCAGGTTTTCCACTAAGCTTCCAAGTCTGGGCAGCGTGAGAGCGTGAGAAGGGCAATTCTCTTGACATGTGGTTTGCAATTCGGCTTTTGGTATTGACGTGATGTCATGAGCAAATCGGTGAGAATAGTCTACGACGTAAGCGGAGAAGCTGCTCCTGTACATGCAATGCTGGGGGCCAAGGCTATGCATCTATCGGGGATGCATTACGGAGTACTCGGAATCCCGATACAAGGGTACCTACCTAGTACCGTTACATGCGGAGTTTCAGTGTTCACCTCTGCCAGACGACAACTCGCCCTGCATTTCACGAGCAGCAAAGTCCCAGATAGGCTAAGACCTGTCGTCACAGACTAATGCAGATAAAGTTTCTCGCAACCTTGCCGGCCAAAAGCAGGATCGGCTGCCGGCCCCGTACAGACCCTAAGGGAGACACACGGCCGCTGTCTGGGATCGTTGCTCATGGTGATTCGCTGCGCGGCTTATCCCTGGCTTATGACCTGAGTAACGTAATATTTCATGTTTGACATCTAATCCGAGGTAAAATCAGTGTGTGTTCATTCGATGAGTACAGTACGAGTGCTAATACCCAAGGGAATAAGCAGGGCAGCGACGCCGTTCCCTTGGTGGTTCTACCAGCGCACAACGCCGTTGTCCCCAGCTCTGCAGTGTCCCTTTATAAAACAATGTCTAATAAGATGATTGATTATTTGAGTTGGTCCACAGAGATACTCGTATGCAGGAACTGGTCACCTCGCAGTATGGAGCGCCGCGGACGAAGCACAGTCATGCCACACGCTCGTTTTGGGAGCCATGCGAGAACCACGCCAAATGTCAACTGAAGTGCTCTGATCCTTTGACATGTCATATTTCTATGTGTTTCTATCTCTGCTGCCTGATTCTGATACAGACCAGTCTCTGCCTACTAATGTAGGAGACCCCTACTTGCGGTGGCTACAACTCGCCGCGCCGGCCATGACACTCATGCAAGCTGATGACGGGGAGCTTGATATCACGTCCTATCGGTGGATACATTTTTGTTTCCTCCGCTAGCAGCCAGAGGGGTGAGTACAATCTTTTATCGCGTACAGGGACATGGATCTTTTGCCCTAGCTTGACGCTGGGCAAGGATCTCCGTCTTTCCCGAATACTACCTCTACTTAGGTAGTTCGATCTCGCCATCCATACCCATACTCATTCCCACCGCCGCACCGTCTAAAAGCCGCTGGCTCGGATGGAAATGTCCTGCGAAAGAGCATCGGCCGCTTGCTTGTTCTAACTACAGCGGGCCTAGCACCTGCAGTAGCAACGACACTTCTTTTGCCAAATAACTTTGAGGCCGCGTGTCAACCGGTGGCTCGTCCTGAGTGAGCATGCGTGCGTACTAGGCGGCCCTAAAGTCACCAATGGAAGACCATAGCCGGTACTGAGCTTCATTACTCACATCGGTTACGGCATTGGCAAAGAACGGCGGCTTCATGAATGCACAGTATGCTTGAGTAAAGGCAATCCGCCATACACTTGTTTTGCGCCGGCCCATGCACCAAGGTGTTTTTCGATCCTCTATGCATCTAGTCTAATCGAGAAATAGGCCATCACCCGCGAACTAGGCACAGTCCGATTCAGAATACTGATTCTCTGTATTAGGCCATGCCTAGTACCAAGTGGTAATAGCCGTCCTACTTGTAGCACAGCATGATTCTGGACAAGTCTCATGGAGAAATTGCTGTTCCAACAAAGCACACCAGATGCCATATGTTCACCAACAAGTTTCTGCCGCATGTCAGCCGCGCAACCTGCTCCAAGACACCAAGTAACAGCCCCACAGCGATGTCATAGACAGCAATATGAACATCCTATTTGGAATACGGCAACGGCATTATTTGGTTGAGGACTACCAGCTGCTTGGTGCCGGCCGCAAGGAACATACTACGTGGGGTGTAGCACCTCAGGTTACACATCGCAGCCTATAACCTACACCCAATCCCAAAGACTTGGGATGCTGTTGGGTGATGGTTGATGGGTAGCACAGCATTGCCGATGACCAGCCTGTCGGTTTTTTTTTTTTTCTAAAATCGACAGCTGTCACGCATCCAGATGTTGGGTGTGTCTTAGTTCATGCAGCATCGGTGTGACAGCCAAGACCATGTTCACATCTACCCAGGAGGGCCAATGCATCGTATACGTATGTCCAACCTGGCCAAGAAGAGCGAAATGAGCTGTAACATGCACCTATGTAAATCCTGCCTTGCCATCTCAGTGACAGAGCCTGGCTGGTGGGTAACT